TACTTTACTCCTTTTACAGCCGAATAACATTCCATTGTATGAATGTACCACGTTTTGTTTATTCATTCATCAGCTGATGGACATTTGGGTGTTTCCATTTTTTTTTTTTTTTTTGGCTACTAGCCCTTGAAAATATAGCATTCAAATGAGATGTGTTGTAAAGGTAAGTTAGACTTATAGAAAAAAGGATAAAAATACATCATTATTTATATTCATTACATTTTGAAATAAGTTTTTTGTTGTTGTTGAGATGGAGTTTGGCTCTTGTCACCCAGGATGGAGCGCAATGGCATGATCTTGGCTCACTGCAACCTCTGTCTCTGGGTTCAAGCAATTCTCCTGCCTTAGCCTCCCGAGTAGCTGGGATTACAGGCATGCACCACCATGCCTAGGTAATTTTGTATTTTTAGTAGAGACGGGTTTTCTCCACATTGGTCAAGCTGGTCTCAAACTCCCAACCTCAGGTGATCTGCCTGCCTTGGCCTCCCAAAGGGCTGGGATTACAGGCATGAGCCACTGCACCTGGCTCAAAACAAGATTTTTTTACATATGAGGTTCAGTAAAATATGTCATTGAAAAAAACAAGCCTAGAAACAAGGCAGAGGAGTTGTGACTGTCAGGTAGGGAGGGCAGGGACTTTCCTCCCAAGATCTCTTTGTTCAACTCCCTGCACCCAATGGTGGACTTGGAATGATGGGGGAGAGAGGGCCTGGGAGGAGCAGCCACTTTTGGAGCCACTGTGCCTTGGCCCTTAGGGGAGCTGCAGAAAGCACAAGTCCAGGCAGGAGTTGGTAGATTTCCCCCTGGGAGGGGACTCAGTGCTGGATTAATTGGACAAAAGGAGTAACTGGAGTGGCCAATGACAAAACTGCCTTCTCCTGGCGCCTGGCCTGTGCTGGGCTGCGGAGTTGCTCGATTCTTTTTGCTCAAGTATCTGCAAGCTCCTGTGCTCCTCTCCAGGGAGAAGGGCGGCAATGCAGAGGCTTCATTGTCTCTGGGCAGCAGGGGCTGGGGCCCAGGCCCTGCTCTGTTACTATTTTGCTGAGTGTCCTTGGGCAAGTTCTTTCTGCTCTCTGGGTCTTGATTTCCTCATGGGTCAGATGAGAGGACTGGATTAGATAATCTATAGGGCGTTTTCTGGCTTTTACATTTTAGAGTTTGGAAAATAGTCCTGAGTCAGACAGACGTGGGATCAAAGCCTGACTATCCTTACCAGCTGTGTAACTTTTCTGTGTGTTGTTTCTCTATCTTTAAAGTGGAGTAAATAATAAATAGTGACTTCATAGGGTTACTTTAAGGTTTAAAAAAGGTAACTCTTGCCAACACTTGGTGCTTAAGATTACCAAGCACTATCCTAAGTGCTTTGCACAGATGAGTTTATTTAATCCTTCCAGAAAACCCAAGTTCCTATAGTGAGAATGTGACAGAGAGGATTTTGGATCCAAGTAGTCCAGCTCCAGAACCTGTTTCCTCATCCACCATGCTAACCTGCTTTCAGTACAGGTAGGAGGCTGTGTCCTCAATAAATGCTGGAGGGAGAGGAGGCAGAATTCTTGATTGTTAAAATGCTTCTGATGGAAATCCTATTATGTTCCCCATTAAACAGATGGGGAAACCAAACTCAGCAGGATGAAGTGACACGCTCTGGACCACCGCCAAAATGGTGACAGATGTCCTGGCTGAGTTCCCCCAAGTATTTGGACCTGGAGTAGATGAAGGAACTACTTCCCGCCCTGCTCTCTGGGAGTTCTTAGTTTAATCAGGCAGATAGAAGAAATTCCCTTGTACAATAATAATTGATTAAAGATGGACAAAAATGATAAAACTCAGTGTTGGTGACTGTGCAGGGACGATCACTCTTATTCCCTGCTAGTGGGAAAGGAACTTGGTCCAAACTTTCTAGAGTGCAGTTTGGTAACAGTTATCAAAAGTCATAAAACTGTGCCTATTCTTATAGCCCTGCAATTCTACTTCTTCAAATTGGCCCCAAGGAAATAATTATGGCTAGGTACAAAGGTTTAGCTATAATTATGTTTGTGCAGTGTTGTTTATAATAATGAAATACTGGAAGTATCCTTGTACGTCAATGGGGACTGATAAATTAGGTATGGGTCTTCCACACCAAGGTCACCAGAGAATATTTAATACTACAAAGAGGTTCACATTGTTACTCAGTGGGGAGAAAAGGCAGGATACAAAAATGACATCAAATAGTGTGGCAGCATTTTTTCAGTAAGAATATGTCTTTTCCAAAAATTGGCTAGGGTGGTAGTGGGCACCTGTAATCCCAGCTACTCGGGAGATTGAGGCACAAGAATCACTTGATCCCAGGAGGCAGAGGTTGCACTCCAGCCTGGGACAGAGCGAGACTCCATCTCAAAAAAAAAAAAAAAAGTGTTTTCTATAGAACGAGCTAACATTCGTAGAGTTATTTTTTAGGCACTATTTCAACCCTGTAACAGATACTCTCTTTTTTTAAAAAAAAAAATTGTTTAATAAACTCTTAACTATCACAGGTGCTCTTTAAAATAATTTTTTCTAGGGGGGAAGGCCAAGGCGGGTGAATCACCTGAAGTCAGGCGTTCAAGACCAGCTTGGCCAACATGGTGAAATCCTGTCTACTATAAATACAAAAATTAGGCAGTAGTGGTAGTGGGTACCTGTAATCCAGTTACTGGGGAGCTGAGGCAGGAAAATCACCTGAACCTGGGAGGCAGAGGTTGCACTGAGCTGAGATCGCACCACTGCACTCCTGCCTGGGTGACAGAGTGAGACTGTCTCCAAAAATATAAATAAACTAAAAAAAAAAATTTTTTTTTTTAATTACCAGGTCTCACTGTTGCCCAGGCTGGAGTGCAGTGCTGTTTGGAGGTGTGATCACAGCATACTACATCCTTGAACTCCTAGGATCAAGTGTTTTTCCCCCCTCAGCCACTCAAGTAGCTGAGACTACTGGTGTGGACCCAGTCTGATAGGTGCTTTTTTTAATTCTCATTTTACAATTGAGGAATTTGAGGCTCTGAGAGTGTAAGAGACTAGACCACATGTTATAGCTGGGATTGAAGTTTGGCTCTGAGAGTCTGTGCAGTTAACCTGGATGTAATTGCTTTCCTATAGGCAAAGAAAACCATACAGGAGAATAATGGTGATTTTCTTGGGATGGAGAATCATGAATATTTAATTTTTTCTTCATTATAATTATCTTCATTTTCATTACTTTTTTTCCTGTCAATGAACATTGGTTGTTTTTGTAATTAGAAGAAAAAAGTTATTTTATTTCAAATAACATTGGCCTGTTGAACTCACAAATCACAGAAATGAAAAGCTTGAAACATAAGAGGGTTTATCACTGGCAAGTCCTCTGCCTGCCAGAGGGCTGTTTCAGACAGAGGACAGGAAACCGAAATGTCTGGTCTTTAGAACTCTAATGGAGGACCCTCATCCCCAGCCAGCTCCTCTCAGGCCAAATCCCAAAGGGTGCGTTTCCAACCAGCAGGTTCCCATCTTCCCATCAGCCCTGAATTCCAAGGCCTGGTCTTCACTAGCAATTCAAAAGTGGGCACCCAGCTCTCAGTGGCACCATTCATCACACTGGAAACCTTCCCCACTGCCTCATTTCAGAATGAGTTAGGCAAGGAGAAGCCCAAAGCAGGTGGTAAAGATTATTTAAAAACAAAGTTTTTGTTGTTTTTCCCAAATTAGCCAGGGATCCCTAGAGTCACTACCCACCAGGAAATTAACCCCTTTTTGTATTCACAGGGCTGACTGGCTGTTGCAATAGCTATTCATTATTAAACCGTCCATCACAACTGCTGTTAGAGAACTACCTGCTGGGTTTCTACCGAGGAAAGGAAGGGGTGGGGAAAAGGTCAAAATACTGTTGTGGGGGGCGTGGAGGTGTAGGGGAGGACACGGAGGAGGGAGACAGGTAGTTGTAATCAATAGTCAAAGCAGCAAAATGTTAATCAACTACAACAAATGTTTCCTGAGTACTTACACATCCTGGGGAGTTTATATGCATTATTTCATTGAATCTTCCCTTAAAACCCCACGAGGTAGGCACTGGCATTACACGAATTTTGCAAGTGTGAGAGCAATCAGGCTGAGTGAGGTTAAACAACTAACTTGTCCAAGGTTATACAGCTGCTAAATGGAGCAGGTAGGATTATAAACCCAAGTCCTCCTTGTGCTAACCACCCCCTTCCTGGAGCCCTGGGGAGCCCCCAGAGAGCCTCTTCTCAGTGTGTGCTTCATATACACACTTTACATACATTTTCAATTTCAGGATTTGCTGCTTTCAAGTCTCTTGGCCAGAAAGATCTCACGACATTTTTTTGTTGTTTTTTCCTTAGATTTCTGTGATGCCACCTTGGAGGTACTCAAGCTTGATGGCTCTGAGATCTGCGTGTCCTGGGTTTGTACTCTGTTTCCAGCACTATACATTGTTGTATCTCGGGCCTCAGTATTGTCAATGTAAAATAGAGACTGAAAGTTAAAACATACTTGTCCTTAATCACACAGTAACCATAAAGTTTGGAAACAAAGACACTTATTTTGCCTGTGTTTTAATGTAATTGAGCTGTACCATTCACATTTGTTATGCGTATTCGTCTCTTTCAGATACAGAGTAGCTCATAAGATATATGTGAGCTCATGGAATATATGGAATATATATATATATATATATATATATATATGTACATATATTTTATAAAATTAAATATGTGTGTAAAGAACTTAGCATGCAGCCTGGCACATAGTAGGTGTGTAATACATGATAGCTGCTGCTGTTTGTTGGGTTTTGGCCTCAACTCAATCTCACAAATGTTTGTTGAGTGTCTGTGTAAAGGCCCTAGAAGCAAACTCTCATATAGTGGGGAAAGCAAACAGGCATGTACGGAAATTATTCTGAAAGAAGGCAGACTATGTTAAGTGCTACGAGTATGGACAAAGCGCATTGAGAGAATAATGGACAAAGCAGTCAATTCTTGCCAGGGAGATCTGGGCAGTAAGATTTTTATTTTTAGATTAAATTGATGACACAGAGAAATGCAGATCTTCAATGTACAATTCAATGAACTTTGGTAAATGTATTCATCCATGAAACTACCACTGGAATCAAGAACATTTTCATACTCCAAAAAACCCCTTCTAATCAATCCTCACTCCCCAAAGGCAACCACAGTTTTGTATTTTTTTTTCCCCACAATAGTTTAGTTCTTAACCTTCATATAAATGGAATCATTCAGAGTGTCCTCTTCCTGTGTCTGACTTCTTTCATTTAATATGGGTGATAAGGTTTGAGCTGAGCCTGAAAGCACTGCTACGACTGAATAAGCAACCATGGAGCAGGGGAGAAAATGTGAGGTATATGGAATAGCATGAGAAGGAAAAGAAGATGGGTAAGTGTATCGGGGACTGATGTGACTAGAGTAAGGGGTACCCAGTGGGGAGGAGAAAGAAGGATGGAAAGCTAGGTTGGAGCTTTGTTTTGCAGAGTTTTCAATGCCAGGACAAAGGCATGTGGACTTTATCCTGAAGGCAATGGGGAGCCAGCCAGGGTACAGAAGAGTGGACTGATGAGATCTGGGTTTTGGGAAGATATATACCTGGCCACAGCAGGTAGATAAAATGAAGTTAAGGAAGTCTGGAGGCCTGGGGACCAGTTATTTGATTGTTTATTATAATAATTCATCCATTCATTCACAATGTCTGCCAACTTTGTGATCAGTAGTCTGCTCATTCATTCATTCGCACTGAAGGTATTTATCTGGTACTGTGCTCTAGATTTTGGTTTCTGCCATTACATCTCTGGCTTTATCCTTTAACTAGGAAACAAGTAAGTTTGGTAAATCCTTTCTTCTAGTTGTTCCTTTTTTAAAAAATTGAGATGAGGTCTTGCTATGTTGCCCAGGCTGGTCTTGAATTCCTGGGCTCAAGCAATCTTCCCTCCTTGGCCTCTCAAAGTGCTGGGATTACAGGTGTAGGCCATTGCACTCAGCCTCTGCTGGTTATATCAAATTCTCTCCCCAACCCCAAATTCTGGGAAATCCTTCATTTTTTTCCCCTAGTAATGGGCTCATCAAATCCTGCTAGGAAAAGCTTCATTCCCATTGGGTATGTCTTTCCTAAAAACCCAATTGGGCAGATATTACCTTAGATTATTTTGTATGTGACATAACAAGTAAATAGCCCAGAGAAACAGGAAGGGCTTAAATAAATGAAGGCAAGGTCAACTCTATGCCTTCCTGGAGGGCTGGGGACAGTGTTTCCGAAAGAGTGTTCCACAGTGGATCACTGGTTCTACAGGCCGTTACAGGATTCAGCGGGGATGGAGGAGATGAAACTACGGTCATCTTAGTTTGGAAAATACTGGGTTAAAAAACAAAGCAGGTTTCCTCACTGCAGGACTTTTCAGAGGCTTGATGACTGTGCCTTGTTCATTTCTAAGAAGAGGTGTGAAACTTTCCCCGAATGTTTTGATATCAGAATCTTTTCTGCCTAGAACATCTCAGGCATTCTTATATTTCTCAGAATACATTTGTGTGATTCCCTGACATGACTTGATAGAAATCCGAAGTGGTTCAGATCAAGGAGAGTTATGGACCAAATGCCATAGGTTGGGCCAGAGTAGGGAAGAGCCTGGAGCTGTGAACAAGCGGGAGCTCCTTCCACAGGAAGGTGCAGGGGAAGGAGAAGGAAGTGGGTTTGAGCCTTGCCTCACAGTTACATGGAAATAGGAAGAAGAAAGAAACTTCCCAGCGGGAAAAGGAACTGATGAAGGCTGAACTGGGACTGTGGAAGGACATCTGTATTGCTGAATTCCTACGGAGGAAACTTTATCTTCAAAGTGGCTGCAGCTGGATACTATATTTGCTAGGCAGGAGAAAAAAGTACCTGGCTACTGGCCATGGGATGTGACAAGGACAGGAAAGCAGGGTGCTCCTTTGCAATCCCCACCCCTAGAACTGGCCTCTTTCCCACAAGCAGAGGAATGAAGAGCACTGAGCTCTGTCCTCTCATCATATGGCACACTCACCTCCCTCACTGTGCTTCTGTTCCCCCAGCCACCAAGGAAGAGAAGGTAGACCTTCCAGAAAGAGAGTCTGAGCCTTCCACGGAAGGCAGGCAGATCTGTGTCTCTTCACAGCTGGGCAGAGCTTCACCAACAGGCTTCAGACAGGTTTGCACAAAAAATCACGGTGGTAGCCGAGGTTCTGAAGTAACAGGGGATCTGGGTTCAAATACCAGCTCCACCACTTGAGCCAATCACTTTACCTCTCTGCTTTTCATGTTTCAGGTTTTCTCACCTGAAACATTTGGGCACCAGGGGCTTAGCACAAAGTACTTAAGTTTGTTAGTAACATCACTAAATTCCTCTAAAGCCCATTGTCTTGTAAAGGGAAATTTGTCACATTAAAGATGGTTAAGAGACTTTGTACTGTAAGGGGCAAAAACTGGTAGAACGAGTTGAAACTGATTGTTTTTATTTTCTGTAAATCCCACCGATGTCACCCCCTCGGGGTTCATGCAGGGCTTAAGAATAACTTGGTGGAGACTCTTCTGGGTAAGGGGGATCCTGAATGCCTCCTCCATTCCCAGCATTTGTCTCCTGCTGGGTGTGACTCAGACTGTGTGGTGGGCCAGGAAGGGGGGCAGGGTCAGAGGTCACTAGGCCCCAAAAAAGAAAATGTTCTATTTCCCAGGTGGGGGCTGTTTTACAACAGATCAGTACATCCCCAGCCTCTAGGGACAACATCCCTCCCTTACCATAAACTAATCCATTCTGCTGGAGGATGATTCTTGCCCAAGGCAACAAAAGGCAGAATCCCCCAGGTCTGATGTTTGGGGTTAGCTGGTTTTCTTCTGCCTGCTCTCTTTGTGATGCAGGCTTTGCTTTTTAGCCTTACACCTTCCCTGAGGCCTTCCAGTGGCTCCGGAGAGCTTTCTGGGGTCTTACAAACAGTTCCTTCACCCTATGTGGTCAAGAAAGTTCTGCCTAGAAGCTGCTGACTGGGTGGCTTTTGAAGATGGTGTCAAGGCCCTGGGGTTTATGAAATGTTATCGTGGCTAATAAAGGCATCTGCTACTAATTCTTTTTTCCTTTGTTTGTCACCTTCAAAGTCAGAGATCTCAGACAGCTAGAAAGAACCTGAGTGACCTTCAAACTCAAACCATTCATTTCACAGCTGATGAAACTGGCTCAAATGAAGAGGACTCGCCTGAGGTCAACAGAGTCAGCAAGCAGCAGAGCTGGAACTCAAACCTACATCTCCTGCCCCTTGGTCCGGTGCTGTCTCTCCTGCTGCATCGTAATATTGGTAACAGCCATGCAGCACTTACTATGTGCCAGGCAATATGTTAAGTGCTTTCATGCATTTAATCCTTACAACCATCCTGTGAAATAAATACTACTATTAATCCCACTTATAGATGAGAAAACAGACTCAGAGAAAACAATTTATGAAACTTAGGGTCACAGCTAATAAAAAGCTGAGCCAGGTTTCAAATCCCGATCAGTCTCAAAACCCGGAGCTTGTAATCACTAACATTAATCTAAGGCACACGTCTTCTCTTTGAGGGGCTTAACTTTCAGTATCCCCCAACTATCTCATGGGTTTCAGGGAACTCCCCCCACCGCCCCGCCCAAGGACTGGAGAGAGAAAGAGGGTGAAACAAAAGGCTCCCAGGTCCCATTCAGATGGGACTGTCCCAAGCTGTCACTTTAAGAGCAACCAGATGAAATAATGCGACCCTCTGTTGGGTCATCAGTCAATTCAGAGGCCCCTGGCAGTTTTGAAATATGGCCAAACAGGCAAAGCCATGGGCTAGAGAGTCAAGTCACTGTCACCTGCCTTTCAAGACTCATCTTTTTAGAGGTTTCTCCAGGGACCATCAGTGGGTAATACTGAGGATGTCTGCACATGACCTAAGAGGTGCAAATGACTGAGCTCATTGTGAAAGGAGCCAGGGCTGAGGCTGAAGTATGCATATTCATAGAGTGCTGTCAAGGCATGAATCAGATTTCTTAGGAGCCTGGGCAGAGAGCAGCAGTCATGCTCTCATCCTCTGAGGCAGGGGAACCTGATGACTAACCCCCATCATCAGGTATATTTGCCTTGGGCTGAGTGCCCCAGGTGGCAGAAGCAGAGGAAGAGACAAGACAAGGAACTGCTTCACTGGGGTAGCAAGAGATGCCCATCCCTAATGACAAAAGACAATGGCTGGCACTTCTCAGGTCTTACTATACACCAGAGTGGTGCTGAATGTTTTGCATGTGTTACTTTACTTGCAAAAACCTCACAACATTGAAGTTATGCCTCCTTGATGGATGAAGAAATTGAGACTCAGAGTGGTCAAAGGACTTGCCCAAGGTCAAACAAGTAGTAAATGGTTGAGCCAGGATACAGACTCACATAGACTGGCTCTAAAATCCAAGCTAGATGGTCTCCACCTTGTGTGTGTGTGTGGAGGGGGGCAGGTAGTCTGCAGTAGAGACTTCTGCATCACCTGAAGAGTGAAATTAGAGAACTCTAATGGACTCCTCCAACAGAAAAGATTTTGAGAAACTTGACAACAAAACAGTGTTTGCAAACATCTAGTTTGCAAGCAGAGGAAAGGTTTTTGAGTAGAAGGGTTTCATCAAGGTTCCCCCACTGGGCTTCCTGTGTACAGGAATATACCTTATTCATTTCTCTCACCAGACTATGGCACAGCTGCTTGACCAGAGCACGTCCTCACCAAGTCACCTGAATGACTGCTTGCTGAGGCAACGTAATGTAGCAGTTCAGCTTTGGAGCCAAACAGTCTGGGTTCAGATCCCAGCTTGGGTACTCTGGCGCAGCATGACCTGATCAAGTTTCATGGCTTCTCTAAGTCTCAGCTTCCACATCTATAAAACAGAGGTGGGCACTTGTAAGGACTGAGTGAAACAGGACAGGTAAAGTGTACAGACCCAGGCATAAAGCTAAGTGCTCAAAAAATGAGAATTATTTTAATTGGTAATGATTATATAACTCCATACTCACTGAATGAATGGATAAATGAATAACGCATGTGCCTAGGCAAGGTGGCAGTCTGTCCAGAGCACAGGCTGAAAGGGTGAGCAGGGGCAAGTGAGGGATGGGCAGACTGATGGTGACTTCTGAGTGGTTACCTTCCTGAGGGAAGAGCCAGAGGGCCTGATCTTGGTGTAGATATGGTTCCAAGGCTCCTGCAGGCCACAGTTTCTAAGTCCTTCCTCCTCCACTGCTGGACCGTGGGGCCCCAAACTGATGGCCTTGAAAAATTCCCTGGCAGGCCAGCAGTGGATTCAGAAAACCCCTCACTTGAATGCTCAAGGCCTAAGGTTGAACACTTAACCTCTGACCACATGGCCTTTGCCTTCCTAGGGGGATACAGGGCCCAGAAAGGCCTCGTCAAAACCCTCTCTCCCCCCGACCCTCTCCAGTGAGATCAGACCTAAATAAACACCAATGGCAGCCTTTGAAGAAACACTCCTAAGAAACAGGAGAAGTTAGGACCTTATGGATTAATTGTGCCTATCTGAACTTCTCTGAGCAGAGCAGGTCCCGCCCTGCCCTGCCCCAAATCACCCCACCCAACCCTCACCTAGGAAGGCAGCACTGACCCTGGCCACCTACTCATTCCATTCAGCACTGGGGCACCAAGACCCTCTGTCCAAGCCAGGCCTAGGCCAATTGTCCTCCAATTTCAAGGAAATCCTCATCTCAACCCCTGTCTGACCCCTGCAGAGAGGAGGAAATACATTTTCAGTGTTGTTTGTCATGGGAATAGTGAAGATTAATATGGTTTTGGCCACAATACTCTCTTTTATCTGGAAGTGGGCAGTCTTAAAACCGCCTCTTTTAAGACAGACCCAGCAATAGTGATTGGGCTGCTGGGGCCTGAGGCACAGGTGAGGGCTCACCTGGGGCCAAGGCAGCTGGGTTCTGTTCTTCCCAGCAGGCCCTCTCCTTCCAGGACTGCATTCTTCCTGCCTCCTCTCTCCCTGGCTGCCTCCTGTTCTGGCTGGTTCCTGGCAACAGAGAAAGAATCTCAAGACAGCACTCTTGCTGCTTCTTCCTTTTCTCTGCCTGGGCAGAGGATAAGCCTTCTCTGATTTGTTACTTTTCAATAACTATAAAGTTTATTTTTTCTATTAACAGAAGAAATAATATCCACAGAAACAAAATAAAGCATAAATCACCACTGACCCCAATAAATACTCCCTGGGGTGAATTATTGTTTTCTCTATTCATATAGAGTTTAAAAATAGGAATGGACTAATTTACTAAACATAAATGGAAGACTTAAAAGTAGGGAATCAGACCCAGATTCAAGACTTAGCTCAGAAACTCCCTGAAAATAACCTTAGCAAGTTTCACTCCTGGGCCTCACTTTCCTCACTTGCAAAATAAGGATACTAGTACTTACATCATAAGGTGGTTGTGAGAATTATATGAGGTCAAACACTGAGTCCAGTGCCTGGAACATCATGAGGACACATAACTGCTAACTGTACTGAAACCACAGTAAATAACATCCATGGTACTAAGGAAACCTCTGCAGCATCCTTTTAAACTGTAGCGGGGCATGCAGCTACATTCAGGTATCTTAATTTACTGAATCTCTGCTGAAGAGTATATTTATTAATTCTAATTTTTCAGGATTACAAACAATGCTCTGACGCATATCCTTGTAGGTAACTCTTTGCACACAAAGATTATTTGCTTAGACAAAATTCCTGTGAGTGAAATTGCTAGATCAAAGGATGAGCTAAACCCAATAGCCAAAGCTTGGACTGGCTCACTCTCCTTCCAGCAAGGAGGGTGCTTGTTTTCCCTGGACAGTAGTGTGATTAGCATTTTCTTTCATCTTTATCAACTGGATAAATGAAAAAAAAAACTGCTTGTTTTAAGAGACTTTTATTTTTAAGGAGAGATTTCAGGGTGACTATTTAGACTCCATGATCCCTCATGTCCAAGGAAGCTCCAGGAAGGAATGTAGGTGGTGTTATTGGAAGAACTGGGATAACAATCTAAAGTACAAAATGCAAAAGGGACTGAAAGCTGCCCCTTCCACTGCTCTGCAGGCACAGCTTCCAGGTCCATCCATGCCTTCAAAGAAAGGCCATATTCTCTATGCAGGGTGTGTGGCCTATCCCTCTGCTTAAGAACATTATAATGAAGCTTATACTTTAAATGTTAAATGTTCAAATGAAATGTTAAAGAATATTTTAATGAGCTTTGCTGGGCATGGTGGCTCACACCTATAATCCCGGCCCTTTGGGAGGCTGAGGTGGGTTGATTCACAAGGTCAGGAGATCAAGACCATCCTGGCTACCACAGTGAAACCCTGTCTCTACTAAAAATATCAAAAAAATTAGCCAGGCATGGTGGTGTGTACCTGAAGTCCCAGCTACTCAGGAGGCTAAGGCACAAGAATCATCTGAACCCATGAGGCAGAGGTTGCAGTGAGCCAAGATCATACCACTGGACTCCAGCCTGGGCAACAGAGCAAGGCTCCATCTCAAAAACAAACAAACAAACAAATAGCTGGGTGTGGTGGCGGACGCCTGTAATCCCAGCTACTTGGGAGGCTGAGCCAGGAGAATCGCTTGAACCCAGAAGGCGGAAGTTGCAGTGAGCCAAGATTGTGCCATTGCACTCCAGCCTGGGCGACAGGGCAAGACTCCATCTCAAAAAAAAAAAAACAAAAAAACAAAAAATCTCACTTGTAAAGAATATTTTAATGAGCTTTGAGTGAGTGCCCAGGGCTGCACTTCTGTGACCCCTTAGGACCCATAATGGTATCTAGGATAATGCTTTGAAAGTTGAAGGTCAATCCAAAGTCCTCCACTTAACTAGGGGCACTCTCTCTGAACCCGTCTATCTAACAAACCAGGCCAACAATGCACTCTTGTCCCCTCCTCCTGGGGTAGCTGTATGGATCAGAGGAGAGGAAACATAGGAAAACACTTTGAAAAGAGCTCTGAATATAGCAGAGATTGTTTTTAAGGAAGGTTGAGTGCTGAATACTGTGGACTTAGCTGTGCACTGAGGGTGGAAAGGGGAAGGGGCTGAGGCCTTTTTTCTAAGCTGGGTGCTCACTATAACACCAGCTACCTTTTATTGGGTATCTATTTGCCATTGGCTTTACATCAAGATCTCATTTAATTTAATCCCCAGGTCGATCCCACTGAGGCATGATGGGAAACTATTTACAGACTTGAAGTTGCGGGTGCAAAGAGAAAGCATCAGTACAGGAAAATAAGAGGGAGTAGAGGAATTCAAACTTTGGAGGTCTTCCTTGGGGGCAGGGTGGGTAGAAGGCAACACCTAATTTGCCCAGAAGGTCAGTAATTTGTGTAAATTATATTCATTCATCCATTTTTCATTTATTCAACAAACATTTATTGAACACCTATTGTGTTGAGACACAGGACAAGTACTATATGAGATTTATTTTCCCTTGTATGGTTTCTGCCCACCAGAAGCTTACAAATCTATCTAGCTTAAAGATACCATCAACCAACCTATCTACTTTTCTTCCTTCCCTGTCTCCCATCTCCCTTCTATCTATACATCCTAGATCTTGTTCCATAAAAGGGACTAGGAAGCTTGAAAGGACTATTACCACAACTTTGGGATCAGGCCAACTTCAGTTTGATTTCATCTCTGCCATTAAGGGGACAGCCAGGTGACCTCAGATGTTATATCGCCTCTTTGGGACTTTTACGTCTTCTGTAAAACAGGGATACTTAGAGCAGCTACTTCATAGGCCTCTTGAATTACATGGTATATATGTAAAACACTAGAACAGTGCCTGACACATACTAAGGACACTGTTATCTTATTTAATCCTCATAGCAGTCATTTCACTGAGGACAAACTGAGGTAAGGAAGTGGAATTGCTTATCCAAGTTCCCAGGCAGTCAATCTCAGAGCTTTAGTAACTGGCCAACCATGTGACCCCATTTTACAGGTAGGAATGGGATGGAGCATCTAAAGCAAGCATCGCAGCATTAAGTGCTCAATAAATGAGAGTAATTTTAATCGCAAAATCAAAATCAAATCAGATGGCTGAGCAGCCCGCAAGCCATACAGCAACCCCCCGCCTCCATTCCTGTGCCTCCTAGGGGATCACTGAGCAAGGAGTCAGTCTTCACTCTCTTCATCCCTGCCCTTGCCCCAGGAAACATGAAACACATGACTATTTGTCAATGGGAACTTATTTTGGTTTAAAGACATTTAAACTGAGCCTTTATATAGAATTTCTAATTACAAGAGCAATGCAAGTTCAATGTAGCCCATTCAGGGGCAAGGCAGGGAAAACATTTAAATCCTGTTATTTCAGTGCCCACAGAGAAGCACTGTTGACATGTGGGTATGTGTTCTTTCAGTATTTGAATATAGGTCAACAGATTGTCATCAAGCGTTTTGGATAACTAAAAAGCATTCAAGTGTTAGAAAAGGATGACTGTCAGCAGGGTCCTCATGTCCAGCAGCGCATGTCCCATCTGGTAAATGGCGCATAGTTGTTCAGCACACAACTTTCAGAGACACACAGGGGAACCCTGGCTCTCAGTGCTCACTCACAGTCGTCCTAACCTTTACTCCTCCCCAGCATGCCAAGGAGAAGCATCACAGTTTTTGGGAACAGTGGCTTCTGGATGGCATCATCATGGAAAGGAGGGAGGGATGAAGGACTGTGCATCCTGCACGGGGGCAGATCACAGCATCGGAGAAAGAACATCAGTAATCTAGAAAAGCAAATCAAGATGATTTTGATGGGGAACTCCACCCTTACAGTGATCCACCAGTCTGGTCTTACAGAGAGGGAAATTTACCGAGGCTCTGAGAGAATTTACTCAGTCACAAAGTGGCCGGAGGTCAGGCAGAACTTGAGCCCAGGGCACTCCCTTAGTCTAGTTCTGTAAGAATGGAATCAGAAAGATACGGATTCAAATCTCAAGTCTTTAACTTATTAGCTTTTGGCTTTTTTCTTTTCTTTTTTTTTTTTTCTTTTCTCTCAATGATCCCCACTTACTGGTATTCTTTTTTTTTTTTTTTTTTTTTTAACAAGCTGAGTGCAATCTTGGTGAAATCTTGGCTCACTGCAACCCACACCTCCCAGGTTCAAGTAATCCTCCTGCCTCAGGCTCCTGAGTAGCTGGGATTACAGGTGTGTGCCACCATGCCCAGCTAATTTTTTTTTTTTTTTTTTTTTAGTAGAGATGGGGTTTCATTATGTTGACCAGGCTGGTCTCAAACTCCTGATCTCAAGTGATCTGCCTGCCTTGGCCTCCCAAAGTGCCGGATTATTGGCATGAGCCACTGTACCCAGCTAACTGTTGACTTTCAACAAATAATTTAACCTCTGAGTCTCAGTTTCTTCACTTGTGAAATAAGGTTAGTACCTTCCTCATTAGATTTAAATGAGAATGGGGAAAAAAAAGGCTTTTCTAACAAGTATTGAGTGCTATATGCCAGGTACAGATAATGCCCTTCACTAGCATTATCTCATTTAATCCTCACAATAACCCTATAAGGGGGGAATACAATTTTTACATCCATTTTACAGGTGAGGAGAGTGAGGCTCAAAGAGCTGTAGCCACTTGCCCGACATCATGTAGCTAGTAAGTGATTGGGATGAGATTTGAAAGGAGGCCTGTGAGTCTCAGAGCAATACTACCATATCATACAGGAAGTCTTGGCACAGTGCTTACAAAATACAAATACTAAACAGCAGCCATCATTATTTACTGTCATTATTGTAAATAATTAATTTTGGATATAATTATTATGTTACATTTAATTAGCTGGTCTCTGTTTATGTTTTTTTTAAACTGGTTTTTTTTTTTTTGTTTTTTTTTTGGAATAGCTGTTCTGTTTTAAATCTCTGCAGAGAAACCAAGAGCCATGCTGATCCATGAAGGGGAAATAGGTACCAGCCTTGCCTAGCCTTGGGCCATGCTCATGCCACACAGGAGCAGGAAGGGGGCAGCAGCAAAGCATGGGGAGTGTCTCTTTAAAGGCCTGGCATCTCTGGGTTGTTGGGATGAAGGCCTGGAATGGCACTTGTACCTCCTGCCTGGGAGGTATAACTCCTATTGGAGGGGTCTGGTGACCTTGCAAACTGGTTCATGGCATCCCTGCCTACCTAACCCAGACCACCAGTCCTTCTATCCCATCCAGGGCACTTCTGTAGCCTTCCTGTGTGTGAAGACACAGAAACCCTTTGCCCTGTGCTTTGGGTCTCTGCTGATCTCTGAAGACGGGCCCAGGTGATGAAAGAGGTAAGACCTAGAGGCAGAGGGAGAGGACCCATTTTTAAAAGCCCAGCGAGCACAGACACGCCACCTGGGATCCCAGCCTTCCTTGAGCCTAGCCAGCATGAGTCACCCATAGTCCTTCACCTGTGGGTTGCAACACAGTTGACAGAAACTCCACAGTCTTCCATGACGTGGGCAGACAGGTACATACAGAGGAGTGTGCCATCGTTTGGACTACAATAAGTTTTGCAGTTATAGTTGGCACCAAATAGCCCTTCTACCACCAATAACCTCTGTGAAGTGGTTGGGTGCCCAGGCTCTGCTCTCAGATTAAATCCCAACTCTAGCTCTACCACTGCCTAGCCCTGCAGCTTGAGTAGTTTACTTCAGTATTCTGTACCTCAGTTTTCTCATCTATAAAACAGGGATATCCAAAGTGCCTATCTCCCAGGGTTGTTGTAAGGATTAGATGAGACAACACATGCAAAGGCATAGCACAGTGCCTGGTGCCTGTGGTATACAAAGCACCTACTAGGTGCTAGACACTGGAGATTCCGCAGTGAGGACACAGTCTTTGCTCTTATGGAGTTTACATACCAGAGGAAGGGGAGAAAGACAATAAACAATTAGAAAAATACCATAAGTCACGTTACATTATATCATAAGTCCTAAGGGTTCTGCAGAGAACAGTAAGTATTGTGATCCAGAATGACTGAATGTCTACTTTATGAACAAGGGTGACTGAAGAGGGCTGCTCTGAGAAGGTGGCTTCATTAGCAACTATTATTACTATTCTTTATCAGGGTCCCCTGGACTTTCCCCAACATAGCCTCCAGGGAGAAGCCAACCCCTGACACTTCTCCAACCCAGTATCCCTCTCCAGAGGCCTGATCTCACTTCAAGAGGGTTCCGTTGAATTCTGACTTTACCCTGAAAAACCTCCATAATTGGCAGGAATAGCTGAAACCTCCTTTGCTGTTCCCAGAGGAGAGAGAGAGAGGAGTGGGCCAAGTTGAGGTTCCCAGGAAGATAGAGCAAAAAGATAATCTGCCAAAAAGGGAAGGGTGGGGGAGGGGAGACTAGAACAAGAGAAGGAAAAAAAAGATGCCAAGATCTCTGGCTTAGATTTAATTTCAAACTAATCCTGGAAGAAGCTCTTTAAAAAGCTCTAACATTCTCCTGTTTGTGTTTGTGGATATTCTGGGGTTTACCAAGCTTGTACTTTATAGAAGACAGCTCACAGCAATTACTCCACAATTACTTCATCTAACAGGCATTGAATTTCTCCCAAGTTCTCAATACAGAATGAAGCACTTGGAGCCTGTGAAATGACCAGCTGGTTGAGGCTTCAGAGGTGGCCGGCTTCAACTTTTCTATCCCTTCTGTGCTGATCAGAGGTATGTGGCTTGCCCACACCCCCTTCACACCCAATAAAAGGCTGTTCTCCTTTACTTCTCCGCCCCGTCACCAACACACACCCCACAGATTGTAAACTCTAGAACAGTGACCCTGTTTTTTTGGCCTCAGTTTCTCCAGAACCCAGAGTAGGGTCTGGCACACAACAGGTGCTCAATGAATGTCTACATTGAGGCCACTGACTTTTGAGCTCAAGGGGCAGCCAGACTTGGTGTGAGATGACTACAGATTGGATCTGGGCTGGGACCTCCCTAGCTGTGCCCTTGGGCAAGGCACTTTACCTCTCTGGTCTCCGTTTTCTCCCTCATCTGTAAAATGTGTGTTGAAGAGGAAGGAAAAAGCTATAATAAATCTACCACAGTGGGTTACTATAAGAACCAAAAGAAGTCACTTGAGAAACTGTAAAAGATTATTCATAAATAAGATATTATCTTAAAGGGGAAACTGAAAAAAAAAAAGGAAACTTATACAAAGATCTACCTGGGAAGAATTGCTGTCTCCTTTGAGAATTCCCTGGTGGTATTGAAGGAGGGGGTAGAGAAATTTGGGGTGGGGGGGGATGTTTCTGGGTATCTGGGATACTGACTAGAAACAGGAATCAAGTTTTCCTTTAAGCCAAGTTACCTGTTTGTCCCTGTACTTTTCCTCTAGTTATTTTGCTTCTTCACAACATTTTTTTCTCCTTCCCTCCTCCCTCATCTCCACCCCCGACCTCACCAAGGAAGGAATTGGCCAGCTCCACCCAGCCTGTCCCCCTTAGCTCCGCCCTACTCGGCGGGCTAAGAGTTAACAGCTGCACCTGTTGAGGTATACCTGCAGTTGTCGGCACCTGTACCAGTAGCCAATCAGCGCTAGCACTGTTGGGAACCTACCTGTCAGCAAAATCTCGACACCCAAACCTCAACATAAATCAAACACTTCCCTGGGCAGGGAATGTCTGTGTCAGGCAAGAATTAGAGACAAGCGGTCAGCAGAGCCTCAGCGCTGATCGTCGGATCCTGGGAGCAGGAAGATGTCGAATGAACTTGAGTGAGTAAACATCGGTGGATGCCTGCCGCTCTTGGAGTGTGGAGGCTGGATGGGGTTTCCTGGAGGGGGAAGAGCAGGGAGGCCGGCACCGGGATTCACAGAGCAATTTGTAAGGGTAAATGAATGGGCTGACGATCTTACTTTGGCGTGTCAAGGCAAGCCCCAGTCTCAAGCTAGAGGTGAGTGTTTCCCTGGGAAAATAGTTTTTCTCATTCTCTTTGCTGAGCAGTTTCGAGCCAGGCAGGGAAACACAAGACTGAAACTGTGAAGGTTTCTGGCACCACTTTTTGATACTCTGAAGGGGCCTTGGAAATCAGACAACACCCCCAATCCCATCGAGGCTTTCTATCTTCTTGCCAAAAGGAACTTCTTTGAGGTAGTTCTAAGAGCTGTCTTAGGCAGAGTGGGTTTCTCTAAAAGGACTTGTTTGCTGGAACAGTCCCAAGTGGGAAGGTTATGGTGTGGTGGTTAAGCATGTGCACTCTTTGTAGTGGGCTTGAACTAAGTTCGCAACCAGGCTCTGTCCCTGAGTGATCTCAGACAAGACAGTCAATTTTTCCGGGCTTCATTTTCCTCATCTGGAAAATGGGTACAAGAATGCTTTGTAGAATTCTTGGAAGACTTAAGTGTGATAAAAGCTGTAAAACGCTAAGCATAAAGCCGCAGTCTGAAAATGCGTTCAATAAAATGTGGTTCATGTGATTCAGAGGCAGTTCTAAGGCTGGGGAAGCTGAGAAGTGGTTTTTGGTAGGTCACCTCTGTTGGCTGGCAGGATGCATGTGCCTTCCTGCCTACATCTGAGATTTAAGTTCCTGACTGGCTAACGCTGATCTTCACCATGGGGTCCTGCTTGGGGTCCAGACCTTAGAATAGGTAGGACAAGTCTAGGCTCTGGGCTGCTTTAGGCTGAGTTCAGGGAGCTGGCGGAAGCCAGAACTCTTTAAACACAGGCTCTTTTTTTTCCTGCCACCCTCAGAGGTGAGTGGGCAGAGGCAAGAATTGTACCATCTTTTTTCTAGCTACTCCTCAATAGATTGTTTTAAGAACTTGAAGATCTGTGGGCAGGGCAGTGGTGGGTCCTGAACGTAGGCAGGATTTTATGTTCTAGCTAGCCCTTCAGTTCTTCTGGGCTGGCCAATCATGTTCACAGTACAATCACTGGGGTTAACAGGCACATTTCTTTTGAGTGAATTTCCCAGGGTTGACAATGTATTGACAGTTTGACCACAACGAGAATAAAAGTAGGAGCATCAGAGCTGACACCTGGGTTCAAGTCCCAGGTCCAGCACTTACAGCTGTGTGATGTTGAGCAAGTCACTTAATCCTCACCTGTGGCCAAGCCAACCGTAGTATCCACCTCATGGGGTTGTTAGAGGATTTGACAATTTTAGAATAGTGATTGCTTTTAAGGCTGGTGGAGAACAAGCTGTAACAACATTGTTACTTCATGTAGAAATAACCAATCAATGAGCATTCCCGATCTCTTGCTGTTTTTCCATACTTTGAACACACACAAAAATCTTGAGCTATGTCTCCATCCCATTTAAATTTGCTGGCTAAAATGCGGAGACCGCAGACAAAATCTATCCATTGCTGCACCTTAGAGGGTATGCGTTCTGAAGCAGGGTTACTTGAACAGAAAAGTTTCCTGCTTTTCTCTTCCCTAATGATTTGGATTTGAAGTCAGATCCGCTGACAGTTGAGGCTTCTCAGTTTGGGGTGGGGTGAGGGAAGCCAGTTGCCTGCTGAGTAATCGCAGGCAGACTCCAAGCCACCATTTGAGATTATAATGGCAGAGCCTGGGGGCTCAGCTGCCCCTACTGATAAGGGGAGGATACCCAGTGCTTGGCTTGCAAGTTCTGAGCTGCAGTGGCTGCTGTGGCCTCGGCATTCTCCATGCTGGTGACCTCCTGTCATCCCCCCCCCCCCACCTCCCGGAGCGCCGTCCGCCCCCGGACCCTCCAGTTAAGAGGACTCTCCAGAAAGTGCCAAGTTAAGAGGACTGGCCATAGCTTACAGCTTGGGGCCTCATGGAATGGCCAACTCTGGCCAGGCCTTGATATAGTGGGAAAAGTGGGACTTGCCTGTGACTCTAAATTCTGCCACTTACCAACAGCTGGATCCTGGCGAATTTGTTTGTTCTGACTAACCTTCAGTCTGCTGAATTGTCTGTAACACCTACCTGGCAGGAACAACTGTGAGCTCCCAAATGTGGAACAGGAGCTCCATCCGCGCCAGCCCGGTGGCCAGGCCCCGGGTGTAAGGCGGCACTTCGAAGGCTGGTCCCTGAGAAGCACGGAGGCCCGGGCGGTGTAGTTAGAAACCAGCTGGAGGTGGCTGGCGGGTGCTGAGCGCCAGGCCTTTCATGTGGTCGCAGCGATCTGGGTGCCTGGAGCCCGCAGCCCCGGACGGCCCCGGGCTACCGCAGGGCGCAAGGGATCCTGGGCAGCGGCCGGGGGCGCCGGAAGTCGCTGTCAACCGCCCGGGTCTCGCGGGACAACAGCCGGCGCCCGCGAGCTGCCCGCCGTCGGGTTTTCCTGAAGGTTTCGCGGGGCCCCTGGAGATTTGGAGCCACTAGCGATCTCGCCGGTGACCTCCTGCCCCCCCCCCCCCCGCCCCCGCCATCGCCAGCCGTTCCCGGACCCTCCAGGCAGGCCCTGTTGACAGCTCAGGAAAGGAGGGTTTCTCCACGAAGGGGCTTGGCACACAGTAGGTCTAAGGCGCCGAGGCAGGAGCGCCCTGGCGCGGCCTCGCTCCGTGGGCTCTGGGCCCCGCCGCCGCCGCCTGGAGTCTCCCCCCAGCTTCTCAGAGAGGCAGCTGGGCGGCGGGGGTGGGGGTGGGAAGGAGAACCGTCGCAGTCCTGACCGCGGCCGCCGCCGCCGCAGGTCTATCTGATCTCCAGGAGCGCCGGCTCCAGACTGCCTGGAGCACTGAAAGAGTTAACCAGGAACGCCTCCCCGCTGCGGTTTTGTGGTCGAAACCATGATTGCCAGGAGCAAATTTTTGTCGTGCACTAAGTGTGTTATTAAAAGTGGGAGCTACGCTGCTGCTGAATGAAAAGTTAAAAGGCCTCATTGAGTTCGGGCCGTAAAATTGGCGGACTGGGCCAAGAGGCCGAGAGCCAACCCTAACGGCGGCGGCCCCGGCTGCGCGGGGCTCCTGCGGCTCCACCAGCTGCTGGGAGCAGACAGACGCCCGGGCTCAGGCCAGGGTCAGGCCGCGCGGTCCCCGCAGCGAGTAGCCGCAGCCAGGCTGTCGGCAAGAGCTCCCACTGAACTACTGGAGGAGGGAAGAGGGGCAGCAGGGCTGAAACCCAAATGGGCCCGTCCAGCTTTCTCCTCTGTTAGAACAAAAATGACAGCCAACATTTATGGAGCGCTGACTCCGCATCTGACATTGTGTCGAGTGCTTGATAAATACATGATCTCCTTCAGCCCTCCCAACAAACTAATGAGGGATGGGAGTGTAAATGCAGTTTTGCCGAAGAGGGGACCCAGACTTGGTTCAGGCTTGCCCAAGCTCTCACTTGGGATCTTAACCGGGTCTTAGCCCTGTGCCACCCCGCTAACTCTGTGCTTAGACTCTGAAAAGAAGATAAAGGAAATCTGCCAAACTGTTGAGAGGGATTATTTCTGAGCAGAAGAATGTGGATGAATTCCAGTCTTCCTATTTTTCTGTAGGTTCCACATTGTATATATTTATTGTATTTTACAAACCTATGTTACTTTTGCAATCGTTAGCGGGAAGAGAGGGAGTCATTATTTTTGAAAGCGAACACCTACAACAGTGTTCTCAAACTGTGCTGCCTGGACCAGCATCATGATCATTTGGGAACTAGTTAAAAATGCAAATTCTCAGCCCTGTCCTAGACCTACTGAATCAGAAACTGGGGGTAGGGCTCAGCGTTAAAGTGTTTTCACAGGCCTTCCAGGTGATTCTGATGCATGTCCAAATTGTAAAACTGTTGCTTAGAAGACCAGGCAGAGGACTGAGAAAGCTGGAGGTTCCCAAATCCACTGCTGACCTGCAGTGTAGTTGCTGAGTCAGCAGGCTATGCTTAGTTCTAAGATCACACCTGTGTTTAAAAGCCCAGCTCTGCCACCTATAGATTGGGTGACTTGGATGAGCTCCTTAACCTGTTAGTTTCTGCACATATAAAATGAGGATAAAAATACCCACCTCACAAGGCATGTATGAGAATGAAAAGGCACAAGGCCTGACTGTATTAAATAATTTAGTTCCTTTCCCTTCTCTTGCCTTCCCTCCCCTCTCTGGAACTCAACTTTCCCATCTAAAATGCAGCAAATAATCCTGGCTGGTTGCCTCCCTCTCTTGAGTCCTTTGCCTCCTAAAAAGGTTAGAACAACTGACCTGGTGAAAGTCTGGAAGGGAAATTATCTCACTGATATTTGCTGTTATTTCACTAGGCTTTTCCAGGAGGTCAGAAAGAATTGAGGACTTTCAAGGGCAGGGACAGAAAGGGACCAGAACAGTGTAGCCACATAAACAGCAGTGGCCTTCACCTTTTTGTCCCCAGCACCCAGTACATGGCCATTTACAGAGTAATCCTCAGTGAATGTTTGTTGAGTGAATTGGTGAGTGAATGAATGAAGGGATGTGGCACCCTGGGTTTAGAGGAGGATTTCAACTTCTTTCACACCTCAGTTGAACAATAGTTGGGGGGAAAAAGGGATATTGGACAAGACACCAAAAGGAGAATATAGCATGAAAGAAAAATTGCCCATACAGGGAAGAATTTTTAAAAGGGGAGAAAGTGAGTTTCCACTATAAATAGGAAAGGGCACCTAGGCAACTTACATGCAACTAAAAGTGTTTGCTGGAGCCTTAGCACCGTCAACCTGCCCAGCTAGGTCTTGACGATGAAGCTGGTAGTGTGTGTTCCTCTTAAGTGGAGATCTTCACGCATCAGGTCTGATTCTGCCAGCTAGGAACAGATACTCCTGTTCATAGGCTGGAGAAAGTGAGGCTGTGAATTGTACAGTTTGCTGGGGACTACCCCACAAAGTGAGTATTAGTAATCATCATCATCATCATTATTATCGTGTGCTGGCACCATCCTGATTGCTCTACCTGCATTATCTCATTGCATCTTCCAACAGTCATACTTCACGAAGTTGTAAAAAATAAGACAATGACTAGAAGTTAACCAGCACCTGGTACTAGGTAATCTCTTCTAATAATTCTGTGAGGTTAGCATTCTTATTGCCTCACATTTTGCAGGTAAGAAAACAGAGGCACAGAGATGTCAGGTTGCTTGCCTAAAGTCACACAGTAAGTAACAGAGCTGGAGCTGGAACCTAGGTGTGCAAAGCTCTGGGTCCACTCCCATAATGATGAGTTCATTCTGCCTCATTCAAACTGGAGTCATTACAGAGCCATGCCCTACACTCTGCCATTTCCCCACAGGCCCCCAAAGGAGCCCCCAGCCCATGTGACAAGGCACATTTCACAATCTGTACACCCAGAAAACCAGATGGGCCACTGGCAGGCATGAGAACCCTGGGGCGACCCTGTCATGCCCAGAGAACAGCGTGTGTGGGGCTGACTGAAAAATGATTCCTCTGTGAGCACTTGTGTCAGGGCCTCCCTGTGGGTATTAGAGAGTGATTGATCACCATTAATGAGGTTGGGTGGTTCATGGCAGGATTTAGCAAGTCTTCAACTGGGAGTATCTGGGTGTCAATATCCAGCACAGGCAGCCCCTGGGGTCTAGCCTGCTGGATCTGTCCTGTGCTATAGGCCTCCTTTGGTGGAGCTTGAGACCACCCCCTTTGATGTTGAGTTTTCTTCCAAACTTCTGGAAAATTGAGTGAGTGTTTTCCTTTCCATTGCTTAAGTACTGACACCCATCCTGCTGTATACTGCCTGTCCTTAGGCAGGTTCCTCTCTGGAACCAGATTTTGAAGTTCTCTGCATCCTAAATTGCTAGAATTCTATTAGAAGGAAATGATACCAGAAGTTCTCAACTACTGGCTGAGACAGCATTTGCTTGGTCTTTTTGTGGGTTTTAAGTAGCTCAGCCAGAAAGCAGTGGGCATTTTGAGTCAGAAGGGACTTGTTCGGATGAAACCCCACTTTACCACTCTAGACTTTCACTGTCCTGGTGCCAAGAATGAGGCACGTTGGAGCCATAAAGGCTGAGGCTGACTGGGCATGGAGCAGCAGGCACCATACCCCTGCTATGCTGAGGGCCAGCGAACTGGGGAAAGGTCCCCCCTCACCTAGAGCAGTGGCCCTGGTAATTTGCACCTCCCCACAAACTGGACAGGAGGCATCAGGAAGGGAGGCCTATCAGGTAGACCCCTGAGCTCCTCTCTTGATCTTGTTGCCAACTTTCTCCCAAATGGAGGAGAAGCCAGATGGGGAGACTCTTAGGAGGCAGCTCCCTGAAGGTTCTGGATGCTGGGAGCCAGAGACCTCAGTTCTAGGCTGGATGCCTTGAGGTAGCAGCCGGGTGGCCTCAGGCAAGCCAGTGGCCCTCTCCATTTCTGTTTTTCCTCAAACGAGGACAGTCATACCTTCCCTCCCTACCTGACAGGGGCGTTGCAGGATCAGAGCTGATGACAGATGTATGAGAAGCACATCGAAAAATATAACACTATGCAAATGTGAGGGATTATCAAATCTTGGACTTGGGTTTCCTCCTTAGTGGGCTGGCCTTCCTTAAAACAAGGTGACATATGTAAAGCACCTGGCTCACACCTGACACATAGTAGGCGGACAAGCTCTGGGAGCTGTCCCAGGCGGATGCCGTTGATCTTGTCTTTCCTTTCATCTGGAAGGTCCAAGGTCCTCCCCACTTATCTCCACTCTCTTTCTTTCCCTCCACCCCTCTCCTCAGCCAACATCCGTCACTCCCTTGGGTTCAAGCAGGTCAGAAGTCCTCTTGTTTCTTTTTCTTCATAGCTCTCTTCACCTATCTAATGTTAGCTGTTTGTTTTTGTGGTCACGTATGTCTTGCTGCCACTAAAATACAACCTCTGTATCAGCAGGGACAACCTTGTTGTCTTAGTCTCCCAGGACAGGCTCTGGCACATAGTAGTTACTTGATAAATATTTGTTAAAACGAGGGATGAATGGTTACATGGATCAATGCCACCCAGGCTTATTGCTTTTTTAATCTCTCTTTCATCTCTTCTTGGAAAGTAGTGGTTTGTTTCCTTCTTGGAAAAGTGCTAGCCACGGAGTTCCCAGGCCAGACCCTAGAAGTCCTGGCTTCACTCAGCCAGTCCCCTGCAACAGGTCACCTAACATCTCTGTTGTACATTTTCTGGTCTGTAAAGTAGGGATAATAACACATCATGTATGTTGGGAGGCTCTATGAGGTAATGAAAGTCGGGCAAGGTGTTATTACATTATCTCTTTTGTTTCTTTTGAACAGAACCTCATTCACAGACAGGAGGCTTGTGGGGGGATAATTTGAGAAGCTCAGGCACAGTCTCCCCTTTATTCCGACTTGAGGGTTCTGGGATGATGATGGTAATGATGGCTATGATTAACTGAGCAATTATTCTCTGGCAGGCACTAGGCTAAACATGTTTCTTACCTCAATGTACCTAATTCTAACAACCCATAAGATGAACCCTACTCTAAAGTAGCCACCCCTAGTCACCCTTCATTATCTTACTATGTTAATTTTCTTCACAGCACTTATAACTAACTAAAAGTAACTGATTTACCTACTTGTTTATGGTCTGCCTCCCATATTAGATTGTAAGTTCCATGGGAGCAGAGCCTTACCTGTCTTGTTTCAGTTGATTCCCAGTGCCCAGAAGAGTCCCTGACTGGCACACTGGCATACAGAAGACACTCAGTAGACCCATTTAACAGATGAGCAAATAGAAGGGCTAAGTGCCTTACCCAAGGACATGTAGTTAACAAACCCATACACTGGTGACCCTGGTGCCGCCTCCTCCTACAGTGTTACAGGTTCTGGTGTGCTGTGTCTGCTAGAGATCTGATGTCAGATTGTCCAGAGCCGGGTCTTCTCCCCTCCTCCCTCATTTCCTTTTCACTTTCTGATAGTTTAGTTCAGTCTTGGACAGAGAGTTTGTGGAGGCCCTGGGGAAGCTGACCTCATAGGTTGGGAATCCCCTGGTTTCCCTTTTTTGTCTGGCCCTGTCTCCCATGAGTAGGACTCACTCCTTCTTAGAACCCTTTTCACACTGATCCAGTATCAGCTCCTGGGACAATTTTTTTCTCTTTCTCACCTACTAGCTCCTAAATCCTCATTTCTAATCTTTAAGAGAGCAGAGAGCCAAAAGTTCTTGGATTTTAGGATTCAACACACAAGTCAAAAGCCTTATCCATTAAGACTTTCTAAAAGCCAAATGCTTGGTCCTAGAACATGAGGTTGGTTGGTGTTATGAACAGGCATGGGACACTGGGACTCCCAGCCCCTGACCAGAAACTCCTCCAGTCGTCATCTTGTCTTCCTCCTGCCTTTGGGAAATTCCTTTCTGTTTTGCAGCAGAGAATTAGTTCAATGTATTTTGAGAAGAGAAATTTCCAGAATGGGAAAGCCATCTGGAAAAGAGACTAGCACTGGGGTTGAGTACTGTATTGTATAGTCCGACAGCTCCAAGTTCAAGTTGAGCCACTATCACTTATTGGCCGAGTGACCTTGAGCAGGTGATATCATCTATTTGAGTCTCAATTTCCCCTCCTATAAAAGGAGATGATAATTCCTGTCTCAGGGCTATTGTGTGGAGTAGATGAGATGACACACAAAAACAGATGGCACTATGTTTGCCAGTGGCAAGTGTTTAAAGCACAGAAGCTGCTGTTTATCAAGGAATCAGACTTTGGGATCCCAACAGGATAGACTGGAGACCTTATAGGCCAGAAGAACCCCCCAGGTGAACAGCAGACATTGTCTGTTCTTTTGTTTCAGAGTCATTTTATTGTTGCCTTCTAAAATTTATCTTTTTTAAAGGATAAGGTAACTCCCAGCATCAGATTTGATAATGGTCATCCCCTAGACTTGGCAGATTGGGGCTCCAGGCCCAGCCCTGCCTCTGACTTGCATAGTAACCATGCCTTCTACCACTCTGCAACCCCTCAATGTCTTGCCCCAAGCTGACCTGGAGCACAGTGATGGCTTGTATGAATTACACATTTGTTATGTGCCAGGCACAGTTTTAAGCATTTTTCCTGTGCTGATGTATTAATCCTCATGATGCTATGCAGTGGGTGCTTTTATTAGACTTGTTTACAAATGAGGGACAGTGCTAAGCACTGGTGGTCCCCACTGACCCAGGGGGTGGATCCATCAGGCATTTCCCTGCTTTGCCCATGCCTGGTTAGTTGGGAGTTTCCATTAGCTCAGGGCTGGGCAGACAGCGAGGGTGGCCACTCTGGACCTGCTCTGTAAATTCCTCTAAACCCCAGGCCCAGGAAGCAATGAGGAGGGGCCTCTTCTCACCTCTCCTTGAGGCCCCTTGATTTATAGCCACAGAAACTCAGGGTGTGCCTCCTGCTCTCCGCACCCCTAGAACAGGAAAGTTTCTGTCATTTCTCTTTCCTGTGTGACAGCTCCACCTCCCTTCCTCTCAGAGCCCAACTCCTCACACCCTGGGGCCCCATGGGATGGGAGACACTGTCCTGGATGAAGCCCCTGGGAGAGCTACTGCCTCCTGTGTGCCTAGGTATGGCCTGGCCTGCTGTGCCCACTGGAGTCTGAGGATACGGGCCTGAGTGACCATGTAGTAGGAAGGTACTTCCTGCACATGTTTGCAGGGGTCTCTGCCCACCCACTAGTCTGCCACTGTGCTGTAGTTTTACCACAAACACAGTTTTCTGCTGCGTTAAAGATTGCACTCCTGCAGCAATGGAAAAGCAGTGTGGCTGAGTGGCAAGTGTGTGCCTTTGTGCTCGATAAGGCTCAGCTGAAATACCAGTTGTCTCGTGAACCAGCTGGATGACCCTGGACATTTTCTTGTTCTCTCCAAGACTTGGGTTCCTTTATCTTAACAGATGAAGCAAATGATCCTTATCTTGTAGTGTCCTTATAAGAAGCAGTGCTAATGAACGGAGAACATTCATATGCATTATAGTAAATGGCAGCTGGCATTGTTCTTAGGTCTCTAACACCAGAGATTCTGCATGACTCATGTAGAAAGGGAAGCACTGGGGCCCCAGGAAATCAGTCAGTGCCCACTTCATCTCTGGGGTCCTCTCTTCATAGCCTGGACCACCCCATCTTCATACATTCTTTGCTCTAAATTGAACACAACCAGAACGTTTCTGCTTCTGTGCCTTGTTTGTGATTAGGAGCATGTACAGTAACCAGTGATTCCTCAAAATGTGGTCCCCAGACTGCCAGCATCAGCAGCACCAGGGAAGTTATTAGAAATGCACATTCTTAGCCACCCAGAGCCAGTGAATCAGACACTCCAGGGGCAGGGCCCAGCAATCTGTGTGTTTTTAAATTATTTTTAAAATAATTGACACATAATTGTACATATTTATAGAATACAATGTGAGATTTCAATGTGCCTTTACATTGTATAATGACCAAATCAGGGTAATTGGCATATTTATCACTTTAAATATTTTGTTTGTTTGTTTTTTGAGATGGAGACTCGCTCTGTCACCAAGCAGGAGTACAGTTGCATGATCTTTGTTCACTGCAACCTCTACCTCCTGGGTTCAGGCGATCCTCCTGCCTCAGCCTCCCAAGTAGTTGGGACTACAGGCATGTGCCACCATGCCCAGCTAATTTTTTGTATTTTTAGTAGAGACAGGGTTTCACCATGTTGACCAGGATGGTCTCCATCTCTTGACCTCATGATCCGCCCACCTGGGCCTCCCAAATTGCCGGGATTACAGGCATGAGCCACTGCACTGGGCCCATTTTAAATATTTATCATTTCTTTGGGATGATAACATTAAAAATTTACTCTGCCAGCTATCTTGAAGTATACACTACATTGTTCTTTGTTATAGTCACCCTGCCATGAAAGCAATCTGTTTGTTAACAAGCCTTCCAAGTCATTCTCATTCAGCTAAAGTTTGAGAACATTATTCTGTACCATTGCATCACCCTTCAGGAGCTCGAATCCTCTCTTGGCCACTCACTTACTGGGACCTTGGACAATTCTCAACTTATCTGAGCTTTAGTTTCCTCCATTGTAAGATAGGAATAATAATAGTATCTGTCTTGCAGGGTTGTTGCAAGTAAACATGATAATTTATGAAATTGCTTAGCTAGTGCCTAACTCATGGTCAGTGTTCAATAAAGCGTAGCTATTATTTTTACCATTCTCATTATTTGCCTGTGTTACATCCCTACTCCTTCCTCCCACTGCTGAGTAAAATAATCCCCAGTGCTGAGTTTCCCCAACTAAAATGTCTGCCTGCTCCAAAAAGCCTTTCCTGGATCTCTTTCCTTGAGTCCTTGTGGCTTGTCTCTTGAGCTATATAATGCCTTGCATTTGTCCAACCTTCTCAGCACCAGTACCCAGGTCCTGCCTGCTTCTGTGTGCCCTGCCGCCTTCAACTTCAATTCCTGGCTTCTGAGCAGCTGCTTGAAACTCTGCAATAAAATTGGTCTGAAATGCCATTTCCCGGGACCAGGTTCTGCCTAAGAGCTTCCTCGCCCTGGCTCTCTCTGTCACAGACCACACTTTCCCCCAGACTTGAAATGATCTACAGCCTTCTGTGCCTTTCACAGTCGAGGAAAATTTCTTCAGTAGAACTCATGGGTTATCTGGAAATTTTATCCTTATCCCATTGCAGCTTGTCGTGGCATTTCCCATTCATGGCACGAATTCTCTTTGAATAAGAGAAAGTATACTCAAAAAATACTCTGAAAGTATTTTATTGAATCCACTCTGCAGTCTTGAAGATCAGGATGATGACCCTCACACTGTAGATGAAGGAACTAAGGCCCAGGTCAACAGTGTCTACCTGGCAACATTTGGAATTGATTGAGCTCTAGAGTTTGTGTCCACTCCACTGCCCCATACTGCCTAATGGTGCAGAAGAGGCAGTTTCACATTTTCAAAGCGAATAACTGAATTCCTGGCCATTGGCCTGTGGCTGCCCATTCATGGACCTTCCTCTGGGATAGCCTAAATTTGACCCTCTTATTTGCATTCAGTTTTAGGTCTGTACGGCTGCTAAAGAACGACCCAGTCAACTTGCAGAAGTTCTCTTACACTAGTGAGGATGAGGCCTGGAAGACATACCTAGAAAACCCCTTGACAGCTGCCACGAAGGCCATGATGAGAGTCAATGGAGATGATGACAGCGTTGCGGCCTTGAGCTTCCTATATGATTACTACATGGTATGCCCGCCCCCCTCTGGGGATGACCCTTCTGACTGAATGGGTGTCCTCGCTTTCAGGCCTCATGACTCAGAAGGCCACCATGACCACCTCAGCCCCTCATCTCTGGGCCTTTGCACATGCTGTTCCCTCTGCCTGGCACCCTAAGCTTAAATATCACTTCATTCACTCACTGGAGGGGAGGACTTCTTATCTGGGTGCCCTCAGAAACCACCATCATCTTCCTTGATGCTATCAAGGATGCTTAGAAGCTTGCTGTTTACGCATTTATTTTTTCCCATCTTCCCCACGAGACTGAACTACTGGAGGATCATTACTGAGTCCTCAGCACACCATACAGCCTGCCACATAGTGGGTGACACATGCGAATCAAGTGGACAGTGCCTGACCCACCCCTTGCCTGGTCTAAGCGTGTTCCATGATAGCAACACTCTCATACCCCTCCATCTTCTTTCTGCCCCTGTCCCTCAGCTCTTATGTTTCCCTGTTAGCCCCACCCATCTGGTCCAGGCCCACCACCTGGAGGGTACCGTCTGCTCTTTAACCCATTCCCTTCCTTCAGGGCCCTGCCCAAGGCCCACCTTCTCCTAGAAGCCGTCTGCCACCTTATCTCTCCCTCTCCTGTTCTTCCAACTCCCGTTGCCATTATGTCTTTTACTGTTCTCTAATTACTTCCAGGACCTTGGCCTTGACTCTGGGAGACTGTTGGCTCCCTAATTCCTGAGAAGAGGAATTAGGCCTCCCATATCTGATAAGTACAGGTTGGACCAGTCAGGAATCAAGGGGGTATAACACATGACACAGCCCCTTCCCACCTCTGGTACCTGTGCCAGACATTGCTAATGGATTGGAGCCTGCATTCTCATGAAGGGCACAGGAGGGTGCAGAATCTTTGTCAATGTAGTAGTCCAGGCAGGCTCTACCCATCCGTCTGGATTGTCACAAGACAGCAAACTGACTTGCTGTCCCTGAGCTGGGCAACTGCTCCAAGAAACTGTCCTAGATTAGGGGATGAGGGCACACAACTAGCCAATTGTTGAGATAACTGGCTCTGAACTTGAAGATTTAAAGCTGCCTTTTACATAAGACCTCAAACTTACTAGCCCAAGAAGTATTTTATCCACTCTACCTCAAGCATAGAGACAAATTCTTTGCGTGAACTTAGAAGCCAAGGGGGTTCCAGATAGGAGAAACCCCAAACTGTCCTCTGGCTTTGGTTCTCCTTCTGGAGTGGTCTGGTTACCCTGCCCTCCCTCCTCCCCAGAAGACGGGTAGTATCCAGAGAGCGTTCATCCGAGGTCGATGGAAGAGGCATTTGAATGGCTGCCTTGGCTTGGGGCCATGGTAGGAGCCAGAATTCTAGGTTTAGGTTTCAAACTCCAGCTTGGGATTTATAGGTTGAGAATCGACCATAAAATACAATCTAACACCATGTCCCCTTGACAAGAAGCCATTCCAGAGCCAGGATGGTAGAAGAGAGGCTATGAAGGTGACACCAGTAGTACTGGTTTTAGTGAAGTACAGTGTCTTGGTGAGATACACCTGCCCTGGCCTCCCCATCCCAGAGCACTCTGGATTCAGAACAGCCCCCTGGACAGTGAGGACATGGGCCGATGGTGCAGAAAGAGCACTAAGTCGGGAGTTTGAGACCTAGTCCTGCCACAAATGTGGCTTTGGGTAATATAGTGCTAAAGGCAACCACTTACAATGTCTTTACTGAATGTCCACCACTCTGTCAGGCACCTTCCTTCATACTCTCATGGGGTGTGATTAGGAGCCCAGGCTTTGGAGGCTGTGCTGAGTTGGGGTCCTGGTTCTAGCTGTATCAACCTTAGAGACAAATAAATTAGAATGTTCTAAGATATGATAATATTATAATTATACTTGTGAAAGTCACATTTATATAGTGCTCTCCATGTGCTAGGTGCTGTTCTGAGCACTCAAAATGATCCCTGAGGTTGATGTTATATTATGATCTCTATATAGATGAGGATATGAGGAATGGAGAGGTTAAGGGACTTGTGTAGGGTCACACAGCTAGTATGTGGTAGGCCTGGGAACTGAATCCAAGAAATATGGATTCAGAATCCATGCTCCTAAGTACTAAGACAATAGAGTATCTCTGAGCCCCTGTTTTCTCATCCATCGAGTGATGATGATACTAGTAGCCATCTCAGAGTGGTTGTGAGGGTTAAATTAGAGACTAGAAGGCACTTAGTATAAGGCTTAGTCCATAAGAAGTACTCTGTTAAAAAAGTGATTATTTTTTATAAACAAATATTCATAATCTCTTTTAAGTAGGTATTATAACCACTCACTTGACATATGAAGAAGCTGAGTCTCAGAGAGGTGTAGTCCCCTATCCAAAGTCACAGTGCACTTTCAAGTGGCATTTCTAGGACTTACACCAGGCCTGCCTGACTCCTTAATTTCATGCTCCTTAACTACTAAGCTTGAGGTTCTTCTTCCTACTCCCTGACTTGGGGCTCAGAGTAATCATGGCTAGAGCTCCAGCCAGTGGAAAGGACTGGAGGCTTTTCTAGTGACCAAGTGTATTAGTCTGTTCTCACGTGGCTAATAAAGACAATACCCAGGACTGGATAATTTATAAAGGAAAGAGGTTTAATTGACTCACAGTTCAGTGTGGCTGGGGAGACCTCAGGAAACTTATAATCATGGCAGAAAGGGAAGCAAACATGGCTTTCTTCACATGGCGGCAACAAGGAGAAGTGCTGAGCAAAAGGGGTAAAGCCCCCTTATAAAATCATCAGACATGAGAACTCACTCCCTATCAGGAGAACAGCAGCATGGGAGTAACTGCCCCCATGATTCAATTACTTCCCACTCTCTTGTGATTATGGGAACTACAATTCAAGATGAGATTTGGGTGGTGACACAGCCAAACCATATCACCAAGGTTACTCCCCTGCCTGGCCAAAGCTGCAGGAGGGGGTTGAGGCTCCTACTAGCAAAACCCTAGCCAACAGCTCTGCATACATCTTTCCTTTCTCTCCTTTCAGGGTCCCAAGGAGAAGCGGATATTGTCCAGCACTGGGGGCAGGAATGACCAAGGAAAGAGGTGAGGCTTGCCAACACCCTCTGCCTCCTTGCCCTTCCCCATCTCCACCTGGGGCCTCTTCCACACAGGCTTGACTTATCCATTAGGCACAGGAGGCATGGTGCTGAGGGCCCACAGCACATTTTGGGGTCCATGATAGTGTTTCAATTTCTTTTAGAATTAAAAGAAAAAAAAAACAATATAATTTAACTAGGATTATATTTGTCTTTGTACCAATGCACTTATTAAAGGTATTTTTAAATATTTTGGAAGGGGCCAGTGAAGGCTGAAGAGGCTAGGGCTCTTGAAAGTACTAATGAAACTCTGTTTGAAAACACACACACACACACACACAGACATACACAGAAACATATCCCAGATGCCTGTAGGCCATGTGGGCTGGAGTTTACTGAAAACAAACTTCAAAGCCATAGTAATAGAGAAGCCCTGGAGGCAGCTTTTCTTTCCTCTTCAAAACCCTCTCCCCTGCGGGCCCCACAGCTTCTTGGGGAGGGACGCTCGGGAGGGGGAGGGACATCTGGGTTCCCATACTTCCCCTAGCCTGCTGGGCCTCTGCCTGGCATTAGTGTCCCAGGGCATTGGTGTTCCTTTCCTTTAGAAAGTGGCCCCGGCCATGCTCACTGCTAGATGGGCACTGGGAAGACCTTGCCCCTCTTTCTCCACTTTCTCCTTCCTGGCCAATCAGGTGACTTCTCACAAATGACCCTGTAGGGCCTCTGCTGGGAAGCCTGGAAAATCCAAACAGGCATTACAGCTCTTCTAGTCACACAGCCTGGCCTGCGGCTGGCTCAGGGCCCATCCCCTCCACTGCCAGGAACAGTGGGTTTGGGTACATGGGGACATTTCTCAAAACTAATTTTTAAAAATGTCATTAATCTTCTGATTACAAAAGCACCACCAGTTTCTTGCAAAAGTTCCAACTCTACAGAAATGTATAAAGTAAAAAGATTTCCTGGAATCCAGCACCCTTCTCTCCCCCTTAACAGTTTGGGGTACATCCTTCCAGACCTTTTTCTAAACGTGTTAACTGTACTCACAGATACACATTTCTCCCACTCTCCCTACCTTGTACACAATTCCCTGGGGTTGACTCAATACAGTTGTTTTGAAGTAGGGACATTTTGGCACAGGGACATTTGACTTTGGCTAATAAATAAATGATTAAACTTTCAGGTTTTTTTTTTTTAATTAACAAATACTATAATGGGTAAAACAGATGTTGCTCCCTTAACCCTGAGCCTGTACTTGGTTCCATTCTTAACATCTCCCTGCTCAACCCTATGACCAGCTGGGGCTGCCACAGTGTCTTGTTTCATGCTTGTTGGGTGGGCCTAAACATGACACTGGCTCTAAGACCAGCATGTCAGTTGCCTTACACTCTTGCCAAGGACCCCACACTGCCCCCAGAGAGAAGTATACTCAGCCCCTTTTTTTTCTCCCCAGGTACTATCATGGCATGGAATATGAGACGGACCTCACCCCCCTTGAAAGCCCCACACATCTCATGAAATTCCTGACAGAGAATGTGTCTGGAACCCCAGAGTACCCAGATTTGCTCAAGAAGAATAACCTGATGAGCTTGGAGGGGGCCTTGCCCACCGCTGGCAAGGCAGCTCCACTCCCTGCAGGCCCCAGCAAGCTGGAGGCCAGCTCTGTGGACAGCTACCTGTTGCCCACCAGTGATATGTATGATAATGGCTCCCTCAACTCCTTGTTTGAGAGCATTCATGGGGTGCCACCCACCCAGCGCTGGCAGCCAGACAGCACCTTCAAAGATGACCCACAGGAGGTGAGGGTCTACCCCCATTCCTCCATAGCATAGATATGTGTGTGCATGTACAGAAGGAGAGAAGATAGTGAACAGGTTAGAGCTTTGGAATCCATGGGGGAAAGAGTCCTAAAGTTGAGACAGGGTTGCCATGTACTGTTGTCCAAGTTGTACACTGTACAACCTGCATAGCTGTATGCACAGCCTTGGGCTGAGGCTCCCCAGAGTGAATGTGACCATTTATTCTCTTGGAACTGTGTTTCTCTGCAGTCAATGCTCTTCCCAGATATCCTGAAAACATCCCCGGAACCGCCATGTCCAGAGGACTACTCCAGCCTCAAAAGGTAACTTGGTTTCCCTGGACCCTCAGACGCCTGGGCAGTGGGTAGGAGGCTGCAGACAGAGCCCCACAGTGTCCCAGAGCATAGCAGGCACAATCAATGAATAAGTGGGGGGTGAAGGCAGATAGATAGAGGGAGAGATAATGATTTCCACATCCCATTCCTGAGCTGTGACGGGGAGCTCAGAACTTGCACCCTATCAGAAAACTGAGGTTCTTTTATCCTTAGTTTCCCCTAGCTTTGTCACCCCTCAAGGGTCTCTCTAATTTTCACTGGGCCCTCATTATTCAGCAGGATTGTGGCTCAAGAGAGCCATTAAAGAGAACCCCCAAAGTGAGGAAACTGGGGCCCAAGGAAGTAAAGTTATTTTCCAAGGTCGTACAGCAAGTCTATAACATAGCCTCGGGCCTCCTGCCCCACTGCCCTCTGGGATACTTCCTGCCTGGGAGCCTGGCCTCACTGTCCTCTCCCTCCTCCCTGCAGTGACTTTGAATACACCCTGGGCTCCCCCAAAGCCATCCACATCAAGTCAGGCGAGTCACCCATGGCCTACCTCAATAAGGGCCAGTTCTACCCCGTCACCTTGAGGACCCCAGCAGGTGGCAAAGGCCTTGCCTTGTCCTCCAACAAAGTCAAGGTGCGTTGGCCTGAAGCAGTTTCGGAAGGGGTGGAATGGGCAAGATGTACCTCCTCCTTGGGCTAGCCACGGACCCTGGGGAAAGGTTGTTTGATAAAAGCCCATTGCCACACGGTTGGGGAAACTGAGGCAAAAGGGCAGGCCACTGGACCCGGGCTCTGGGAACAGGCCAGGAGTGACTGTGACCAACTGTGCTTGCAGAGTGTGGTAATGGTTGTCTTCGACAATGAGAAGGTCCCAGTAGAGCAGCTGCGCTTCTGGAAGCACTGGCATTCCCGGCAGCCCACTGCCAAGCAGCGGGTCATCGATGTGGGTGAGAGCCTTCTCTAGCCTTCTCTAGCCTCCCTGCCAGCTCCTCCCCCCTCCCCACCACACCAATCAGACCTCGTTGTTGCTCACCCCTGTTTCCCCACCCCGCTCTGCCCTCTGTCTCCAGGTCACACACTATGGGGTTTGCAAGGATTTGCATCTATTGATTAGAAGCTGTGGCCTCTTTTCTGTATTGCTTTGGGATAAACAGGGCCCTGGGAACCTTAGCAGTGTCAGATAAATAGGCCCTGAAATGCTGGCCTGTTTGTTCCCATCGGGGGGCTGATGAAGACACAAATGCACAAGATAAGGTGCAGGCAGCAGGTGGTTTGGAAGGTCGGAGGCACAGCACAGCACCACCCTGGGGCTCTCTCAGCAGGTAGGGGCAGAGGAGAGGCTCCCTGTGTGTGCCACCTCGTCCTCATCTCTAGCCCTGAAACAGGTGGGAGGCGCAGCCCACCCTCAAGTCTTCGGCTTTTTGTTCCAACACTCCCTGGCTGTGTGACCTGTGTCACCTCACCTTCCTGAACCTCAGTTTGTTCAATGGGCTGAGGCCAGCTGCCTTGCCTGCCTGTAGTGCTGATTTCTGCTTTGGAGCTCTGTGCACTGGAGAACAAGATACATATAGGGGACTGTTTAATGACTTGTCTGAGAGGCTGGATAGCAGAGGCTGGATAGATAGTGAGGAGCATGGGTTCAGGAGCCAGATAGATCTGAGCTCCAGCCCTTGCTCTGCCTTTTATTAGCCGAGCGACCTTAGTCAAGTAACCAAACCTCTCTGAGCTTCATTTTCCTCATATATAAACTGAGAATATTCATAGCATAGTTGTGAGGATTCACTGAGGGCTTACCACATTGCAAGTGTTGAAGAAATGGTACTTGCTAGTACTGCTACCTTTGCTACTGCTATTACTACCTACCCTATTGCTGTTGTTTTTATCATACTGCCATTGCTGCGGCTCCATCTGTGAGAACTCCCAAATCACAGTCCTGGTGAAAAGCATAACCTCCACCCCCAGGATGAGGAGCCTATTGGCAAAGCTTGGGATTCCCTCTGGGGCTTTGGGCAGATCTGTTTCTCAGGCTGGACCTGTTTCCACATCTGCAGTCCAGGGCACAGAAATCCCTTTTCCTACCTGGATTAAAGTGTAGTTCACAGGGGAGAGGACGTGGGCCCCTGCCAAGAGGACAAGAGGTCCAGTTTTTAATGCCTCCCTCCCAACATGGACCCACATCCTTTCCTTCCTGATTCTCCTGGTCTCCTGTGGTTTCAGCTGACTGCAAAGAAAACTTCAACACTGTGGAGCACATTGAGGAGGTGGCCTATAACGCGCTGTCCTTTGTGTGGAACGTGAATGAAGAGGCCAAGGTCAGTGCTGGGGTGGGGGCAGTGACTGGGATGGGACTGGGCTGCCTGGAAGTGCCTACTCTGGGGAAGATGCTTTCTTGCACCTAGGATCGTGGCATTTGCTCTGATGTGGGCACCTATGGAAGACACAGGACACAGTGTGGTGTGGGAGCTCGGGCTCGGAGCCAGGCAGGCCGGGTGTGACTTTGGACCAGTGCCTTAGTCCCTCTGAGCATCAGTTGTTTTGACTATGAAGTAGGAGTGGAATCATAGCCCCAACTGGTAGGTTGTAGTGAGGGGCAGGTGAGACAAGTAACAGGTAGAGCACACGCCTGGCCCAAACATGGCGGTTGTTGATATTACTCTAGTCCACCCATTTACCAGATGGGAAAACTGAGCCTTCTGCGTGGTCACGCAGCAAGCAAGCCACCGGGGGCACCCAGGATTCCTGACATCTTGGCCAGCGCAGAATGTTGCATGTGGGAAAAATGCAAAGGAGTCTGGTGAATGAGGGCTTGAATCACAGTTGCCTCACTTCTCTGAGCCCATAAACATGAGAACAGTCACCTGCCTTCTGGGATTGGAGTGCAGCTCCCACAAGATGGTGCATGTCTACAAACTGGAGGGGCCTGAGAGATGGAGCCTCTGGTGATGTTTTCACGCCAGTAGTTAAGCTGTTAAGATTCTTCCAGCCTTAGTGCTTGAGCCCAGCTTCAGGCTTGCCATGCGCTCATGGGCCTTGCGAAGCCTTGGTGTGCTTTTTAGAGAGCCGGCAAGGTGGAGAGGTGCTGGTGTGGGAGTCGGGAGCTGGGTACCTTCGGCCTGTCCCTTCCCCTCCCTGGACCAGGCTTACCTCACTCACCAGGGTCGGGTCTAGATCATCTCAGGGGCATTTCTGGACAGGCTGGGGAGCTAACCCCTGCCTCCCTGCCTGCCTCTGGGGATGGTCAGGTTGCCTGGAGAAGATAGAGGTGCGGAGCTCAGAAAACACAAAGGGAGCACAAAGGCAGGGATTATTATTATTCAGACAGACACCGGGGGCTGGAGGAGGAGCTGGGGCCTCGGGTTCAGGGAGGTGGGGAGTTTCGTGAGAAGGAAGAGATGGGTTTCGATGGGGATTTTCTCACAGTCTCTTAAGCCCCCAGGCTTGGGTCTTTCTCAGGTGCGAGGTGGGTGGGGGCTGTGGGAGGGCTGAGCTGGCTGAAGGGGTGGTATGTCTGGCATGTGCCTGGGGGCCTGGTCCCCACAGCCAGGGAAAAAAGGGGGTCTGCTCAGACACACATTTCACATCCTGTTTGGGTCACGGTCATTTCCAAAGGTAACATTCCAAAGACCAGGAGTCAGCCTGTGGTGTAGGGACGGGTCGGGGGGGTGTTCCCATGAGCCCCACAGAAGGATGATCACCAGGTGACCTTGCCAGGGTCTGCCCAGATGAGACTGACTGCAGGTGGCCATCAGTTGGACACAGGCTTTGGGATGAGACTTCCAGCTGTCCGTCTCATGGCAACAGTCACAACATATCAAGCCTACACCCCCTCATAGCCACACAAGATAGGTTTCATCATCCCCATTCCACAGACAAGGAAACTGAGGCTTAGTGAGGTAAAAGGATTTGTCCAAAGCCATATATGGCTAGTGAGTGGCAGAGCCCAGCTTCCCACCACCAGTGTGGATGGCCCCACCGCCAAGCTCACTTTGTTATGCCCTATGCCTGACTCTCTGGGGAAATGGTGGCAATTATGGTCCTGCTTAGAGCTTCTATTTCCCCGGCTGTAAGATGGAGTGACTAGGATGGCTCCCTTGCTGTATGTGGGGTGGGATCAAATCAGCTGAAAGAACCTCTCACCAGCGAGTCCTGCGATGGCTAGAGTGGGTGGTGGAGTGGAGAGGGGCTGGGTCAGCAGGAAAGTGGTCTCCCTGTGTTGGGGACAGGGGACTTGGCCCTTTTCCACCTCCTTTTACCAAGTTGCAGAAAAATGAGGCTCTGGATCTTAAGCTCCTAAAGGACTCTTGACATCTCCCACAGCCTCCCCGCCTTCGGTTGCCCTTGGCAGTCTAGTGGAAGCTGTGCCAACAGTGGTGAAGAGCCTGGGCTGTGAGCCTGGGTTCAAACCCCTGCTGCACCACACACCGCCCGTGCCACCTCGGGAAAGTTGCCCCACCTCTCTGAGCATCAGCTTCCCCATCTGTGAAAGTGGAGTGCTGATGCACGCCTTCTAGGGGCCCCGTGAGGCTTAAGGGTGAGCCCCAGGCACACAGACGGCTAGAAAAATAAGGTCACTGTGGGATGGTGGGACTGGACACCTGGGCAGGCCACTCACCCAGCTGCCCCCTCTGTCCCCAGGTGTTCATCGGTGTCAACTGTCTGAGCACAGATTTTTCCTCACAAAAGGGGGTGAAGGGTGTCCCCCTGAACCTGCAGATTGACACCTATGACTGTGGCTCAGGCACTGAGCGCCTGGTACACCGCGCTGTCTGCCAGATCAAGATTTTCTGCGACAAGGTGGCTGGAATGGGCAGACCCTACACTGGGTCTGGGGAGGTAGAAGGGTTAAGCCCTGACCCATGTATCCTCTTAGCCTTTCTGGGTGTGTGTGTCTGTTTCTGTTTTTCTATCCCCCTCCTCCTTCTTTGTCTCTCTTTCCTCCAACACCCCCACTCCCCCAACTCTCTGTCTCTCTGAGTTTCTTCTTTTCTGTCTTCTCTCTGTCTACCTCTCTCATGGCCTGTATTGACCTCAGGCAAGCAGGGCTAAGCCCCATTGGCCAGGTAGATGCTGATACCTTCCCACTTTCTGGTCTTGCTCTAGAAAAAGAAGGACCAGAAGCCTGGCCCATATTTAAGATGCAAAGCAGCAGCCATGATAGTAGCTGGCCCCTCCCAGGCCCTTGGTGACCCTCTGTCTTCTCCTGCAGGGAGCTGAGAGGAAGATGCGTGATGACGAGCGGAAGCACTTCCGGAGGAAGGTCAAGTGCCCCGACTCCAACAACAGTGGTCAGTGGGGGTCCAGGGCTGGTGGGAAGGAGAGATGGAGACTAGCCGTGGGAGGGACCTGAGTGGAAGGACCTCGGGACACATTGGCTTCCTTCTCCCATCAGGAGTCAGGGGCTGCCTGCTCTCGGGCTTCAGGGGCAATGAGACTACTTACCTTCGGCCAGAGACTGACCTGGAGACGCCGCCTGTGCTGTTCATCCCCAACGTGCACTTCAACAGCCTGCAGCGCTCTGGAGGGGTGAGGCCATGGGTGGGGCCTGCCTTAGCACAGACCAGTGGGGAGCCACCTGCCATTTGGCCAGTTTCAATACCTTTATTGAATCCCAGGGGATTACAAAATGTATATATGGTCCCATAGCTTCAGTGACCTATTACATTGAAGAGAAAAATGTTATCAGGAAACAGATTTCATAAACATTGAAATGTTCATGCTTAGGGCACACAAAGAGGAGGCTTCTGATATCTGACTCCCAGTTTGATTGCAGCCACATGGAATTATCATGGCAGCACTTGTGGCTCTCACTGTGTGCCCGGTGTGGCTCTAAGCACTTCCCAAGCATCACCTTCCCTACCCTTCTCTACAACCCTATGAAGTCAATAATAATGTCTCCCTGGATTCCTGGGGTAGAAACAGAGGCACAGAGGAGTTAAAAAACCTCACGAGACTGCACAGCTAGTAAGTGGCAGAGCCAGGATCTGGACTGAGGCATCTGTTCAGAATCTGCTCCTTTCCCCACTAGCTGCTTTGCCTCTTAAGCAGCCGGGGCTGAGCGCCTGGCAGCCAGGAGTGGGCTGGGTTCCCTGTTACAGCTGTCCTCCGAGAGACTGCACCTACCCCTTTGCCAGGCACAGTCCCACAGCAATTCAATGGCAGGGTCAAGACCCCAGAGCCCGTCTCCTTGTGTGCTTCCATACCAGACAGTCCGAGCACTTCCTTCATGTAAGGACACAGCTCCATGCAGTTTCTGCAGGAATGTTTATACACATGGATCTTGGTGTACTAGGTATGCTTAGTGTATTGACTTAGGATGATGAGGGAGACAGTGGAGCTGACAGAGCGCTCGGCACAGGCGCAGAGCACTGACTATACCTCTCCTCTCTCTGCTGCCTTGGGAGCAGCACTGTGGCCTCATAGCACAGACGCACGGGTAGCTGTGGGAACCTGTTCTCTGGGTTCTCCCCACTCTCTCACCAACTAGAGGCCCTGAATAGGGAGATGACCACTCAGGGTAAAGGCCCCTATGGCAGGTTGATAGTTAACCTGTGGGGGATGAGGATGAGGCCCGTCTCTGCACCTGTGAGCCTGGGAGAGGGGAACGGTGAGCAGTAATGAACAGAGAGCCTGAGCTTGAACCCCACCTCTGCCTCACTGGTTGTGTCATCTCTAGAGGCTCTCTGCCCTCTCTAGGCCTCAGCTTCTTACCTCAGGAGACTGGATGATGCCTGCTCCAGACCACACAGTGCCAGGCACAATATAGGGTCCAAGAAGAGGGCCGCCGGTCAGGCTTAGTGGCACACGCCTGTAATCCCGGCTTCTTGGGAGGCTGAGATGGCAGAATTGCTTCAGCCCAGGAGGTCAAGGCTGCAGTGAGCTGTGATGGTGTGACTGTACTCCAGCCTGGGAGACTCTTTCTCAAACAAAAAGAAAAGAGGGCCTCTTCCTCTCACCCCCTTTGCCCTCAGCTCCAACTGCCTACCAACTGCAATTCCAGCCCTTCTGGGCATGAGGGGCCCAGGTGGGGCTCCGTGCGACTCCGCTCTGACAACGTGACTTTAGCATCTCCTATGTGTTCATTGAGTCCCTGACCCATCCAGCTTGGGCTGGGTGATTCAACTCAACATCTCAGGCCACTTATGGGCACTTGTCTGAGCAGAATCGGCTAGAAAGGCATTGTAAGAGTATTCTCCCACCTCCCACCAAAAAATATTCCTCCCGGAGAGCCTCCAGCAGCCGAGGGCCCCCCCCATCTTCCTGTGTGTGATGGAAAATGTCTTTTCCGCTTCATTGCAGGCAGTCCCCTCAGCAGGACCCTGCAGCTCCAACAGGTATGGAGAGCAGCAGCTGCTCACCTCCCTCCACACCCATGCCCTCTGCACCATGCCCACTGCCCCCAGCCTGCTTTTCTCCCTGCTCCTTTCAAGCCAGGGTGTGGGGCCGGAGGAGGAAGCCTCCAGCTTCTGCCCCCAGCCCCCAAGCTAGAGCTATGCTCCTTTCTCACTGAAACTGCCTGGGTTTTTATAGGTTTGTTTGATGTGAAAAGTTGGCGAATCTCTGGCGAGACACCCGCTTGTAAAAAGGGAAAGAAAAAGACTGGTGTAGACTCAGAGAGCAAAGAGGGAAGCTATGCCAGAGGACTGAGTGGGGATGAAAACCCTCCATCTCCTTCCCCAAACACACCCCCCTGGGGGCTTAGCTGTGGCCGGAGCCCCTTGGCAGGTTGGTCTAGGAAGGGCCTCCATGTCCTTCCCTCTGTCAGCCACAGCCTTGGTGCCCTGAGCAGTCCCTTCACCTCTCTGAGCCTCCGCCTACACATTTGTCAGATGAGGAAATAGCCTTGAGAGGAGAGCAGCATGGATATGGAATCTTCCTAAGTGGGAAAGGGCTTTATAAAGATCATTTATTGTTATAATCAATTTCTTCCCTTACAAAATGTACTTTTTTCACAGAGTGCTTTCACCCCAAATTGTGTTGCCACTTGTCACCTCACAACAGCTTCAGAGTTAGGCAAGCAGGGTTAATTGCCCTACTTTATGGATAGGGAAACTGAGGCTCAGAGAAGAGAAGTGCCTTCTAGTCTCACAGCTATTAAGTTGCAGCAGCAGAACTGGAGCCCACGTCTGTCTGACTCCAAAGCCCACAATCCTTCTACCGCTACTGCCTCACATCTCACCTGATTTTTTTAAAAAAGGAACAATGATGATGATGATGATGATGATACCACATTTACTGAGGCCCTACTGTGCGTCACACAGTGTTCTAAGAGCAGTGAGCGTGGTCTCCTGTGGCCTCACACCACTCTGTGAAGTATTGCTTTTGTTGCTCTCTCATCATCCCATTTTTAGACAGGGTCAGTGATGGGCTAAGGGGGTTGCTGATGGGCTAAGAGACTCACCCAGGTCACATAGCTAGTGCGTGGCAGGGCTGGGATTTGAACCCAGGCAGTCCAACTCCAGACCTGCTGCTTTGCCCACTGTCCCTCTGCTTTGCACCCACCCTCGTGTTTTCTTCCCTATTTCTAGGGCCCCTGGAGGCCCAGCAGGGTCCTTCAGCCTCTAGGAATCCCCAAGTTCCTCACAAGCTCCCCCACTGCCATCCCCACAGGCTGCCTCTGAAGCGTACCTGCTCGCCCTTCACTGAGGAGTTTGAGCTTTTGCCCTCCAAGCAGGCCAAGGAAGACGACCTTCAGAGAGGTAACCTCTCGCCCTCCCTCCCCATTTACTCACAGAGCCCACCCCAGCTCCTGCCTCCCTCTTAGGCTTTCCCAAAGCCTCCTGGGGAGGGCCCAAGGAGCTGCTTTACCCCTTGGAGCTAGGTTTAGGTCAAGACTTGGGGGTAGGGGTAAGGAGGGCCCCTTAGGCTGCTTGGAGAGACCACACAGGACTGGCGGCTTCTGTCTCCTGACCGCGTGTGGACATGGGCGTCCTGGGCAGCTGGCATAGTCAACAGGCTCATTATGCTGGATGAGTCCCCTCTCCCCCACTTTTTCTAATGCGGGGGTGAAAGAAGGGTGGGGTTTTCATGTTTGGCTTTCTTGCTTTGATGCTCTAAATCTGTGACTTCCTTGGAGTGAGGAACAAGCCCAAACCTCTGGGGGCTATAGTTGACCATCAGAAAGCAACTGACTAGCAGCTAAGCTCAAAAGCTTCCAGCATGTAATCCCAGCACTTTGGGAGGCCGAGGGGGGTGGATCACGAGTTCAAGAGATGGAGATCATCCTGGTCAATGTGGTGAAACCCCATCTCTATTAAAAATATAAAAAATTTGCTGGGCATGGTGGCGTGTGCCTGTAATCCCAGCTACTCAGGAGGCTGAGGCAGGAGAATTGCCTGAACCCAGGAGGCAGAGGTTGCGGTGAGCCGAGATCGTGCCATTGCACTCCAGCCTGGGGAACGAGAGCGAAAGTCTGTCTCAAAAACAAGCTTCCAGCAACCATGAATTGAGCTGTGTGCTGCCCCTGGTGTTTCCAGACACCGTCATTAATTCCCACAGTGACTCTACGAAATAGTGGGCAGAGCCTCCATCTACAAATAAAATGAGGCTCCGTGATGTTAAAATCACATTTGCAAGGTCACCTTGCTGGCAGGTAGTAAAGCAGGGATTCAGACACCCCCACATCAGCACATGGGAATCTGCAGAGCTGGCCGAAGTGCCGCCCAGCTGGGCACAGACCCTTGGCAGAAATCCATCTTAGAGTAACATTTTCAGATTCCCCAGCCCCTGAGATGATCCTGGTCACATGATCTTCCTCGCACCCCTAAAGCTGCCCCTTGCTTTTCAGTTCTGTTGTATGTGCGGAGGGAGACTGAGGAGGTGTTTGACGCACTCATGTTGAAGACCCCAGACCTGAAGGGGCTGAGGAATGCGGTAAGCTGCCTGTGGACCCCTCACCATCGGCTCCCTCCGGGCTGCTGTCCCTGCTTCTCACCACACAGTTCTGATTTCACACAGCAGGGAACCTCGGCATGCCGGTGGCCTACCCATCCCACCCTGTTCGGGGGGCCCGAGGGGCCCTGCCAGTGGGGGTGTGCCTCTGCGATGTTATCTCCCAGCCAGAACCCTGACTCCACCCTGGGAGTCACACACTCCATAAATCCTCCTTAATCTGATGGCTGCTGTCTGACGGGCCAGGGCTTTTTGTTGGCTTTGCAAACCTGTTTCTGTTTTAATGGGAATGGAACCCAAAAAGACACACTCTTTTTCTTTCCCAGGGGGCCTCCTTCCTCCTGCTTGTGGTTGGCTGGGGGCCACTGGCTGGGGTGGCAGAAGGTAATGACTGTGCAAGGAGACCTTCCCCAACCCCCTAAACCACCAGAGAGCTGGCAAAACGGCCCAGTCCTGAATAAAACCCACAGCTAGCTTTGTGGCTCTGCCAAAAATTAAGCAAACACAGCCTCCACCGGGGCCAGCTGTGCCTGAAGGTGGAACCACTTGGAAAAGCCAGATGGTGTCCAGAGTTCAGACCAGCAGAGCGAAAATGACATCAAATAGTAACACTAGCTGGCCTTTATTGAAGGCCCACTATGTGCCAGGCAGTGGGTCAGACATGCCACCTATGCTGGCTTATCATGTGCCCTTAACAATCCTGAAAAGTGGGTACTATGCGTATCTCCTCATTTCCCATGAGGATGCAGCCTCTGAGAGGTCAGGTGACTTGTCAGGGTTACTCAGCTCCGGTGACAGAGCCGGGATGCCAGCGTAGACTCTCTTCATGCTCAGCTGCTTGTTCTCTTTACACATCATCAGCCCTGCTCGGCATCAGCCCCAGAAGCTGGGCTCACAAAAGGCCATTAACATCACCTAAATACAGACTCAGAGGCTTGGGTTGGCTGATCCCTTAAAGGGTCAGCTCCCTATCTAGTGCCTGCACTCCCTCTCTCCCATAGTGCCTCCAAGCTGGTGCCCACTTTCGACTTGTGTGCTTCCAGGAATGGAGAGCTTATTACCTATGGGACAACCCATGGTATCTTTGTCCAATTTGCCCAATTTACGGTGAGAGAGTTCTTGAGTTCTTCCTTAGATTGACTTGAGATCTTCCTGGTAGCTTCCAGTCACATTATCATTAAAAGAAATAGTAGTCGAAGCACTTTTCTTGCCAGGAGGAATCTGTCAGGGCAGAGAATAACTGAGAAGCTGAACCTGATCCTTTTTCTAAAATGCCCAGAGAGGATGACCTCCCCCTGATACCCAGGACCTGAGGTTTGCTGCAGCTTCTAGGCAGCTGTTGCTAATAAGCACCAATGTTTTGCAGAGCTCTTGCCCTGGGACAGGCACTGGGCTGAGCCCTTTCCATAGTTGGCTCAGTTCATGTGCAGAACCACACTGGGTGTACATCCTATGACTGTGCCCATTTTACAAATGAGGAAACTGAGGCTCAGAGAGGTAAGAGTGACCTGTTCAAAGTTCTGCATTTCCAGGTGGAGCAGCTGGGACCAGACTGGACCTGCCTGCCCCAGAGGAAACTTCAGTAGCTCTGGGGAGACAGGCTGACTCTGGCTGTGTGATCTCAGACAGGTCACACAACAAGCCTCTGACCCACAGTCTCCTCACACAGGGAAATAAGTTCCAACATTTTCCGATATGATATAGTGAGTGAACCTGGGATCTAGGCCTTGGGCACATGGCTTATCCTCGTCGAGTGTTTGTGATGATATAGGAAGGCTTACAATAGGATGGTAAGTAAAAAGATACATAAAACCACGTGGAACATCTATATACACGACTGTACCCATGACCAAAACATGGGAAGACATACACCCAGGTGTTAATGGTGTCTCTCTGAGAAACAGGATTATAGATGGTTGTAATTGTCTTCTTCATATGTCCACAATATGCATATATTTTACTTTTGTAATCAGAAAATAAAAATAAGTGATGTCATAAAAGACTTGTATAAATCTAGTGTGGGCAGCAGACAATGAATCACCTCTTTTCCTTCCAGATCTCTGAGAAGTATGGGTTCCCTGAAGAGAACATTTACAAAGTCTACAAGAAATGCAAGCGAGGGTGAGTCCCTAGTTTACCCTCCCCCAGCTGGCTGCTCAGTGTTGAGCAGTGTTTGTACTGGGCCTTGGTGGAGGGGCTGAGGGGATGAGGAGTTGGGGTGGAGAGCTCCCCAGTCAGGCCAACACCATTGGTCACCTCTCCATCGGCAGAGACCAGACATAGGTCCCAGTTAGGAAGGATGGGAGTGGGAGACAAGTGGAAGGGTCTTTATATATGACCTCCTGGGTGGTGTGGAGGAAGAAGTGGAGGGTCCTGTGTCAGATGACCCAGGTTCAAGGCCACTGGAAAACCAAGTCATTTGATGAGGATGATAATGATTTTGGTGACCAGCATCCACTTGCCCACCCATCATGTGTCAGACATGAGGCTAAGCACGTCCTGCTTAGCTCTCACAGCCACACTAAGAGTCCACATTTGACAGATAAGGAAACTGAGGCTCAGAGATAATAAGCAGTGTTCAGGGGTAGGAGGAGGGGATCAAAGGCACGAGGCAGACAGGCCCAACAAAGTTGCCGCTGGCAGAGCTGGAGGCAGGAAGGGAGTGGCTGGTGAGCAGTCTGGAAAAGGAGTTGTGATTGGGAGTCATTTTGAGGGAATCCAGCCAGGGATGTTCCACAGGCCTCCTCCACCTTCGCTGGAGACTAGGCCAGGAGTTAAGCTGTACCCTCTAGGGGGCAGGCAGTGCCCGGCTGCCTGCCATGGACTCCTGGGGACCATAGTACCTTTTTTGTCTGCTCAGAAGGTCCCGTGGGAGAGGGAGGTAGGGTCACATGGTAACTGCCCTCCAGGCATCAGTCCCCTGGTCAGAGACAGTAAGCCTGGCCTCTACAACTTTTCCTGAGTAGGTCCCTTCACTAGCCTGGCATAGGACCCCCAGAGAGTGTTACTGCCGTTGCCAGCCCAGAGGCCCCAGAACCAGAGCCCTGGGAAATGCACTCCCAGCCCCTCTGCCCACAGCTCCAATCTGACACTCCTGCTGTGGATAGTCTAACTACAGCTGTATTTGCTAGTAGCCCCTTGGAGGTGCTCGGCCGCTTATCCCGTGGCTATTGCATGTGGATCTTCCTTTTTAGAAGACTTTGCAAAATGAGGCAGGTTTTGTACTCAAGCCGAGTCCCCATCCCATCAGACCCAGGGCCCTGGCCTTCTTCCTCACAGGCCCAGCCCTGCCCACCTTCTCCCTCATTGGTTCCTACCCAGTCTCCCATAGAAGGTTGAGGGTGGGGGAAGGTGTCCATCCCTGAAGCCCCTAGGAAGGGTTTTTTGTTTCTTTGTTTTAGTTGCCTGCATGTCTAGAGTTTTTCGTGTGTCTTTTTTTCCAAGTTTTGGTTTCAAACTGAGGCTCACACGCTCTGTAGAGTGAAATCCACTTCATGGTGAAGGGCAGGCTCCGCTTTGCCCAGACAAGCCCAGCCCCACTCTCCCTTCAGTGCTGGTGCCCACGCCCCCTGGCTCCAGCCCCGCCTGCGACAGGCCTCCGTTACCAATCCCACTCCAGGCCAGGCTGTGTGATTACGTGGGGGGCGGGGAGTGGGGGTGCATACAAGGATGTTCCTCAGCCCCACTGGCTGGGTTGCCAGAGGCCTTCCCTTAAGCCCCAGCCAGCTATTTAAATCATAATTCTAAAGCCTTCCATTTACGGGGTACTTCCTACATACCAGGGGCTGGGCTGCAATGCTCCCAAGCATCATCTCAGTGACTTTTTTAGCTGGGTATGCTTATCTGTTTCTATGTATGAGGAAACTGAGGTCTGCAGTAGTTACGAGGTCACGAGCAGAAGCATCCCGGCCTTCTAAAGCCTGTTCAGGCATCCACTCTATTATCCTGCCTCCTACTTGTTCCTCTAACCACTAAGCAATGTGCAAATAAAGGGTGCAGCCAGGCTGGCCAGTTTATTTGCCCAGCACCATAGCCCAGGGCATCACTCCACAGCCCTTCAGAGGCACCCCACACACCGCCACGGCATGAAAACCTCAGCCCCAGGACTGCCTGAAATGTCTGAATGACAGTATTCCTCAAAATACCTCTTAGGAGAGGAGATGCCAGGCTCATCTTCTGCCTCCCCCCGAATCCTCATGTGAGAAACAGGAAATTCTGATCAAAGGCCTGGTTTATTTGCATCAAACCCTCCCGAAAGTCCTCTGGATGAAGGTGGATAGAATCAGCTTTATAGGCACCACAGATTGCTGGAAAGATGAACGAATACATTGTTTTTGCTGGCAGCTGGCCAGGGGTTTAATGTGACCCAGGACTGAAGACAGCTAGAAGGTGGAAAGTGACAAGAGGCCCACATTTGGTGACAGGGGTTCTGCCTCTCAGGGGCCCTTTGGCACTGACTTCTGAGAGGAGGGGTGTGTGGGCCCATCTGGAAGGCCTCTTGTGCAGGTGTGAGCTCAGGGCACTGGGAGGCCCTGCTGGGGAGTGGGAGGGATCCAGACATCTAGCTGGTCCACATCAGACACACACAGTGCCTGGCACCTAGAAGCACCCAACAAACACCAAACAAAACAACCCTGATACTGACAAAGCGCCTGACCCTCTGCCCAGTTCTGGTCTCCCCCAGTCTGTTTCCAGCTTCCAGTGCCCAGGAAGAGAGCCCTCTGTGAAATGAAGGAACTCCAGGCAGGACCCAAGAAAGGGGAGCCTGTGATTACACATTGGCAGTCAGCACCTAGACCACTGAGAGCCCAACCCTGGCTCTTCTTCCTGAGAGCAGCAGCTGCTTGACTGCTGGGAGAGACAACTGGATGTGGGCCATGCCTTCGGGCCCATTGTCTCCATTGCCCTCAGGGGTTCCTCGTGCCTACCACTCCTGCGCCACTTCAAAGAACTCTCCCCTAGCCCTGGATTTTGCCTTCCTTCTAGCCACTGCTTCCTAACTTGTATCTATAGGGCTTTGTTTCCTTCTAAAAATGATACAGTGGAAAGAGACAAAGGTTCAAATCCCAGGCCTGCCGTCTATGAACTGTGTATCCTTAGACAAATAACTTTGTTTCTTTGAACCTCATCTATGAACTGGGGTAATATAAGGATTCATCCTCCCAGTCCCTACTAGATTTAAAACTCCTGGAAGGCAGGATCTAGGTCTAATTCATCTTCATATGGTCCTTGTTTTTGAGCAAGTTCCTGCACATGGAGAGGCCTCAGTGAATATAGGGGGATGAATGGGAAGATGAAGGACAGGTGGGCAGGTGGATGGAGGATGGTGGATGGGTGTGTGTGTGGGTGGATAGTGGATGGGTGTATGGGTGAATGGTGGGTGTGTGGGTAGATGGTGCATGAGCGGGTGGATGGTAGATGGTGGATGATGAGTGTGTGGTTGGGTGGATGGTGGATGGGGGTGTGCTTGGGTGGGTGGATGGTGGATGGGGGGTGTGCTTGGGTGGGTGGATGGTGGATGGGGATGTGTTTGGGTGGGTGGATGGTGGATGGGGGTGTGTTTGAATGGGTGGATGGTGGATGGGGGTTGTGTATGGGTGGGTGGATGGTGGATGGGGGTGTGTTTGAATGGGTGAATGGTGGATGGGGATGTGTTTGGGTGGGTGGATGGTGGATAGGGGTGTGTATGGAGGGGTGGATGGTGGATGGGGGGTGTGTATGGATTGGTGGATGGTGGATGGGGGTGTGTATGGGTGGGTGGATGGTGGATGGGGGTGTGTTTGGGTGGGTGGATGGGGGTATGTTTGGGTAGGTGGATGGTGGATGGGGGTGTGTTTGGGTGGGTGGATGGTGGATGGGGGTGTGTTTGAGTGGATGGTTGGTGGAAGGGTAGGTGGATGATGAGTGTGTGTGGTTAGGTGGATTGTGGATGGGGGGTGTGTGCATGTGAATGGATGGTGGATGGTGAATGAGTGGGTGGATATACCCAACTCCATTACATGCTCAGAAGACAGCAGGGAAGGGGCAAAGAGAAGGCTGATGTGATCAGCTCAAGTCAAATCTTGGTGGGTCTTTCATCAGGAGTAGCTCCTAGAGGGATGATCTTTGCCAAAAACTATGGCTCTGACTCCCTGCAGGGGCCCACAGCCACAAAGATTCTGTCTCTCTCAGGTTGACCCAGGTCCTTGCCTAGAGAATATGGGGAGAGAGTGGGCCTAGCCCCTTAAGTCTATTGGACAATCCTCCTGAGATTTCAGTTTCCTGGGGATGGTACTGAGGGGGGCTTGTGTGGCGCCTGCCTCTGGCTCCAGCAGGGACGCCTGACTGATACATCCTAGCCTCTTGTTGAACCCAAACCACCCCTCCTGGACTTGAACTCACACTTCAGGTCTGAGTCCTCAATACGGTGACTGAGGGAGCATGGCGTCTCCCCAGATCTACATACTGGTTGCTTGAGTGTCCATCCTCTGGTGCACCAGGAAAGAGGCAATCTGGCATAGTAGCTGTGGCTGTGGGGGCCAGTAGGCCTGGGTTGAGTTGGGCTCGGCCACCGGGCATCGTGCAGTAAAGGAGACTGTGACTCCCCCACCTCGCAGGGTTGTTGTGAAGATCAGAGGGAAAGTTCGTGAGGTGCCTAAAATGTGGCAGGTACCCACTGGGTATGACCCATCACTCATCCTTGTCACTCAGAAGGCCTGAAAACGGGGCCTGCTGTGTTCCAACCACATGCCCTCTTCCCTTTCAGAATCTTAGTCAACATGGACAACAACATCATTCAGCATTACAGCAACCACGTTGCCTTCCTGCTGGACATGGGGGAGCTGGACGGCAAAATTCAGATCATCCTTAAGGAGCTGTGAGGCCTTTCGAGCATCCAAACCCTCGTGACCGGCAAGGGGCCAGTAGCGACGTGGCCCCATGCCACACACAACCTCTCCACATGCCTCAGCGCTGTTACTTGAATGCCTTCCCTGAGGGAAGAGGCCCATAAGTCACAGACTCACTGATGTCAGGGCCAGGAAGTGACCTGGGAGGTCCCCTGGCCTGAACCCCCATGGCATGCTTGAATCTGCTCCCTAAACTTCCTGCCAGTGCCTCCCGAAACAATGTCACCGTGGTTACTACCCACCGGACAGACTGTTCCCTCCTCCCAAAAGACCCTGTCTGCAGTGGCCTCCTGCAGGCTGCTCATTAGGACGGTGGCAGCACGCGATCCCTCCCACAGCACCATACCTGCTGGTGTGGCCCCGACTCTCCATCTCCCTTCAACTTCAGACAAAGGATTTTTCACCCTTTGGTCAGTTAACTTGAAAACTCTTGATTTTCAGTGCAAATGACTTAAAAGACACTATAGTGAAAGAGTCTCTTTCTCACAGACTTCCTCAATGCAAGATGTAAATAGCACCAATGATTGACTGGAACAAAGTGACCGCCGTGTGTAACCACTGCCTTGCCACTCACTGTTGTATACATTTCCTATTTACGATTTTCATTATGTGTTATATATATATAAATATATTGTATATATGTGCAACATTTTATATTTTTCATGGATACATTTTTATCATTTCAAAAATGTGTATTTCGCATTTCTTGGACTTTTTTTAGCTGTTATTCAGTGATGCATTTTTGTATACTCACGTGGTATTAATAATTAAAGTCTACCTATGTATTACTTCACATGCTGCACTCATTCCTTTTGAGAGGGTCTGCTGGGAAGAGAGGGCTACAGTGGTCTGGGCCTGGCTCCTCTTTCTCCCTTCACTCTGGCTCTGGGTTGAGAGCAGGTTGCCCTGGACTTGAAGGACGGCGGGATGTGCAGGGCACCGGGATGTGCAGGGCAGAGGTGCCCCCTCCGGCAGGCAGCAGATTCCTGATGTCCAGATCTTTGTCTTTGAACGTCACAGCCTCAGGATCATTGACTCTGGAGAGAAAGTCCTAGGAAGGGGCAGAATGAGCTTGAAGAGGACCTCACAGCTGGGGCCAGCAGGCAGCACCCAGGGCTGGGAGCCATATGACCTGAGTCTTGTGCCAGCTCTGCCCCTACTCTCTAGGCCAAGCCACTTTCCCCAGAGCCAGCTCCTACAGCTCACAGAAGCAATTGCACGCATCTCTTCCCAGCTCTGCAGCAGTGTGGTCATGTTGGCGCATTGAAATCAGCCATGGGACAGTCAGAATTTGACAAATGCTACAAATCAAGGCCTTTATTTTCCTTCAAGGACAAATCACAGATTCAGGCTTGTTTCTTTTCATTTATCTTTTTTAAGCTGCCAAGATGAAGTGGGTCTTTCTTCCTTTGGGAGAGCAGACTTACCAGCCACCGCTACCTGTATCCCTCTGCTATAAAGGGCAGGACACGGTCTCTGTTGGTTGTTCGTAATTATCATCTCCAGAGCCTCAGGGCTCACTGGTGGTTCTCCAAGACCACCACAGTGTGAGGAAGGGGCTGCAGCAAGCCCTGTGTATCCCCCCTAACTCCATCACCACAGCTCTGCTTCGATCCACTTAAATATTAGGGTTTCTTGTAAACATTTGTCTGAATAAAACTTTTTTTTTAAGTGTGAAAACCATGATGCCTCTAAAAATCTCCCAGCACAGCAGAGTCTGTGGTCCCAATTCCCAAGCCCTACCTAGAGTCAAGGCTATGGGTAGGTGAGTCTCTAGCCTACGGTACAAAAACAAACGGGTCCCCAAAAGCTCAATAATCAAGATAAGCAAGTTTAATTCAATATTTTTAAAATTAAGGCCGAAACAAAATCCCTGGTGAACAAAACAATTTTAAAGACAGGATTCGTGTTACTGATGTTTCCTTTTGTCTCAGGTTCCCACATGGCTTGCCTGCCAGGGAGGGAGGGACTCGGTGGGGCACCAGAGTTGCTCTGCTCAGCCTAGGCCTCACTGTGGCTGTGACAGCAAGCTTGATGTCAGAGCCAGGTGATGTGTGAAGGGTACATGACAGAGGAGTGTGGAACCACAGCCATGCTGCAGGTGCTGCACATGTATAAAGTTCCCACCCCTGAGCTTCCCGCCCAGCAGAGCCAGCTGGGAAGCCGGAAGGTGGCGCTTCTCAACTTTCACCTATCATTGGAATCACCTGGGCAGCTTTTACCCACACCTCCCTCCTCCCCACTGCCCAGATCCCACCCTGGAGGAGTTAAATCAGCATTTGTGGGAGGACCCCAGGCCTCAGTACTTTTCAAAGTCCCCAGGTGATTACTGTGTGCAGTCAAGGCTGAGAGCCACTTCTCTGGCCAGGCCACAGTTGTCCAGGCCTTGAAGCCTTGGCAACCGCTCAGTGTCTGCTGGGGTTAATGCACAGAGAGACTTCTAGCATCAGTCAAAGCCCCAGTCAAAGCCTGCCTGGAGATCAGGAAAGGACCCAGGCAGCTCCCCACACCCCAGGCATCTGTGCAGCCTCCACCGAAACCACCAGGGCACATTTCTTTTTTGCCTCCACATAAAGAAACAAAGGATATCCTGCCTAGAAAGGCCACTGGGCTCCATGGAGGGCTCCAGAAGCCTTGAGAAAATTCGGTCCCACCCTTAGAGAGAGTCAGGGAAAAGGGCAGCTCCTGAGCCTGGCCGCTGCCATTCTAAGACAATCTCCCACTACAAAGAAGAAAAAGGTCTAAAAGAACTAAAGGGAGGCCTTTCCAAGCAGATGGTCACTTTAGAAAGGAAGCTGTGGGCTGGTAGAAAAAGCAACACCAGCCTGCAGGTAGCTTTCACCCAGCAGACATACCGTGAGTGAGTGAGGTCAGAAAGGGATAAATGAGAAAGCCAGGAGTGAGGGAATGAATGAACGTGTAATTGAGTGAAGGAATGAAACAGGGAAGGGTGGGGCTTCTAGGCTTGGTCACCTTCACAGTGGACTGGTCCTCCTTGAAGTCTGCGCTTCAGGAATCCTTAAGTCTGCAGTGGGGAGTGGTGCCAGAAGCCAGCCTCGATGGGTGCATGGGGAAGCAGCCAGGGGGAATCTGTCCACCTCCCTCTGCTCAGGAAGCCACTGGAGTCGGTGGGGCTGGGGTGCAATCTCCAGGAGCAATGTCTCCAGCTCCAGATAAAGGCAATGGCAGCAGCCCAGCTACCACACCAGGCCAGAGTGGCAGAGCCATCCCCCAAGTTGCAGCTGCCACACACACGATCGGTCTCCTCCCGAGGGATGTCCAGGGGAAGCTGGGTAGGGCGGGCTGGTGGCCGGGGTTCTCCTCGATCTTGTGTGACATCCCTACAGCACCGGAATCCATTTCTTATCCTCGTTGTAGAGGAAGGACTGCTTTCCTGGGAGTTCTGGCTTGTATGTGGCTGTGAGGGGAGAGAGAAGCAGCGGCAGTAAGAGAGAAAAGCCCCATTGCTGCAGTCTCTGGCATTCCATCTCAGAGCTGGAAAGGCCTGGGGACCCCTGTGCCAGCCCCTGCATCTTATGTGTGGGGAGACAGAGAGGAAAGAACTGGCCCCAGGTGGCAAGGCAGAAGTCAAACTCTGGCTTCCTGCCCTTCTTTAATTCTTTTCAACTTCTTTAACAGAACAAAATTTACAAAACTGTTTTCCATGAAATTTGAAAAGAAATTGAGTAAAGCAATATTATCGTTATTATTATTATTATTATTTTTTTTTGAGGTAGAGTTTCACTCTTGTTGCTCAGGCTGGAGTGCAATGGTGTGATCTCGGCTCACTGCAACCTCCACTTCCTGGGTTCAAGTGATTTTCTGCCTCCGCCTCCTGAGTAGTTGGGAATACAGGCATGTGCCACTACACCAGGCTAATTTTGTATTTTTAGTAGAGACACAGTTTCTCCATGTTGCTCAGGCTGGTCTCAAACTCCTGACCTCAGGTGATCCATCTGCCTCAGCCTCCCAAAGTGCTGGGATTACAGACATGAGCCATTGTGTCCTGCCAGCGATATTCTTAAAGAAGCAAGGTGTTAGCTTCATGAAGTCTTTTTTTGATTTAGTTCAGGGGTTTCCATAAAAGCAGAAGCCATGAAAATTGTGGACATGGTTCTCTAGGAGATGAGCAGGGCTTGAGAACTGCAGCCCCAGGTGTCCAAAAACTCTCGTGTTGATACCAACTTGGTTAATGACGGTCTCATGCATGGCCTCTCTGTTCTTATACTTGGGAAGCTGCTGGGGAGCCCACGGCAGTTCAGGTGTATCTGAGTTTACTGGAAGCTGAGCAGGCAGATGCCAGCACATGCATGTACCCAGGAAACCCCTCGCAGAAGCCCACCTTGGCATGGGTCTCTGTGTGCCAGGTGCCTAGCACCACACACAGCATGGAAAAGGCTTTCAGGCAACGCTCCTAGAGGATGTGGCTGAGCAGGGTCAAACCAGTATCCCTGCCCGTGCCCCGCCCTCTCTGGAGTTCACCCCTTGTACGGAGCATCTGCATGTTTGGCCAAAACTGAGTTCTCCTCAACTGAGCAGATGAGTCCCCGATCAAACCTCTACAGCCTTGCTGGTGTGATTATCACCACATTTGCAAGGCCAAAGCTGTGAGAATGATCTTCCTCCTGCCCAGTCTGCCTTATGTTAGTCTCACCTGTGAGTGCGGAGGGGAAGGAGTCTCCCTACCTGACGGCAGCCTCTGGGGGCAAGCCCGGGACCCAGGTCATCTTGGCTCCCTAGCTCGGGAGCATCAACACTCACAGAAAGGCTGAGTGTAACCAAGCTGGGGGCCATCGCAGCTCTGCCTTCGTCCTCCTGTGCCACCTGCCACATATCGGTCCCAATTGCCACCAGCTTTGGCCACAGTCAGGGTGTGGTAATAGTGAAAGCTCTCTATAGAGAGCTACGAATAGGTCAGGAAGCACAGAGACCGCCCACTAGAGTGAGTCCCTCATGATATTAACTCCCAGGATGATTCCAGATGTAACAGGGGATCCCTACTTATGCTTGCCTATAAAAAGGGTGTGGCGATAGATGGCTGAAAAGAGCTACTCCATTGGATGGTCCTTAATTTCATTAACAAACAAGGCATAAATAGGAAACACCTGGCACTGACCACCAGGCACTCACTGTGGACTGTGGCCAACTTGCTCTCCAGGGCTTCCCCATCTGTAAAATAACCTGGTCATACTAGACCAGTAGTTGAAATATTTTTAAGAAAAATTCTGGCTGGGCACAGTGCCTCACACCTGTAATCCCAACACTTTGGGAGGCCAAGGTGGGGCGGATGAGTTGAGGTCAGGAGTTCGAGACCAGCCTGGCCAACATAGTGAAACCCCGTCTCTGTTAAAAATACAAAAAGCAGCTCGGTGTGGTGGGACACGCCTGTAATTCCAGCTACTTGGGTGGCTGAGGCAAGAGAATTCCTTGAACCCAGGAGACGGAAGTTGCAGTGAGCCAAGATTGTGCCACTGTACTCCAGCCTGGGTGACAGAGCAAGACTCTGTCTCAAAAAAAAAATAATAAATAGAAGTTTTTAAAAAATAAAGAAAAAGAACTTTTCTGACAATCTGACAAAAGCTATGGCCTGTTTTCCCAGGAAATAATGTCTGTATGTGCCAAATCTGCAGCCAACTGCAGAGTCACAGACCCCTTCGAGACTATTTTTAAGCCTTTTAGATATTGATGGTCCTCAGTTATGAATCCCTGGCCCGGACCATGTCTAAGAGCCCTTCACCTTAAAAAAAAAAAAAACATTTTTATACTGTGAAAATGTGAACTGATAACCCTTCCAAATCTACTCTCATCCCTGTAACTTGTTTGGGAAACAGCCTGTGAATCAGTGGCATTCAATGACCCAAGAATGACGAACAATTCCAGAAGATGTGGTTTTGATCATCATTTGAAACAATCCTCTGACCTGGGCCAGGCAGGCCCGGCTGAGATGGCGCCGCGGTCCACCGGCTGGTGTTGGACACGAATGATGCACTAGAGATGAAGCGCTTCTGGGGCCCTAAGTAGTCCACGATCTCATACTGACCAGGACCTGGGAGAGGCGGCTTCGGGGGCAGAGGCAACGGCTGAGCAGAGAAGTTCAGGATGGGGTTTTTCCTTTGGGAAAGATAAAATGGGAAGACGTCACAAAGGCAGTCTAGTGGGGAAGTCACAGTTTCTAGACACAGCCGAGGCCTGCACAGCACCAAGTTGTCTGCAAGAGGACGGGACATGGCACCTGAGCCCTAACTCCACTGGTAGTGAGCTGGGGACCCCTGGATCTGTTTCCTCATCTGCACATGGCAATCGTAACAGTACCTACTTTGAGGTCACGGTTGTCAGGATAAATGAGATGATGTGCCTGAAACATGGTACTCAGGACAGGGCCTGGCACACAGTGAGAGCTCTGTGTGCATTGTTGGAGACGTGGAGCTAATCAGGAATGGCAGACAGTGTGTATCTCATGTGCCAACTCCAATCAACTGGTAGTACCTGGCTGGAGTTCTGTGAAAAAAACTGAAGCTTCGCATGGAGTCAATGAGAAGAGGCCTTGGTGATCCACTTGTGACATCTGCCATGGCAGGGAAGAGAAAGAGGCATCCCACATTCCAGAGATTTGCCTTCCCAAGACCAGCAGGTTTCTAGAGGCCACTGTAACACTGATGTTCCAGAATCCTACTAAATATCATCCCGGCAAGGCAGGAGGCAGGAGTGGAAAAGTACTGGGTTGGAAACCAGAGACTCTGTGTAACCCTTACAACTTACACTGCCATTGTTTTCAGGTCTGTCTTCACCTCCTTCAAGAAAGGGAGTCTATCTTCTATCTCTGATATTGAAACATTAAATGAAAGAGAAATAGGACCTGTACTTGAGTCCTAGCTTGGTCATTAATTCACTCCGGGCCTCAGTTTCCCCTCAGTAAAAGGAAGAAGTTAGGCAAGATGACCTTTGAGGTCCCTTCCTGCTGTGACCTTTCATGAGGACTTGATTCAAAGTTCCACTGGGTTGTCAGAAACTTCTGGGTTTGTTACAGGAATCATGCTACTCTCCCGACCATGCAATAGCAAGACTGCCTCCTTCTGCCTCACACCCAAGGCTTCGTCTAAGGCCTCTCACCAAAAGGGAAGAGAAGGTTCTCAGCACTGAACGGCCAAGGGAGCCTCCCCCAGCACTCAATGACCACGGGAGCCAGCCCATCCAAGCAGAGGAGGGGGACTCCTGGCCACGGGGACACTGCTGCACTTTATCCAACACCTTCTTAAACACAGAGAGCTTGAGGGGACCCCAGTGATGTCTTCTCAACCTCCTTAGTTTTCTAAAAATATTGGTGTACAGAGAGACAGAGTAACTGATCCAAAGTATAGAGCATGTTCATAGGAAGGCGGGCATAGAACTCATGTCTTTGGTGCCTAGCAATATGGAGAAAGCATGATGGCGGAGGGGACTGAGTTTGAGACACACAGACCTGAGACTGAATTCTAGTCACCCCACTTACTGGCTGTAAGACAAGGCCCCCAATCTCTCTGCAGCCTAGTGTCAGTGTACACAGCATGGCAAGGAACATGAACACCAACTTCATAAAGGAGTTATGATGAGTAGAGAAAAGGTATGTAAAGCCCCGAGTAGAGCACCAGCACATAGCAGGTGCTCAATGAAGGTAGTTGTTATTCTTCTGATGAGCCTTGTGTCAGCATCACTGTGTGCTGCTTGGTGGCAGGGAAGCAAGTGAGCCTTGTGAAGGACTGATTTAGGGGCCTTCCATCCCAGAGTCATGCTGAGGCAGGGGACACCCTCTCCTCTGTCAGGGAGGACACCAAAAGCCATCATAAACATGCTTGGGTTCACATCTTGTGGGGGAGGAGCAGCTGGCGTGGATGCTTATATTTAGAACAAAGGTACCCACAGGGAAACAGGGGACATGCTGCCTCCCTTTTTGCTCTGAATCTGCATGGAAGAACCGGTCATAGGGTGTAATCAACAACCTCTCCCCTTTTAAATAAAACTGGCTTCTCCTTGTTCTGGCTTGCGGCTCCCCCTTCAAAACACCTCCAGACATTTGATGAGTTTGTGGCTGGCATCATGGAGAGACAGGTTTGATTCCTGGAAATTAAAGCTGGAATGAATCAACCATTGTATGAGGTCACCCCATCATTGGTCTGGGTCACTCCAAGTCCAAGATTCCCACCCTGTTCTTTGAGAAAACCATGAGGTATCTGCTTTCTTAGCCAAGGACAGCCTGCAGGAGGCTGGAGCATGCAGAGTTAATGACTCACCAGTGTTCTTGGCAAGATGGGTTAGAAAGGTCCCTTGTCTTCCACTCCCTCGATATGCCCAGGAGAGGCTCAGAACCTTCAGCCCAGCTCTATGGATCTTTCATGTGCGCCAGCCATGTGTGCAGCTCTGGGCCAGGTACGCTTGGGAATCCAGACTGTTCTGTACTAAGACACGGACCTGAGTGTCCTTAAGGGCTTGACAATCAACTGCCAGCAACAGTCATGACTGGTGGCAACTTCAGGCAGTACGGGCTTTGCACTCAGACAGTGCTGGGTTTGAAGCCCCACTTCCCTGTTCACCAGCTATGTGTTCTTAGAAAAGGCTCGTAACCTCCTTATTCCTCAGTTTCCTCATCTGTAAAATGGTGGAAATGATACCTACCACCCAGGATTTTTAGGAGTTTTAACTAGTGCTTTACTTGTAACATTTGTTTAAAAACAAAATCTGTTAGAATAAAGGTTAAAAAAAAAACTGCATTTAGAGCAGAGAGAAAGAGACAGAGATGGACATTCATTCCAACAGGATGAATCCAGAAATCCAGAAAATCCTCAGGTGGGGAAGGGCATTTCCAGCAGAGGGAACAGCGGAGCAAAAGCGTGGAACGGGGAAAGCTGTAGCTGCTGTGGTGAAAACTGGGACACAAGGAGATGGAGGCTGAGCACCTCGACTGCCTTCGACCTTCCATCCTCCCGTGATTCCCGGGTCCTTCACTTGCTTCTGATCCTCCCCACTTCCAAACCCTGATGAAAAGTTAAAGGCAAGATCTATTTATGGCCTCTCAATGCAGCCTAATCTCCATGGTCCCACTGCTTCCGTTTTGCCTTCCAGAAACACCCAACACAACACGCTTCAGCAACTCCACGTCTTTGCCCCCTCCCCTCTGTCAGGAACACCAACTTTCCCTACAAACTCGAATTCAATTCTTGATGTTCTCACTTCCTTCAGGGAAACTTGTCTCCTCCACCCACACCCCTGTCTCACCACCCTCCACCTGTCTTGGATGTTCCCATCCTGTGACTCGAGAGAGAAACATGGGTTGTGGAGATGGGTTTTGGAGGCAGAGGGACCTGGATTCAAATCCCAGCCCTGCCACGGTAAACAGCCTGCACTTCACCGTGAACTCGGAGTGACACACCCACCCGGAGGAGAGGTGGAAGGACGACGCCAGATCGCATCTGAGAGCTCTCAGCTCCACGTATGTGGCATTCTGGCTATTGCTTTGCACTTACAATGTTGCGTTTTCCATGGATTTTACTTGCCTAGCTCTTTAAGGGAAGGGATCATGTCTTCCTCAGCTTTGAGGCCCCCAGCTCTATCCTGGGAACATTTGCTGAAGTGCAGAGAAAAGCAGAGGGCTTGCAGCAGGTAAAGGAGCCCAGGCGTCTGAGCCCACCTGACGGTTTCATCCTCATAAGGGCTGGTCCCTCCATGCCGAGGTGGGGCTGGCAAATCACAAAGGTCAGGCCGGATCAAACCCACAGAGCATTGTGACCAGGGCTTTTATGAGCCTCATTGCTCAGTTATAAAAGCCACCCTGGCCCTGCCCCATGGAAAGAAAACATCTATCAAAGCCTCTGAGTTGGCCACAACTGGATTAAGTGCGTTTGCAGCTTCCAATGTGAGCTGTTTGCAAATCACCCAGGAATAATGAATGTCTTAGAGGACTCAGCAGGCCACTTGGGGAAGGCATCCGAGACCCTCCGGACACTCCCAGGCACACATTCACTCTGCCTCAGGGATTCCCAGGGTTGGGAAGGATAAAGGGGCAATTTTTCTCATCATTAAAGGGCAGCTGATTGCCTCTGGGGTGGAATGCAGTATCTGTTTAACAGGGTAGCGGGTGACAGATTACAGCCGCTTGGGAAGAAGCATCCCATATCTAATTGAAAATCCCAGGGGACGTTAAGGTGGGTCCAATCTAATTACCAGAATTGGAGTGGGGCCAACAGAGCTTGAGTTTTCAGCTCTGGCTGTGACAAGACAGCGTGCCTGTGCAAATCCAGTGGCTTACAACTCCAGGATGCAGATCAAGAGTTAGAAAGACAGCCCGAGTATTGCACCTCAGGGCTGGGGAGCGTGAGTCGGAAGGCAGCGCCTAGGAGGAGCTATTTTGATCTCCAAAACCCTTACCCTGACTCACCCTAAGTCATTGAGTCACCACTGGGACAGATATTGAAGACCTAAAGAAGTGAAACCTTGGCTGACACTTCCCTTTGCTTCTGAAGGCACCCTGGAACCTGAGAAATCCTCTTAGCTTTTGAGTCAGCAAGGTGGCCATGGCCACGGAACACACGATGGCGTGACCTTTAGCTAAGGAGTCAGAAATGCCAGTGCTCACAGCCAGCCAGCCCCTCACACACCCGACGGCATGACCTTTAGCTAAGGAGTCAGAAATGCCAGTGCTCACAGCCAGCCAGCCCCTCGCACAGCATCCACCCTACAGGGCCACACTGGAAATCCTAGGATGACACAGAGGACCCACTCGCCTGTTTGATAAAAGGACAGGTTACCCTATGAGTTATGTGGGTTATCTCCTTTTGTCCTTTGCAACCACATGATGAGGTGTTCTTATCCCAGTTCACCAAGGATGACTTTGAATTCACTAGGAGTTTAGTGACCTTCCTTCCCCCAGGCCTACAGGGCTGGTGAGCTGGGAAAGGAGTTTCCATGGGGCCTGCGCTAACGCACTGCCCATGCAGCCTCCATGGACTCCCCAGGAGATGTGGTCAGCCGTTCCCTGCCCTAACAGCAGCCTCCTGAGCTTTGATCATATCCACCCATCCTCACACGGCTGGGCTTTACATTTTTTGGCCAGTAGCACTGGACTAAAACCTCCAGGGAGAATTCACATCTGCACTGATTCTTCCTGCACTCTGAAGAAAGCAGATCCAGAAGAACTCTGTAGCTGTAACTCTGCCCAGGAATGAGGAGCCCATCAACTCCAACCCAAGACAGATGAGGGCAGGTCTCCTGCTGCACGGCTCATGTGTGTTCCCAAATGAGAAACACGGCAGAGAGTCACCGCTGCTCCATGTAGCCATGGAGAGCTAAAGAGGATTAGGTCTGACGTGGACACAGTCCTAAGGGAAACTGCATGCACATGGCATCACTCTCAGGGGCCTACCAATCTCAGGACCCCATGTGGCTCCTGTCCCTCTCTTCCCCCCAGGGACACAGGAGGAAACAGAACTGGAATTTGAGAAACTGGATTTTGGATATTTTCTCCAGAAATCCAGAAAATCTTCAGGTGGGGAAGGGTGTTTCCAGCAGAGGGAACAGCAGGAGCAAAAGTGTGGAATGGGGAAAGCTGCAGCAGATGTGGTGGCAACCGGGACCCAAGGAGACAGAGACTGAGCACCTAGACTGCCTTCAACCCTCCATCCATCTGTGATTCCTGGATCATTCACTTGCTTTTCATACTCAGCTGTCTTTTCTTTTCATTACATCATTTTCTTCATCATTCACAAGGAACAGATGGTTGCTTTTTTTTTTTTAGAATTCTCCAAAGCCCACCAGTCTTATCTTCTTGCTTTCCAAATAAAATTATAGATTTCTTACCTTTATCTTTTCCATGTTAATTTTAAAGAACATAATCTGGACCTCCTCTGTGGGTCCAGGCTGGCTCCACATTCATTGCCCTGTGTGCCCTCCTGAGTGCCACAGTGAGCAAACCTGGGATTCTAATGTGTCAGAAATGCAGATACCCTTCTTTTCACTTGTAGAGAAATGAAGACCCAGAGAGGTGCCCAGAGCAGCCCAAGACCACAGAGCCAGCTACACAAATGTCCTGTTGTAGAGCCTGGGCACCATTCACTCATCAGGGTGAACCCAAGTTTAGAAGACATCAGGTTAATAGGTTCCTTTACTGCAGACCTTCTCAGAGCCTTTAATATGCCTGTGCGGATGGGCTGCAATGTTCTCAGGGGCAAAGGGTTGCTATGCAGTGCTTCCCAGGCTTATTAACCAAAGACCTTTTATTTACGAAGCACTGACAGAGAGCCAGCGAGCCCTGGATGCCCCGGACATGCAGCACTGTGCACTGCCCAGTGGGAAGAGGGCCCCTTGGGATGGCATGGCCACACACTCCTGGGGCCACCTAACCCAGCATTTTGCTGCATGCTTCTCCACAGCTTCGAGGCTGCTCCCAGATGAGGCTGGCTGGAGGGGTGGTGTCCTGTTCACCGGAGCCTCCAGCACAGAACTAGAACTCTGTAGAGCCTACTGACTGACGAATGCAAATGCCATGAAATAAGGATGATCTCCAACCACCTGTTCAAACTTGAGTAAAAGCCAGAAGATACTTCGCCAGATAAAGCAGTTAAAAACCGAGTGGCCTCCACTCTCATGCTATTTCACCATTTTCCTTGAAGAAGCTTCCAAATTTGGGTTGGAGCTTGAACTGCCTTGGCAATACAATAACCACAGCTATGATTATAAGGGTAATAGCTATTTTCTTTCTTCTTTTTTTTTTTGAGACCAAGTCTCATTCTGTCACCCAGCCTGAAGTACAGTGGCCTGATCTTGGCTCACTGCAACCTCCACCTCCCCGGTTCAAGCAGTTCTCCTGCCTCAGCCTCCCAAGTATCTGGGACTACAGGCATGTGCCACCACGCCCAGCTAATTTTTGTATTTTTAGTAGAGATGGGGTTTTGCCATGTTGGCCAGGCTGGTCTCAAATGCTTAGCCTCAAGTGATCCATCTGCTTGGCCTCCCAAAGTGCTAGGATTACAGGCATGAGTCACCGCACCCAGCCAGAAATAGCTATTTTCAAACACCTTCTCACTGAATCTTCATGAAATCCCTACAAGATAAGATTCTTATCTCAACTTAATAACATGAAACTGAAGCTCAGAGAGAAGTCTCTGGAAGGTACAGAGCTGGGTTTCATACTCTGGTCAGCCAACCCCAACACCTGTTCTCTTGACCACTCTTTCCCTGGCAGAGTAAGGGAATGGTTGCTTGTGGAGGTGCCGCAAGCCTGGAGGTGGGAGGTCTTTGGAGAGAGACTTTCCAGAGAAAGAGCGGTTCTGGAGACTGGCCTGCCCCAGCCCCTAGCCCTACAGCCTGTTTAAGGCCAGCCTGCAGAGCCCTAGAACCGGAAGGCAGAAGGGACTCCTCTGGTGGATTCCAGCTGAGGTCTCAGTCCCCTCTCTAGACCTTAAGTTTGACTTGGCAGATTCACAACTCTCACCTCTCTCTAACTGTGGTCCCCTTGCCCTAGGCTGACGATCAGACTACGCCGAATGTTGTCAGCCTTTCTGGGTTGCCTGGACTTCTGACCCACTGTGGCTATGGCTCCCACTGCCTGCCTGATCTCTCTGGAGGGGCTCAGGTGGATATATGGTTGGTGCCACCCGGCCAGCCCTCCCAGTGGCCAGCGCTGCCTGGAGGAGATAACTAAGGGTGAGAGCTGAGAAGGTAACAACGGGACTAACCCTAACTGCAGTTAGCTCTAGAAGTTCTAGAATCATTCAAGAAATAAAGAAGCCCTGTGAGTATTTAAGCCTCTTAGGTGAGAGTAATATAAAATGTGCAGGATATTAAACAGGGTAACACAAATCCCTGAATTTACTTTTAAAAATCTATGTTAATATTGAGTCACCAGCTGCAATGCTAATTCCAAACATATATTTTATTTACTTATTTTTTGAGACAGGGTCTCACTCTGTCACCCAGGCTGGAGTACAGTGCCACCATCTTGGCTCACCACAACCTCCACCTGCTGGGTTCAAGTGATTCTCCTGTCTCAGCCTCCCAAGTAGCTGGGATTATAGGTATGCACCACCATGCCTGGTTAATTTTTATATTTTTAGTAGAGGTGGGGTTTCTCCATGTTGGTCAGACTGGTCTCAAACACCTGATCTCAAGTGATTCTCCCACCTCGGCCTCCCAAAGTGCTGGGATTACAGGCGCAAGCCACTGTGCCCAGTCAAACATATATTTTTAATTGTGAAAGCAATCCCTAGGAGGCAGGAATTATTCCCACTTTACAGATGAGGGCATGGAGGCTCAGAGTTTAGAACTGTGCCCAAGGTCACACAGTATAAAAATGGCAGAGCTGAATTACAAATCCAGCAGGGATGACCAACTCCAAAGTCTGGGCTTAAACTTCCATCAGTCTAAAACTACGAATGCTTGATTGCTTCTGAATGTCCTGCTACTGCAGCGAATATTTTATGTTATAAAAATAGAACAATGTCAGCACCAGGGGAAGCAGCCTCACAGGGGATGAGGAAAGACTTAGACAGCCCTGAGCCAATTAATTCCCTGTGGCTCCTCGACTTGGCTGTGTGGACTTAGGCAAATCTCCCCCCAAATCTGAAGCCTTGCTTCCTCCTCTACGGGGTGGGAATAACAATTCCTGCAACAGGATTATAATGATAATGGAATACCATTTTAAGTTCCTGGCACACAGCAGTTGCTCAATAAATACCAGGCATTCGACAGGCATTTGTTGAGCACCATTATGTGTGACTAAGGGCCACTGAGGCTCTGCCAAACAGTGACACCCCTTCCTCTTCCCAGTGTTGGGCTCCTTCCCCACAACCACCTTTCAAGAGAAAGGTCAGAATGATTGGGACTCACGGGAAGAGAGACTTTTTTGGAACTTTTGTGCCATCACTGGGGTTGTAATAACCGGGTCCTGGGCCTGTTGACGTCACTTTTAATCCACGGTTGGTTTTTGACTTAAAACAAGACATTAACGTATTTGGCGACTGCTTCACAAGGGATTCGTTGATGTTATAATGCCCTAAGGAGAAAGAAACGTTATGACAGGACAAGGAGCTGTTCTCAAGTAAGTAAAGGGTGGTACCTCACTCCTAAGAATGCACTTGATGGCTGCAAGGCAGCGTCACTCTAGGATGGCCAAATGGAAGGCTGCTTGAGACAACCAAAAACAGTCCCCACCGCGCAGGGAGCAGGCCGCACAGGAATCACACACTTCGCTGATTTAGCTCTCGCGCTAGCCTGGCAAGATGAGTATTACTGCTTTCATTCTAAACACGAGGAAACTGAGACTCAGAGATATTAAATAATTTGCCAAAGGACATTCATCTAACCAGGGATGCAGACAAATCTCTCTACCTTGCTGAAGCCCAGTTTTCCTTCTCCATAAAGTAAGAATAATAACTCTACTTACAACAGAGTTCTTATGATAGTTGAATAACATTTTAAGTTCCTAGTACATAGTGGTTGCCTTGCAAATATCATGCAATCAACAGGTATCTTTTTTTTTTTTTTTTTTGAGATAGGATCTTGCTCTGTTATCCAGGCTGGAATGCAGTGGCAGAAGCATAGCTCACTGCAGCCTTGATCTGCTGGGCTCACTGATCCTCCCATCTCAACCTCCTGAGTAGCTGAGACTACAGGTGTAGACCACCATGTCCTACAAATTAATTTTTTCTTTTTTTGTAGAAATGAGGTCTCATTATTTTAACCAGGCTGGTCTTGAACTCGTGAGCTCAAGCAATCCTCCCACCTCAGCCTCCCAAAGTGTTAGGACTACAGGTGTGAGTCCTGTAGCTATGACTGTGGTCCCATCATGCCCGGCTAACATGTATGTATTGAGCACCAATAGACAGAAACTGGTCTGCTTGTCTCCAAAGCCCACACTTCCCCACCATGCCACAATGCCTTGTCTCAAGAAACTGTGACAGAATAAAATGAATTTGTGTTCAAAGCTTTAAGGAAGAAGAGAATGACCAAAACTGGGGTGAGGAGGAAGCGGTCTCACCCCTAAGTTGTCAGTAGCCCTGTGAATAGATGTTCTTTACCCCTCTATTCATATTTGCAATCAATTCAAAACAATCTCAGTTTCCAATAAAACAATACTGCTTCCTTAATTTATGGTATTATTATATAATAATATACCATATATTTATTTAATATGATGTACCGAAAGGATTTTTACTAACATGAAAAGATGTTCCCAGTATTGGCCAGGCATGGTGGCTCACGCCTATAATCCCAGCACTTTGGTAGGGCGAGGTGGGTGGATCACTTGAGGTCAGGAGTTGGAGACCAGCCTGACCAATATGGTTAAACACCATCTCTACTAAAAATACAAAAAAAAAATTAGCCAGGTGTAGTGGTGCATACCTGTAGTCCCAGCTACTCTGGAGGCTGAGGCAGGAGAATCACTTGAACCCAGGAGGCTAAGGTTGCAGTGAGCCAAGACTGCTTCACTGCACTCTAGCCTGGGCAACAGAGTAAGACTCCCTCTCAAAAAATAAAAAAATGTTCACAGTATATGCTTAAATTTTTTGAAAAACAGATGTCAGTTAGCAGTATTTACAATATTAGATAACTATCTCTCATATATACATATATATATATATATATATATATGTATATGTATATATTTCTACTAAAAGGGTTATAGCAACACCTGAATTACAAAATATGGAAAACAATGAAAGGTAAAAGCAAGGAATAGAAGGCATTTACGCTGCCACTACCAGAGAGAGCCAACTACCAGGAAGCGGGGTCAGGAGTGAGCTGAAGGTACCAGGTATTGAACTAGATGGGCCTGGATTGAAATCACTCTGTGGGGCCGTGCTGGTGGCTCATGCATGTAATCCTAGCACCCTGGGAGGCTGAGGTGGATGGATCACTTAAGGTCAGGAGTTTGAGACCAGCCTGGCCAACATGGCGAAACCCTGTTTCTATTAAAAATACAAAAATTAGCTGGATGTGGCCGTGCATGCCTGTAATCCCAGCTACTTGGGAAGCTGAGGCAGGAGAATCACTTGAACTCAGGGGACGGGGGCAGAGGTTGCAGTGAGCCGAGATCATGCCACTGCACTCTGGCCTGGGCAACAGAGCAAGACTCCATCTCAAAAAAAAAAAACAAAAACAAAAAGGAAAAGAAATCCAGCTGTTGGACATTGGGCCCATCACCTGCTTTCTTATCGCCTTTGTCTGTGAAGTAGGAATAAAATAAGAATAGCTCACACTTTCTGAGCACTTTTGCGGTGAGTACCTACCTGCTCCATGGGGCTTTGGAGGATTCAATGAGATCATGAATGTAAGGCCCCTGGCACCCACGGGGAGCTTACCAGATGCTAGTACCCACCCTTCCCCTCCTGCTCCGTGTTATAAGGAGCTGGGAGCTTTTCAGGATCCTCCCCAGGAGGGAACAGGCACATATGGCAGACTGTGGAGGTGTGCGCATCCCAGGGCTCACTGACAGGGACTCTGGCCAAACCCCAGGGATGCCGGCTTTGTTCTTCTGTACAAAGAGACAAGGTGAGGTTTTGCCCATGGATGATGCAAGGCAGAGGAGCTTGAACTGGGGCTGAGCCTCCTAATTAGTGCTGGTTTTGTTATTCAGTTTCAGATTGATCTTTTCAACTTTAATCTGGATTTGCTGAAATCTGACATGCACTACAATTTTATCCACACCCCTTTGCAAGAGGCGTGATTGCAGAAGCAATCTTCCCTGCTGCTCCTCCTGATTCTGGGGCCCAAGGTTCCTGGGACAGGTCTGGTGCCCAAGGCTCCTGGGGGTGGGGCGTGGTCTGTGGGGCCTATTTGGGATAATCTAACATAATGAGCGCTCCAGGACTGGAGGTCAGAGAGCACAGGAGAAGCACAACAGCTTTCCCCAAGCCCAGCAGGGGAAACACTTGCAGGAAAGCTCTTGGGGACTCCTGAATCTTGGGGGTTCCAGAAGGGGCAATGAAATGAGGGGGGAAATGGGCTTCATAGTGAGACACCTCTGGGCTTGTGTCTGCCATTTACTGGCTGTGTGACACTGGGCAAGTCATTTCAACTCTCTGAGCCTCCATTTCTTCATCTGAAAAACAAGGATAAGTGAAAACCTATGACGACAGACCTGCAAGGCTGCGTGGAAACCACTCAACGTGGAGGGGGTGCTCCGGAAACAGACCTGCGTCCTCTGTTTTATGACTAGATGATGAAGTCACCTCTAGCATAGGAGAAAAGGAATGCGGCAGCTGAGTGTTGAAGGAACAGGATGTATGGTCATACCCTGTATCTCCTGCCCCTCCCCAGTGGCCTCTGATGGCACCTGGGCTATAGGAATGTGTACACTTCTGAGGTGAGAAGCCACTTCTCCACTTGGCTGCCCAGAGTAGGTATGCCAGGTCACAAAAGGGGAGGCCAGGAAGCTGCTTTGGGGGGCGCTTTTCCAGAGCCAGCCGTTGTGCTCCTGGTGGGGAGGGCTGGCCATCTTCTTACCTCTCCTCTCTGTTCAGTACCTGTCTCCTACTCCTCCCCACCCAAAGACTAAATCCTTCCAAAGACTCCCTATGAAAAAGTAGGTCCCCTGAAAATCAAATCTGGGACATTAACCCTCGGGTCAAGGCCAGCGCAAAGCAGCTGCTTACCTGGGGGAGGTCCTTTACCAGCAAAAGCGAGAGATCCTCTTTGGGTTTTTGACATAAACCCGGCTCGGGCACAGACGTTGTTTCTCTGCTTGCAGCAAGAGATGGAGACCTAGAGGGAGAAAACCCGCCCAATGTGCTCAGTGCCTTTCCTTTCTTTGTCTTTGTCATCGTGCCTGGATAAGTGGCAAATCTATATTAAAAAATTCAAACTGAAACCTGTCCTTCTTAGCAAATGAACAGATATGAGCTGTAAAGGTCACACTGACGGTGGCTTCACCGTCATCCCAGCTCAAGTGGTCTATGAGTTTGTGATCCCCAGAAAATGCTGCTCACTCAGCAAGGAACAGAACACACAGCTCGCTGCAGGCCAGCCCCCAGGCTCCCTTCTGCTGAGGACAGGCTGTGTGGCCCTGCATCGGTTCTGTAACCTCTCTGAAACTGAGTCTTCTCATCTGTAAAACGAATTGGATAGTCAGCTCCTCTTGCTGTGGAGTCCCACCAGGGAGTCAGGGTGGCCCAACAGAGATTACCTCTAGGAAAGTGTTTTTTTTTTTTTTTTAAAGTGTGTAATGCTACGCCTGCAAATTATCTTCATTATTTTTGCTTCTTTTTTTTGAGACAGAGTCTTGCTGTGTTGCCCAGGGTAGAATGCAGTGGTGCCATCTCAGCTCACTGCAACCTCTGCCTCCCAGGCTCAAGCAATCCTCTCACCTCAGCCTCCAGAGTAGCAGGGACTACAGGCACATGCCACCACACCTGGCTAATGTTTTTGCATTTTTTGTAGAGATGGGGTTTCACCATGTTTCTCAGGCTGATCTCAAACTCCTAGGCTCAAATGATCTGCCCACCTCGGACTCCCAGGGTGCTGGGAATACAGGCGTGAGCCACTGCACCCGGTTTTCTACTATTTTCACTGTTCTCAAGACATGTGCCCCTGCCAATCCCCATCCTCATTCCTAGGTGCACTGATCACTGTTCAAACAGCCCTTCTATAAATGCAGCATTTGGGGCACACAACAAAACTGTATCATTTAAGACTGTGATCGGATTTGCAAGCACTCCCTTGTCTCAACTTTTCTGAACTGACCAGAAATTAAGAACTCTGGTCAACTCATGAAATACATTTGAGAGTGTGCAATGTGTCCAGAACTCTAAAATTAATAGGAAAAAAAACCCCTGAGATCATTCTTCTGTTACACATGAATCATAAATATTTTAAATGTCAATGTGCAGTCAGTCTCCTGGACTCATTGGAGAACAGAGGCAACACAAATTAAACCTGTGATTGCTGGGATATTTACCGAATGAGTGAAACTATTTGCTGGGGCCAAGATGGTGTGATTTGCTGTGATACTCCTTTGTCAAAAAAAAAAAAATGTTTCTTGAGAAATGCAGGTGGCATTTTGATTTTGTGTTGACAAAGGTGGAGGAATTTAGCTTTTCTCAGGGCCTTAATGGCTAGACGGCATGCAGAGAGGGCAAACAAAGAGACCAGATGGGACAGGTTAATTACTGGACACGGGATGCGGGGAGAGGAGCCAGGCTGCCAGAGAGAAGGTAATAACACAGTACCGAGGAAGAGGACTCAAATATACAAGTGAGGCATCATGGCAGCAAAGGCAGAGAAAGGCTTTGGCAGACTTCAAAGCAGTGTGGCTAACAGGATTACCGCATTTCTACTCCCCACCACTTGACTCAACCATTGTTCTTGTGGCCTGAAAAAAAGCCACCTGTAGACAAAACAGTACTTCAGCTTTATTTTTCACCCAGACAGAAAAGCAACTGAAAAGGGGGCAATTTTGTATACGCTGAGTGTGCGTCACTGGAAGATTTCCCCATGAGTCCAGGAAAACAGTCAGCAGGTTGAAAAAGACTGAAGCAGATTTATTGTATCGCCATGGAAAGAAATCTAAGAAGCAAATGCATGTGTGCTGTGTATATGTAGCATAATGCTCACATTGGTGGAGGGACAGAGCAGAAGAGAACAGGAAAGAAATTGCACCTGGTTTTTGTTTGGTTTGGTTGTTTTTTTGAGATGGAGTCTCACTCTGCCACCCCAGCTGGAGTGCAGTGGCACGATGTTGGCTCACTGCAACCTCCACTTCCCAGGTTCAAGCAATTCTCCTGCTTCAGCCACCCCAGTAGCCAGGATTACAGGCATGTGCTGCCACACCTGGCCAATTTTTGTATTTTTAGTAGAGGCGGGGTTTCGCCATATTGGCTAGGCTGGTCTCAAAATCCTGACCTCAGGTGATCTGTCTACCTTGGCCTCCCAAAGTGCTGGGATTACAGGTGTCAGCCACTGTGCCTGGCCTGCACCTGGCTTTTGATGCAGTGGTTTGCTTTGGAAGTAGAATTATAAGGGACTTCCACTTTCTAATTCATGGATTTCTGCAGGGCTTGAATACATTTTATGATGAGCATGTATTATTTTCAGGGTCATATTAAGACAATAATGAACAAAAAACATGCACCTAAGTGTATCTATTGGCAGAAGGACACAATTCTGACTTGGAAAGCAGTCATTTCTAGATTAGCAGCTGTGTACTACTGGGAAGTTCTTCCTTTGATGTCATAAACATTGACTGGATGCCTACTGCATCCCAGGACCCATGCTAGTCACTGGAGACAGGAAGCGGCGCGAAGGAGCAGACACTGAGTTGGGGAGGATCACACAGGAAACACTGACGGTCGCATCCTTCAGGGACAACCGGGAGGCTGCAGAGGGAGGCAGCCATACGGACAGTTAGTGCCAGTGTCTGTCTCCCAAGCAGGCTGGTTCCCACTTGGGAATGGCAAAAGGGCAACAGCCAAGCCCCTTCTGATCACTTTCTTGGACCACACCGTGTCCTCTCTCCTATTAGCACAGTAGTCTCCTCACTGGTTTTCCAGAACCCACTCTTCAACCCACACTGCAGTCCATTCACCACACAGCAGCTGGAAGGAGGTTTTTCTTTTTGAGACGGAGTCTTGCTCTGTCACCCAGTCTGGAGTGCAGTGGCCTGACTCTGGTTCACTGCAACCTCTGCCTCCCAGGTTCAAGCGATTCTCCTGCCTCAGCCTCCCAAGTAGCTGGGACTACAGGTGTGTGACACCATGCCTGGCTAATTTTTTTGTATTTTTAGTAGAGACAGGGTTTCACCTTGTTAGCCAGGATGGTCTCCATCTCCTGACCTCGTGATCCGCTGCCTCAGCCTCCCAAAGTGCAGGGATTACCAGTGTGAGCCACCGCACCCAGCTGGAAGGAACTTTAAAAAAAATACCCCACACCTCCAACCCACAAGGGGCTTCCTAGGACCCAGAAAACAAAATGTGAACTCCCTCCTGGGATCTTCAGGCCCTGCATGAACTGGCACCCCCTTCTTCCCTCTCCTCCTAGTTCACACTACACTGGCCATTCAACCTTCCCGTAGGTCCTTGTCGGCTGAGCTCCTTGCTGTCCCAGGACCTTTGCACATGCTGTTTCTCCAACCCTGGCTCCTCCTCAATCCTTGGATCTCAGCCTTGGAGCCTCCTCTTACCATCAAGTCCAAAATATGTGGCATTGCCCACCTCCATATCCCCACATATTCTCTCTCAGGCTCCAGCTGTCCCTCAAAGTTGACCACAGTTTGAAATTCTTTTGTTCGTGTACCTGTTCTTTTCTGAATTCCCTGCTGGAATCTAAGCTGTATCATCAGCCTGGCACAGAGGAGCAACAGGATCCACAGAAGGAAGCCTGTCAGGGCTGGAATGAGGTGACTTTGCTCATTCCCCAGCTTTTCACCCCAGCCATCCACCAGTGAGTGCCTGCTGATGTGCAAATGATGTCTTCAAGCTGGGAAACTTGGGCAAGTCGCTTCACCTCTCTGAGCCTCAGCCTTCTCTTCTGTGAATTGGGAATAAGATAATCCACTTCATGGATTCCCTTGTGAGTATTAAATATGATTAATACATAACTCTTAGACCAGCAGTTAGTACATGAGAAGTGTTCCCTCCTTCTCCTCCTCCTCATCATCATCATTTTCAGGGTCTGATTATGCCAAGGGAAGACTGCCCAATATAGTAGCCACAGGCTTCATGTGGCTATTGGCCCTGGAAACATGGCTGGCCCAAATTAATATGTGCTGGAAGAATAAAACACACATTGGATTTTAAAGACTGAGTACAAGGAAAATAATCTTCCTCAAACAGAAAATTAATAATTTTGATATTGATTAGTGTAGAAATGATAATATTTTTGATCTGTTGGTAAAAGGCATTACTCAAATTAATTTCACTGGTTCCTTTTTCTTTTTAGATGTGGCTACTGGAAAATCTTCAATGACTTCTGTGGCTCCCATTTTACTTCTAGTGGACAGTGCTAGCCTAGCAGGCACTGATAGTACTTTGGACACATATATAATTGCTTGACTCCATCATAGAAGGTGGGCAGGATCTTTGCAGTCAGAAAAATAATTATTATTTATAAATATTATGTAGGAAAAAAGGAAATGGTATACTAAATGTATACGATCAAAATAGTTTGAAAAATGGCATAATACATTACTATCTTAAGTGCCATTTGTATCTCAGGCACTTCAGAGTACTTGCACGTTCCTTGCCTTACGATCGCCCTGTAGGGTGAGTAGAATTGATCCCATTTTACGGTGAGGGCTGTGACTTACTTACTTATCTCTTATTTAAGGGTAAGTAAATGCCTTAATTTGCTGACAAAGATGGCTCTACCAATCTCCATGTATTGTGCGGTCCTTGGGTGACTGCTGCTGTCCTGAGCATGCAGCATAGATTATCTTATTTAATATTTGCATTAACACTATGAGGTGAACATACATCCCCATTTTACAGATCAAGAAACTAAGTCCTGGAAAGGTTAAAGGCCTTGCCTAAGGCCACACAGTTAGACAGTGGCAGAGACGAGAGCTAAACCAAACATCCTGAATCCATCTCTTAACCATCCACGCCATTCTGCCTCAGTGAATACAAAGTGATCATAGATGGCGTAGCAGGGCACGGCTGTTAAAACACCTATTTACTGATATAAAAGAAGTTTCTTTTTCCTAGAACTGAAAAAGTAAATCACTAGTGGCTGCAGATAAGTGGTAACTAATCCACCCATTGTTATAGATGAGAAAACTATGTCCCAGAAAGGCTACAGGATGAGACTAATTAGAGTATGTGTTTCTCAGGGCAGTGGTCTCTCCACAGCTTCATAATGGCCTCCATGTTGCCCACCATGCTCTCTGGGGTCTGCAAATTTCCTATAAGAGTCTTGTATAGCCGGCTGGGCACGGTGGCTCATGCCTGTTATCCCAGCACTTTGGGAGGCCAAGGCGGGTGGATCACAAATTCAGGAGTTCGAGACCAGCCTGGTCAACATGGTGAAACCCCATCTCTACTAAAAACACAAAAATTAGATGGGCACGGTGGTGAGCGCTTGTAATCCCAGCTACTCGGGAGGCTGAGGCAGGAGAATCGCTTGAACCCGGCGGGCGGAGGTTTCAGTGAGCCACTGCACTCTCAAAAAAAAAAAAAAAAAAGTCTTGTACAGCCTCAGGCACCCATTGGATAGTCAACAAATACTAACTGGCTTGACAACTGCATTAAAATGTGATGTCCCCAAGATCCCCTCTTCCTTTTATTTTAGTAAGCCATTCATTTGATCTATATTTAGCAAGCATATGTAGAGTTCTTACATTGTAATAGTTTGGTGCAGGAGTTTCAAATTTGAGAACTTTTGTAAAGCTTGGCAACTGAAACATGCTGGAACATGAATTACTGAAGTCTCTCTTGGAAATAAAATCTGTTGGGATAGTGTATGCATTCGCTGCAGGATATTTAGAAATGTTGGTGTCCAACCGGGTGCGCTGTGAAGAGACAACCAAAACAATCAGTATTACCACATCATCCTGTGGCTCTGAAGGACAGATGTCAAAAAGATGGCGGCCGGCACAAGGTTTAAATGCATTTTATAAAAGGCGAATTTCTGGCAGGTAACAACGATAAACTGACCTCAGGCTTTGAGGATCTGCCCTCGGAAAATGCAAGTTCAGACCTGTACTCACTTCTGTAAACTAACTCAAATTATTCATCTTCTGTTTGGGACTTGGCAAAAATGATTTTGCCATAAATGCATTTCTACCCAATCCTGTTTCAGGCCACTTACCCTTGACTCATCAGCTGTTGGGTAATTTATGTGATAGGAAGCTTCAGACACTCTTCTCAGCCTAGGCTTTTCTTCTGAGTAAAATCTCACACCTTGTTTCTAAGGTTAAAAGATCCGAACTGCCTAAGCAACGAGTCTGCTTCAAACAGAGCTCCGGGGGCTTGCTGTCCACCCGTGCCTCCTACCCTCCACCAAATTACTGTTTTCATCAAATCCAACAGTATTTTTACTGTTTAACAAAACCAATCCCACTCCTTTCAGGAAGCCACGATAAATGATCTTCAGTTAAAAAACAAACAGAATCAATGTTTGTCAAAAGAACAGGGACAAAAGTCACAGAAACTCGGTGATAACATCACTTTCCCCTAAGATAGCATGGCAAGTACTGGAGTCTGATAAAACAAAAAATTTCCCACTGTTTAATGGTTAAAAGCTTGAGAACGTTGTCCTGGATTTTCTCACTTGATAGGAATCAGTAACTACACAAACACAGAAAGTGGGCGAGCCGAAAGGAAGGCATTACGGGCCCCCACTACTTCACTCTGTGCTTGGTGGTGACGGTTCTCAGTGCCTGGTTTATGGAACAGCGCTGGCATGTGGGTGGGTGTAGCACCAGAAGCAGAGGTGTTCTTGTCCAGAGCCTAACCTGGGTTCAAGTCCCAGCTCGACCTCAACCTCTTCAGTAACGGGGAGTTAACTCCAAAGCTGGTCTGTTCCTTGAATACCCAACTCTGCCAAACTCGAATTCCAGTAAGAAACAGCTCCATGCAGTGCGTAAGGATTTGCTGATGCTCCTAGAAGAAAGGTCACCCCAGCCTTGAACGCAAGCTTCGCCGTTTTCATTCTGGCTAAGAGTTAACCAGTACCTTTCAGGGATTTTTGTGTTTCATCCTCACGACAACCCTGAGCAGTGATCTTATGATTATCTCCACTTTACAGACGAGGGAGCTAGACTTCCTCAGCTAATTCAGGCAGAGGACCAGCATTCCTGCCCAAGTAGTCGGCCTCCACTACGTGACATGGATCACATGGCTCATTCTAAAGAGGAATGGGTCGAGTGGTGATAGCGAGCCCATTCCATCACTGACTCTTTTGGTTTAGAACACCTACAACCTACATTTTGATAAGGAAAAACTCTTCTTCCCAAAAAAGTCCCAGCAGAGGCAATGTGTTATAAAGTATCAAAATAGAATTAGTCTCAGAGTGTGGCTACAGTGACATCACTCACCAACACTACACACCCCTTGGTTTTCTGCCAGGCCTGTGGCCTCCAATCTGGCCATAAGCTGGCATTTATGAGCCTGTCTCCAGCACCTACCAATTTTTCTAGAGCCACTCCTGCTGGCATGCAAATATAGAGAAGCCATCAAAGTCTCCACCCTCCTACCTCATTCACTTCTCCTAGTCAGTCCTGTGGAAGATTCTGGAGCAAAGATTCAGAATATACTAATAAAGCTCTTTATATCATTTGGACTTAGAGAGATGACAGGTCTCTCCAAAGGGTGGGTGTGGTTGTCTCAACAGTCATGAGGAGGTTTCTAAAATGTATAGATCTGCAGAGTTTTCTGGTCAGCCTCATCCATAATCACATTCCTACTGGTCATTCCGATCTTTCTCTGATGAGAGTTACTTTTAATTCCCTCCGAGTCTTGGGATCTAGAAGTGGAGGAGGGGCTGAAGGTGAAAGTCACTGAAAGAGGCAGTGGGATGGGAGGATATGAAATTCTCATCCAGTTCATGAGATGAGAACTGGGTAAGAAGAAGGTAAGATGCAGGATCTCCTGATAGAGCTCCATAGACCGCTTTAGGCACCCACCCCAGGTACAGGACCTTAAGTGTTTATACTTGAGTGTAACATAACTATAAATACAAATTCCCATATTTGTCAAAGGGAGAAGAGGAAGCCTGAGCAACTCAAAGTCTACCTTCTTTGGGGTTTGGTTCTGAATGTTTTAAAGGCCTGAAAGGCATGGCTAGGTTTTACAACACTCAGATCTTCCCTGGGGCCCCTTGTCCTCCAGAGGGTCCGGCTTTTCATTTGGAAAGTTACTGCGTGCAAAACCCAGTAGAGAACCAATTGCGTGCTCTGATTCAGTCTTTTTTTTTTTGGCACCAAGAAGGAATGGGCAGTGTCATTATTTAGCAAAGTTCTCGGAGAGAAAACCTAGGTGTTGCAGGAAGTATTGTTTGTGACTCAGGTGGTAACAATCATAATATTTAGCATGTTTATAGTGCTTTGCCGTTTCAAAGAGTATTTCACTCATTGCAACGTTAATTTGCCCAGTGCCTCCAGGGAGTCTCCACTTTCATGAGGCAACTGGGACACAGAAGGGTGACGTGCTTGAGGTCACGTCGAGAATCCACAGCTGAGTCAGGATCAGGTCTTAAGTCTTGTCTCCTAAGCCAGGACTTCATGAGACAGCACTTCTTTTGAGTTTCTGTCCTAGCAGAGCTGGTGGTAGAATGATAGGTAGAGGCATGGCTGTTGTGTGAACCTACAGAGGCCATGCACGGACTTGGCTTCTTCAGTAATGGGGAGTTCACTCCAAAGCTGGTCTGTTCCTTGAATATCCATCTCTGCCAAATTCGAATTCCAATAAGATGTGGCTACATTCAGTGTGTCTTAAATGGTCCCTTTATGTGGTTTTAAAAAAAAAAGTCAGGCTGGGCATGGTGGCTCACACCTATTATGCCAGCACTTTGGGAGGCCCAGGCAGGCAGATCATGAGGTCAGGGGTTTGAGACCAGCCTGGCCAACATGGTGAAACCCCATCTCTATTAAAAATACAAAAAATTAGCTGGCTGTGGTTGGTGCACACCTGTAGTTCCAGCTACTTGGGAGGCTGAGCAGGAGAATTGCTTCAACCCAGGAGGCGCAGGTTGCAGTGAGCATAGACTGTGCCATTGCACTCCAGTCTGGGCAACAGAGCAAGACTCCATCTAAAAATAAATAAATAAATAAATAAATTCCAATGTCAGGCATCATAATACATCTGTGCAAGAAATTATTACAACTTTTTAAAAGAGATAAGATAGCGTATGTTTGTTAATTTAATGTTAGAATCTGGGCTTGCTTTCTTTTTCACTTGTTTTTGAGACAGTCTCCCTCTATCAGGAGTTTGATAGTGCAATCATAGTTCACTGCAGCCTCAACCTCCTGGGCTCAAGTGGTCCTCCCACCTCAGCCTCCTGAGTAGCTGGGACTACAGGCACACATCACCACTCCTGTAATTTTTGAATTATTTTGTAGAGATGGGGTCTCACTATGTTGCCCAGGCTGGTCTTGAACTCCTGGGCTTAAGTGATCCTCCTGCATTGGCCTCCCAAAGTGCTGGCATTATAGGCATGAGCCACCGTGCCTGTCCACTTCTCGCTTTTCTTCGTCAGGTAGCCTTACCCTAGTTTGTATCTTTCCCTTTGCTGTATCTATTTTTCTTGACCATTTACATTATTTTTAAGAAGAAGCCTATCTTTGCCCAACTCCGGTCAGGGTCACTGGCAATTCATATAGCTACTTGATTGTTACAAAAATAAAGTCCCATCTCTTACAAAGAGAAGGAATGGGGGTGGGGCCAGTACATTTCAGGCCCACTGCCGTCTTTCTTTTTAGTCCTATCAGACTTCTCAATACTCTGACAACCCAATTAGATTAAGCATTGTAAAAATCCTATTACAATAAGATGTGCAAGAGTAACAATTTCCTGATATGCCTAAAAATCTCAGGAAAACGCTTGCTTAGTCCACTCAGTGATGACAAAATTGGTTTGGTAGGATCAAGTTCTGAAGATTCCTCTGGCTTCTCTTCCCACCCTGGCAATGGGTGAAGATGGGAAGTTACTTAGAGACACAGGGTCCAATTTACCTGCATGAAATTTGAGGAGGCAGTGACTCTTCTAATTAGAACCATGGGCCTTTGGAGAGAATGGACCAGATGTCCAGTATAGAATTATGCAATAAATGAAGGAAATTACAGACCAGTTCATGCTTTACTCAAGAGAAGTGGCTCTCACCGTAGAGGGAAACGTGCACGTTCCTTTCTTGGACAATGAGACACTGTTGGACACCGGTGACTGGTGAATGACATTGTAGGACCCCGGACCTGGGATATCATTCTGAAAGGGAAGAGAAGGTGGCATCATCAAGACACTTCAGTTCCATTGTGCTTTCCCACAGGCGCTACATCCATTCACACTAAGCCTTACCGTAATTGCACAGCACAGGTGCTACCATCACTTGAAGGGTGACAGCCTGGCTCCACCATTTCCTGACTTGCCCGCTCAGTTACCAAGGGGTGGGGCTGGAATTCCAATCCAGACTAGGACTCCCAAAGCCCTTGCTCTTTCCACTATGCCATGATAAATTCTAAAAGAACACGGTTGTTGTTTTTTCATGTCATTAGAGAAATGGGCATAAAATGGGACACTGAATGCAGCTGAGGAGCAAGTCAGCGTGCAGTGATTGGGTAAGCCAAACCCATGGCAAGGGAAGGGTGAGTGATTGCACGTTCACCCCACCCCACCTGACTCAGCTTCCTCCTAGGTCTTTCAGAAGAGAAACCAGGGAGTGTTTCTGTTTATAAAGCAAAACGAAACAAAAACAACCTTCATCCCAAACAAGGCGTTTCTAACTCTCAGACAAAAAGAGGCAAGCTCTTGAGACTCAAGTGCTGCATGGTGTAGGCATGTGAGAGAGGAATGAACAAGAGGTCGATTCCAAGTTCATTTCTGCTGCGGCAGCTCATTGGGCTTTCATCGCATTTCCCACGCTGGTTACCAGGGGGAAGTAAATGCTGACAGAAGCTGGCCGAGCACGCGGTATGAGATGCTAAGGATGCTCCCCTGTCGCAAGGCATTCCTGGGTACCTGCTTGGTACCAGAAGTTTTTCAAAATTTTTCTCATTTTCACCATCAGCCAGAGAGGGAGGGATTATTGTCCCCATTTGATAGACGGAGACACTGAGGGCACATGGAGATGAATTTGCCCAACGTCCCACTGCTGTAAGTGGTGGTACCTGACTTCATGCCAAGTGCACAGTGTGTGCCATCTCGTTTACTCCTCACACAAGCCTTTTACGGTGAGATATGGTCAGGGTCACTTTAAGGCAAGTGAGGCCCTGAGACACTGGGCCATAGCTAGTAAGTGGCAAACCACGGAGCTGAGCCCAGACAGCACGACTCCAGACCTTGCTCTCTCCAATCTCTGCCGCTCAGGCCTGGCCTGTCTCCACCATCCCTCCTGCCTTCCTTAGGGTAGAAAGCTCAAGGCACCATCAGTGCCTTCCAGAACTTTCCAGTCTGGCTGGGCAGTGTGTAATTATGGTTTTATATAAGGGATCGGGTTGAAGTGCTATTCACAGGTTCTTCTGTGCTGACTTTTAAATTCAGTGAGTCCTTTCACCCTTGCTCCATGGCAGGTGGGGACAGGGGAGCTGATTCCTGCTTCAGGTGAAAATGATCCTGGTAGAAGCGGAACTGACTGTCAGGGAGGGTGAGGCAGGCAGCAGGAGGCGCTGCGGAGCCAGGTACTCTAGCGCCCCAGGCCGAGAGCTCAGGAGAACCCTGGTGTGGATGCAGAAGCAAAGGGCCACAGGGAGACAAGGAAGAGACTTTTCCAGGCAGCTGTTTCAGGGAAAGCATCAATTTACTGACAGCTCATTGTGTGCCATGCACTTTCCTGAGGACTTTACATGTACTATCAGCTCGCTTAGTCTCCATTTGAAAGAAGTTTGTGACAAAAGAAATAAGGCCCACATAACTAGTAAATGTCAGAGCCAGAACGGAGGTGCTCTGACCAGAGTCTGCTCTTAACCACGAAACCAAACTAACTCTCAAATGAGACTATATAGGATTAAAAAACAAAAAACCGGCCGGGTGCAGTGGCTCACGTGTGTAATCCCAGCACTTTGGGAGGCCGAGGCGGGCAGATCATGGGGTCAGAGATCGAGACCATCCTGGCTGACATGGTGAAACCCCGTCTCTACTAAAAATACACAAAATTAGCTGGGTGTGGTGGCACCTGCCTGTAGTCTCAGCTACTTGGGAGGCTGAGGCAAGAGAACCTCTTGAACCCGGGAGGCGGAGGTTGCAGTGAGCCAAGATCGTGCCACTGCACTCCAGCCTGGACACCAGAGCAAGACTTCGTCCTAAAAAAACCCAAAAAACAAACAAACAAACAAAACTATTGGTTTATGAATCAGAATTTCGTCTCAGTGCTGCTACAAGCTAAGTGATTATTGAGCAAGTCATCTCTCTGGGCTTCTTTATTTGTAAGTCCAAGGTGCTGGTCCTGGGGGTGATTTTGAGCTTCCAGAGTCCCTGCATCTAGGAAAGCTGACACAGGAAGTGTCACTGTGACTTTTCTAAGTTTAAATAGTAGATAGTGAAGACACACACCTCCAGCTCCCGGTCTATCACCACACTCTCAACCTGACCAGCAGTTTGCAAGAATTTTCTGAGCACTCGTATGTGTCCGAGGAGCTAGGGTTTCCAGATAAAATACATGCTCCAAATGCCTGCTCCATCCTACTGTTAAATTAGAATTTCAGATAAACCACAGATGGTGATTTTGGCATAAGTATATCCCATGCAATATTTGGAACATACTTGTATTAATAAAGTTGCCATTTATCTGAAATTCTAATTTAACTAAACATCTTATATTTTCATTTGCTGAAGCTCACAACCTTCCTGGGTTTCAATCACACTTTAATTCTTCCACATTGCAAACTGGTTTGAGTCCAGGGCAAATGGGAAGTGGACTGTTACCACTCAGCCTGGAAGAATGGAGCGCTGCTTGTGTGATCTTAGTGAGCAAAAGGAGAGTCCTCCAGGCAGCAGCAGCTGGAGCTGGCCGTGGCAGTTTGTGAGGACAGCTGTTAAAAATTCCAAAATATTGCTGGTACTGGCTTGCAATTGGCCAGGTGGGAGTATTTACACCACAAAAAGGGGCAGATGCTGCATCCCAGCACTTTTCTTTGAGGAGGGTATGTGGTGGTTGACCAGCACACCACCACCTGCGAGCAGCACCTAAGCTGGTCTCTGGGAGGGAAACGTCAAGCATTCTCCGGCAACTTCGAGAGGTGGGTGGGTGGCATCCTCGGAGAGACCGTTCGCCTGTGCGGTAACAGTTCCTGCGACTGACATCCTGTGACTTGGATGCATTTAGGCCTCTCAGAGCAAACCCCAGAGAACAAGAATCCAAGTTATGACTGGTGTGAACTTAGCCACTCCTTGATTTCTTGGCAAAAAACAAACCAACAAAATAAAAACATCATGTGTAGGGAGGGAGAAGGGAAGAGAACTCAGGTTTACTAGCACTCTAGGGAAGCCTGGTGCCAGAGAGCCTACCCGCTGTCTCCTTCACTGCCTCTTAGTGTGAGGATTAACAATACACAGAAAGCAGGCGCAACAGCGCGGACGCAGTCCACCGTCACCATCATCACCACCATCCCCACACATGATGCTGCCTGTCACTGCCTCCACGGAGCCAGGACCCTCCCTCAGGAGTCACAAACCTTCAGAGTGGGACTGAGCAGATTAGCAGCCCCTTGAAGTCCCCTGAGTGGGATGGGGGCAAAAATGCAGTTCAGCAGACACTGATTGAAAGCTGCTGCGCATCAGGACCTGTGCCTAGAGTGGAAGATACAGGCCAACCTGTTAGCAGCTCACAAGGTCTAGAAATGGGATGAAGGAGATGCATCACAACCGTGCTAAAGGATGGATGTGTGCTCCAGACTCGATGGGAAATGCACAGACTTGAGCTGGCAGCATTCAACCCATTTTTGAGGGATTTCTGGGGTCTGAAAGCACAGCAATGACTGCTGTCAAGGAGCCCCTAGGCAGGCGCTAGAGGGAAGATAGCATACACATTAACCTCACGTCACGGGTGTCAGATGGGCTGTGGGAAGCGCTTCCACCTGGGGGAGATGCTGGGGAAACAGGATCTGAGGAGCAGGGGCTGCTACCTGGTTCATCCTCACTCTGCCCGGCCTTGACTGCATAAGCTACTTCACCTTCTTTTCATCTCAGGATCATTATCTAAAAAGTGTGGATAATGATGGGATTTAGCTCAGAGGGTTATTATGGAGACTAAGTGAGGCAATAAATGCAAAGGTCTTTGAGGGGTACCTGGCATGTCATCAGTGCCAGCCCAGAGTTTGCAGACCCCTTAGGCGGGGGTACTGGTGACTGACATGGAGAAGTCAGGCTTCACACAGAGCAGGGCACAGGGCAGACCCTACTGTGGGTCAAATATGCAGCTGAGGGCACCCTTGAGGCAGCTGTCCCCTTGCACACGGTGACCTCTGCAAACTGAACTTCCTTTCATTTAAACATCCCTGGTCTAGTGTCATATCACATTAATAGGTGAACAATATTAATTTTGTTCAATTTCACTGCAAATTAACCACCAGCTGGCTTACTCTTGGGGAGGATAGATTGACTGCCAGGCTATGTATGTGGTATTGATATATATTTTTAGACTATGTCCATCTAGAGTACATGGTCGCTATGTCCCGCCAGTATTTATTTATTCAAGCCTGGAAGGGATGAGGTTTAGAACCATGAAACAGTCATTCCTGACAAGGGCTTACCCACCTATTACAACATCTTGATTTTTAGGATGAGGAAACAGAGAAGCAAAGACATGAAGTGGTGTCCTTAGGGATACTCAGTTTGGGAAACAGTGACCACAGTCCAGGGTGAAGTGGGGATAGAACCAGGGAGGCGGGGGAGGAAAATGTCCTGCAGGCTGCTGGGCTGTGCTGTGTCACAGATTAGTTAGGCATGTCTCTTCACGCACACAAAGTCACCAGCACATCTGTAAATAACTGGAAAATGTTCAGGAAAACAGACTTCATTTCTAGCAGCCAAAATTGCCAGTCCAGACACTGAGCTCTGCGAAGGACTCCTTGTACCCAGCAGTAAGATTCTCACGGGGGATGTGAGCTGGGCCAGGAGGCCCTGACGGTTCACTGCAAAGTTAGCCTGATAAGGTATGTGCACATTCCCAAGGGCACTGACTCTCCATGTCAAAGATGTGTCCAGGGGGCCGCAGGACTCCTGTGAGGAGGCAGCCACGTTCCATCAGGAGCAAGGGTGTGCGTGGCTAAGGCTTTAAGACGGGTGGTGAGGCACCGGCGTTTTAAAATCGGGTTTTGAATTGTATTGCCTCACTAAATGAGCGGGTGATGTCAAACAAGATCTGTAACTGTCAGCGCCCATTTCCTTCAGGAAAAATGGGAATGAGCATAGAGTAGGATTTTGGTGTTTTGTTTTTATACATTGAGGACACCTCAAAAACGACATAATCCAAATTTTATGTTTCAGTTGAGGAAACTGAAGCCTAGAAAAGTCAAGTGACTGGTTTAAAGGCCCACAGCCAGCGACAGAGTAGGACACAGAACGCCTGATTTATGGATCCCATGCCCTTTCCATAAAATCTCATGCTTAGTTATAAAATGCTTGCAAATGCTGAGATGAAAGTTTTTATGTTGTCAAGTAATACGACCACATTTGAAAAGTTGGAACCCAGTCTCAGCAATTTGTCTATATTCGATGCTGCCTATAGGTTTGGCTCCCTGCCCCATGGTTCCTTCAGTTGAAAATGTTGTGAAAAGCAACCCTCTTTTAAAACACGAACTTTACAAGTCAGCCCATCTGGTTTCTGAATTTGAGTGTTCAGAACTAGATCACAGAGGATGGGGCCCAGCACATTAGCTGACATCCTCCCCTGTCTTCAGCTTGGTCTGTTTTGCTGAGGCCTTTTCAGAAACCTGCTGACTTTTGCAGGCCAGATTTACAGCTTTGCAGGCCACAAAGGCAGGCGTGGTGCAGTATGTGGAAACAGCAAGAGGCTTTGGAGTGAACTAGACCTGGGCTGAGGTCTAATTCTTTAACACTGATTCAGCACGCATTTATTCTGAGCCTTTTATGTGCCAAACCCTGCGTTGTGTGACCTTGGGTGGGTCATTTAACTTCCCTAAGCCTCAATTTCCTCTTGTGTTAAATTAAAATAACAAACCCTTCCTTTCAACACTGTTCTGAGGATTAGAAATAAAAGTACACATAGTAAGGGTAAGTAAACGGTGACTGCTATTATCTTTATCGGAGGCTGGGCTGCCAATATCTAGAGATGAACAATATAATATCATTAAATTGACAAATGGGAAATCAAACAGAAAATGGGAATGAGCCAAACAGTGGTAAAACCCCATCTTCACTAAAAATACAAAATTTAGCCAGACATGGTGGCAGGCACCTGTAATCCCGGCTACTCAGGAGGCCGAGGCAGGAGAATTGCTTGAACCCGAGAGGCATAGGTTGCAGTAAGCCAAGATCATGTCACTGCACACCAGCCTGGGGAACAAGAGGGAGACTTCGTCTCAAAATAAACAAATAAACAAAAAACAGAGAGAGAGAAGAAAACTCCTGAGCGAATATGTATCATCTTTGGAGAAAATCTATAAGTTACCTAAAACTGTGTGTGGTGTGTGTGTGTGTTTGTGTGTATACACTCTATTCTTTATTATTTGCTTTCTTAGAATACTAAAATATCAGAAGTGGAAGAAACTTAAAACATTCTCTAGTTCAGCGTTCTCATCTACCAAGGAGGAATCAGGCAGAGGCCACGGGGGCTGGCCAAGGCCCCTCAATCCATGCCTTGACTCTGTTCAGAGCCTAGATCTCCTCATTCCCTCTCTGCCATCTGGGGAAGGTGATAGGATAAAAGCCATCTTTAGAGTGCAGTAAAAGATATCTGAAATGATGACTCCTCCAAAAGAACATTATTCCAAAGGTCTTGCTTAAATGAATGAAGGAATGAAAAACTTTTAGACTCTAAGGACGCCTGTGAGTTGCTTCTGCCCCCTGCTGGTGAGAGAGGAGAAAGTCAGGTCCCAGAAATCTCAAAGATTAAATAAAGACGGGCCAGGAACCGCGCAAAACTTTCCAGGTTAGACAGGAGGCGATGCGGCAAGATTTAAGGAAGGGGTTGGGGGTGGGTAACACAGGAACATGATAACACTTTTTTTTTTTTTTTTTTTTTTTTTAAGATGGAGTCTCAGTCTGTTGCCCAGGCTGGGGTGCAGTGGCGGGATCTTGGCTCACTGCAACCTCTGCCTCCTGGATTCAAGCAATTCTCCTGCCTCAGCCTCCTGCGTAGCAGGGATTACAGGTGTGAGCCACTGCGCCCGGCCAGAAGTGTTTTTTTTTTTTTTTTTAAAGGAGGGCAGTCCTTGTTACAAAGGTAATTTTTTTTTCCACACAGGGTCTCTCTCACTCTGTCACCCAGGCTGGAGTACAGTTGCTCTATCTCAGCTCATTGCAGCCTCAACCTCCCAGGTTCAGATGATTCTCTCTCCTCAGCCTCTTGTGTAGCTGGGACTACAGGCACACACCACTACATCCAGCTAATTTTTATACTTTTTTTTTTCTTATAGAGATGGGATTTCACTATGTTACATGGGCTGGTCTCAAACTCCTGGCTCAAGCAATTCTGCCACTTCGACCTCCCAAAGTGCTGGGATTACAAGCATAAGCCATCACGCCCAGTCCTCAAAGGTAATTCTAGAAATATTTGACTCTTCTATTCCTCTCATGTTATTTGAAGTCATGTGATTTCCTCTCATAAGGATAGGGAAGTTTTTTTTTTTTAACCTTTTACTTAATGGATAACACTTGGGAATTTTTTAGTTTTATAATGATTTTTTAAATATATATATTTTTTTTTCTTAAAAGAGTTTTGCTCCAGCTCAGTATTTCTGGCACCGTAAATCCGGACATAGATGCTTTTCCCTGGATGTCCCATTTTTCAGGCTTCTTATAGTTAGTCTAGTCGGTGGCCCTCAGTGGCACCAGTGTGGTGGCTCCTGGGACCACACTGCCCTCCACTGTCCACAGAGAGACACGGCAGCCAGGTAGGACGTGCCTGTCCCACTAAAGAATCCCTAAGACAACGTCATTACCTTCTTATGAGAAAATCTCTTGGCTTGACTATTGAATCCTTTTTTTTCTGATTCTGGAATTATCCAAGCTTGGGATTTAGAAGAAATGGAGGATTGTGTTGGATATGCAGCAGTAAAACCTAAACAATAAAAATGAAATAAAAGCAAAATGAGTAAAAAACAATGATTGAGAAATGTGGAAAACACAGAGGTATATGTTCAAGTTTTATTTTAAATAATGGAGAAGAAAAACTTGCCTTCTCACAGGAAATCGACATGAAACCGAATTTTTTTTTAAGAGAGTCTTGCTCTGTCACCTGGGTTGGAGTGCAGCGGCGCGACCTCAGCTCACTGCAACCACAGCCTCAAAACCACATTACACGCTGGGGCTAGGGGAGGGACAGCATTAGGAGAAATATCTACTGTAGGTGACGGGGTGATGGATGCAGCAAACCACCATGGCACATGTATATCTATGTAACAAACCTGCGCATTCTGCACATGTACCCCAGAAATTAAAGTATGATAAAAAAATTTTTTTTTTTAAGTATTCCCCGTTTTCTTTCCCTCTTGGCAATTTGTCAGCTTCCCCTCTCCAGCTCTTACACTAGTGAGATGTGCTCACATAAAGTGCCTGAAAGCAGGCTGTCCCAGGGAAAAGCATGGAGACAGTAGAAAAGACATTCTTGCCAGGCAGGAAGGGAAAACTGTTCTGGGAGCAGCCTGGACAAGGCGTGGGCAGAGGACACAGGAAGTGTCCTCACTGCTCCTTGGCCTACATTCAGACACCAGCATGAGGCCATTAAAATCCAAAGAGGTTAGGGAAATCCCAGCGCAGGGCCAGCTCCCACTTTTCAGGACACTGTGCAAGACAGGCGTAAGTTTTCGTTTCTGCTTTGAGCAGACATGGGGTTAAAAAGCAGAAAGGGGTCAACTATAGAAAGTGAAGTTATAAGTTTGCATGTATAGGTTGTGATGTATAAATACACGTCTGGTGAGACTTCCACAACTGCTAGAACTGGGCAGCATCGATCTCCATAGCAAGTTGATTACAGACCCTAACCTGTAAGTGTAATGAACTCTGACTCCAGTTTTTTGATGTTTCATGGCTGATAGCTCTTCACCTTCACCATTCCCTCATTCCCTTCTGCCCCACCACTGGGCAAGCAGATAAGAAAGCCCAATGCTCCCTCCGGTGGCACCAGCTGGAAGTTCAAACCACACAAACCCCTGCTCTCAGTCCAGTCCCATTTTCCAACCATAACGAAACCCCAAGCCAGGCTCCTTTCCCTTCTCTCTCAAACCGTTATTGGATCAGGTGAGGAAGGCCGTGCTGCTGTCCTCAGAAGGCCAGCACTATAGTGAGAAGGCCTCGCTATGCAGGTGATAAGCCTTTTTCTACACTCTGGATGAGCCTGTGTGTGGCACTGTCAGTCTTGACATCTCAACCAAATTTTGGGTGAGGGCTGAATCCTGACTCTGTAGGCCATACACAAGAGTAAGCCAAATTATTTTAACATCAGAATCCTAACCATCAGAGAGAAAATGTGTACAGAAATGGGGGGAAAAAACAGTCAAGAGAAGGAAAGAATAAAGTATGTGTCAGCCATGGCAGAGAGTGGTTTGTACCGAAACCGTTGGTAAGGTTCATTTCTTTATCTCTGAATTTTTTTAAAAAACAATGCTCCTTTTCAGAGCGGGAAGCCCGAAGACAATAGCGACCCCTGGAGGGGTACTCTCCTGAACCAGCTTCGCAGATGAGGAAACTGAGGCTTAGAGGGATTATGTTACTCATCCAAATCACCCAGCACTTAGCGGAACAGGTGGGGTGTGCACATGATTTGCCTAATGAGCCCAGGCTTTTGAGCTCTGAGCTGTGCTTCCTCTTCCTGAGCTGGCCTCTAGTAAGTGCTCAATAAATGGATGACTGACATGGTGGGGAGAGGGACACTTGAGCCTAATCTGCGTGGGTGGAGGATGAAGCAAGTCAAAGGAGCTGAATGCACTTTTAAGCAGAAAAGATTTGGGGAATCAACATCCAGTATATTTATTCTTCTCCTCCCCCTCCTCCCCTCCCCATTTAAGAAGATGAATGGCTATGTTTTTGGTTTGTTTGCTTTAAGAGAGCTATACAACAAATCAAAAGGCAGAAGCAGCTGCAAGACTTCCTGGCTTTTGTTTCTAAAAGCCTAAGCCTATGGAACAGCTAAGAGAGTGTGCAGAGGAGGCACTAAAGAAAAGGGCGTTCTTTAGAAAAGGTTAAAGGAAGGACATTCTCCTGGGGACAGGAGAGGTTTCTGCCAGACTGGAAGGAGAGCTGAGGCTTCTGACTACAGAATGGCCTGTGTCACAGCAATCAGATGAAACATTCAGAAAAGAATTTTTGAAAACCACTCTGGATGACTGAACTCCTGCTTCTAACCAAAAAGGGAGCAGATTTGCCCTCCCAGCTGGAAAAACAAGTTAAAAATGGGCAAGATGTATGAAGCAATCAAGACACCAGACATCAGGCAACAAAGGACAGGGATCTCTGAGAGAAGCAAAATAAATGAGGCTGGCAATAAGATGGCCCCAGCTTTCTGCCAGGAGAAAATCTCCAGGCCACAGCACAGGAAGAAGGGCTCCGGATACGGCCCCATGGTCTGCCTGAGTCAAGGAAATGGATCTGGGAGTCCAGAAAGGCCAAGACAGCTGAGTTCACAGAGCAGAGTACCAGAGAAGAGAGAGCTATGGAGCTCTGCACAGGGGCCCCTGAGTGAGTTCCTGGGTATCGCCCAACATGGGCGCATCAGAAAACTACCCAAGGCTGGAGAAAGAGCCGCCTGACAGAATTCAAGTGAGCAATCCCTGAGGCTTCCACAGGGCCAGGAATAGCTCCTGTTTTCATGAGTCACAGCGGGAAAACCTCATAATTCATGGAACATAAAGTATACACCAGGGTTTTGCCTCAGAAATAGGGCAAAATTACCCCTAGACTCAATGCTGCTCTGGTTCCAGCTAACAAAGCTTAAAAGCCAGACCTGGAAAGATCAAACTGTTTCCAAATAATTCAACTGCATCTCAGACAAAGTGCAAGAATATTTACGGGACTACAAAAATAGGCAGCACCTAAGAAGTAAAATTCAAAATATCTGGCATTGATAAATTTAATAGGAGAAAGAAGGAAAAAATATACCTCAAAATGGGGGGAAAATAAACAATCAAACCAACTCAGAAATGATACAGATAATAAAATAAGTGGAGAAGAACATTATAACTGCTACACTAACTGTATTTCATATGTTCAAGAAGCCAGAGAAAAGACTGAACATATTAAGTAGACATGGAAGATATAATAAAAAGATGCAAATCAAACTTCCAGATATGAGAACAAAGATGTCTGAGATTAAAAATATACTAGATGGCCAGGCACAGTGGCTCACACCTGTAATTCCAGCACTTTGGGAGGTTGAGGCGGGCAGATCACCTGAGGTCTGGAGTTCAAGACCAGCCTGACCAACGTGGTGAAACTCTGTCTCTACCAAAAATATAAAAATTAGCCAAACATGGTGGTGAGTGCCTGTAATCCCAACTATTCGAGAGGCTGAGGCAGGAGAATCACTTGAACCCATGAGGGAGAGGTTGCAGTGAGCCAAGATTGCACCATTGCACTCCAGCTTGGGCGACAGAGTGAGACTCTGTCTCAAAAAAACAAAAAAAAACCACTTGATGAGATGAATAGCAAATTAGACATTCCAGGAAAAAAAGATTAGTCAACTTGAAGATATAGAAAGAAAACTATATAAAATAAAACACAGAGAGAAAAAGGATTAGTGAGCTGTGTGGAAACTTTGAGGAGCCTAATATATGTAATCAGACCCTCCAAAACAGAAACATGAGGACAGAAGAAATAGAAAAAAAAAAAAATGGTTCAAGAAAAATTGGTTGAAATTTTTCTAAATTTGATAAAAACTACAGACTCACAGATTCAAGAAAGCCAATGAACCTCAAACACAAGGAACACGAAGAAAATGACACCAAGGCCAACCATAATCAAATTGCTTAAAAAGTGATAAAAAGAAAATGTTAAAATTGGGCAGCGAAAAAAAAAGACATGTCACATACAAAGAAACCAATACCAGAATGACAGCAGATTGGTATCGAAAACAAATCTAAGGTACTAAATGGAAAGAAAAACCTGTCACCCTAGAATCCTATACCCAGTAAAAACATCTTCCAAAGCGAAAGCAGAATAAACATTTTTTAAATATATAAATATCACAAGAATTAATCATCAGCAAAGTGGAGCTATAAGAAATGTTACGGGAAGTCCTTCAGGCTGAAGAAAAATGATGGCAAATGGAAATCTGAATCTACATAAAGGAAAGAAGAGCTCTGAAAATAGTAAATATGTGGGTAAATAGAAAATATAAAATTATGAGCATAAAGTGAATAATTTAAATATAACATTTAAAAAGTAATGATTATGGCCTGGATGTGGCATCCTGTAATACCAGCACTTTGGAAGCCTTCTCACCTGAGGTCAGGAATTCAGACCAGCCTGGCCAACATGGTGAAACCCTGTCTCTACTAAAAACACAAAGAGTAGTCAGGCATGGTAGCAGGCACCTATAATAATTCCAGCTACTCAGGAGGCTGATGCAGGAGAATCACTTGAACCGGGGGCGGGGTGGGGGGCAGTGGTTGTAGTGAGCCAAGATCACACCACTGCACTATAGCCTGGGAGACAGAGGAAGACTCCATCTCAAAAAAAAAAAAAATATTATGTAAAGCAAAAATAACAACTGTTTTGTGGGGTTTATACCATATGTACAAGTAAAATGTTTAACAACAGTAACACAAAGGCCAGGAAGGGAAAAAGAAAAATATACTGTTTTAAGGTTCTTCTACTATATGTGAAGTGTTATAGTATCATTTGATGGTAGACTATGATAAGTTATATACTATAAACTCTAAAGTATGTAGGGATCAACAAACTTTTTCTAAGGGCCAGATAGTACTTATCTGTCTCTATCTATCTATCTATCTAATCTCTCTCTATTTTGAGACAGGGTCTTGCTTTGTTGCCTAGGCTGGAGTGCAGCAGTGCAGTCATAGCTCATTCCAGCCTTGACCTCCTGGGCTTAAGCAATCCTCTTGC